GCAGGTTTGGATCACTCCATTTCCCGCGTCCTTGATAGTAGTCGGTTGATGCACAGCTTGACCCCCTGCAGCAATTGCCTTGTCGAAAATGGGTTTGACATCTGCGCTGACTCGGAATGCAATATCCTTGACCCCGTCTCCGTGCTTTAAGAGGTGATCCTGTATTTCCTGGAGTTGTTGCTTTTCCTCCGAGGTTGTTTTGTAATCCAGCTTGTTGCAAGGGAAAGAAATTATCGGTGAAATGAAGACAAATATCACGTCTCCGTTTTGTATAACATGGCCAGCAATGTGATTTGAACCATTCTCTGGCCCCTTGTAGGCAATTGATTTGAAGCCCCAGCGAGTGATATAATAAGATGCGGCCTGTTTGGCGTTGCCAACATACCAAAGAATATGGTCGAAACCCAGATACTCCGGTCCCAGCTGGCTAGGGACAATATCTTCTTGAGGAGGGATAAAAGTCATAGTAATGGAGTTTTGTATCTTCTGATGAAGTGTAGTCAAGAAGGTTGGAGAAAAAGAATAAATGGTTGGTATCAGTTCAGGTCTGTGTTGTGTGTATGAAGTCAGTCTATATAAGGTATAACGGAGTTCTTTGATGGCGAGATCGAAATTGCCACCTCCTTGCATATAAACAAATGCCAAGCCCACACTTAGTGTCGAAGATCCATTTTTTTTCATTTGGATGTCAATAATACCGTCGGCTGAAGAGATCCGTATTATAGTTAGTGTCAAGGACTGCGTTCTATACATAGCTAACACGCACACTAGGAGCATCAGTACATTGGTGTGGCTAGGACAGGGATTGCAGGCAAGGACAGGGGGCTATAGTTGTTCCACGATTCTGTCATACCTTGAAAAAGCACATGAAAACCGACAATCTTTTAGTTTCTTATTATTATTTTTTCTTTTCCTGCTAGCCATAACTAACGTTTGAAGCATGATGCTTATACACCTCAACTCTAACATACCAATGGCAAAAGGCTGACTCCGTGTGTAACGAATGTATCCAGGCGACGGGAACAGAGATCAGCCCTAGCACGATTCAGTTTCGGCTGATTTTCACTAGCCATTGGTAATCTTGCAGTTAACGATGGGGAGCATATATAACCTTTGTGGCTGAGCTTGAGTAACTGCACTCGTTTATGTGACTCTGCTTCTATAAATTTCAAGGCAATGACCACTTATCCAGGCGGGGTCCCGAATAATTTCTGCTCCCATATTGGTGATCGCGTAAGAGGAGCGAAAAGTGCGTACGAAACGCAGGAATTAAAGGGAAACGGCTGGTTCTGCATGCAAGATTTCGAAGTAAGAAGATGGCTAGTCAGCCATGACTGTTGAAAATGTCAATGACTGCTCATTTACCTTCGTCTGTACACCCTGTGTGGGGTATACTGTTTGTGTAAATCCTCCATGCGCGACATTCAGGTCAATTTTCTGCGCTATAATTGATACCAACTACAACCCGTGTCGGAACGGCTGGAATTCAAAACCCCTCATTGGTGATAGGCTCAGGTCGTGAGGAGAACATTATCTTGTATTTTATAATCTCCACGATCTCTAGCTGATCCGGGGTGTGTGGGATATAGCCATCCTGCGCCACAGATTGTGAACTCATTGCATCGCGGACCGTCAATTTTCGCCTTTGGATGACCGCTATAGGCTTCGGTAGTTTTTTAACTTCGCCTGTTAGACGCTGATGTTGTCCAACAGTAAGATACACACGCTTCATCCAACCTCTGTCAGATGGGTCGGCAGCTGGGTCGTAGTCTGCGAATATGATCCGGCCAATCGGTGTCTCGACTTTGCGTGTATGCTGTGAGACATCGGGTATAGTATCTTGCATCGCGTGGTCATCGCTCTCTGGGAGATTAATGGTCCCTTGGAGCTCTAGAATGGCTAAACCAGATGGCGTCTGGAGGAGCTGGGGCAGCGGGTTGGTGACCGTCTCTGTCGAGCACCCATTCCTGTTGCTAGATAGAGATATATGGAGTGGAACTGTGGGCATGTCGCTTATAAATATATTTACCCTGGAGTTGAGACCGTGGAGGAGGTTGTTTTTGTGCTGGTGGTGGTCGAAAATATTCCACCTTTCAGCAAAATAACTAACTAGTTAGTTACACCCAGTCATGTGATCATCTCCTGACGGGAGGGGAGCCCTCAATATCTAGATCTTATTCAATTCTATGCCATGTTCTACACAGCAGAGAACTAGAGAGTATTCTACTGAAATGGTTGCATCTGAATAATAGGCCAGGATTTTTTAAAAAATAGGTTGCTTGCTATACTAATAGAAAATGCATATTAGGCTAAGGAAATGGTATCGGCCCAGGGTTTATTGAAATCGCAAAGAAAGGCAGGAAAAGAGCTACGAAGAAAAGAAAAGAGAGAAAGAAGGGCAGTTTAAGGTATATTCTCTTTGGTAAACAGCTAAAGAGCTCCATGGGCCTTCACAGCTCTCCTACAAGTTCTGTATTGACTCGGAGGGTTCCTGAAAAAGTGAAGCTAAATGTAACTCCTTATCAATACTATGAAAATTCAGCCTGTATCAGAAGACTTATCATTCAAACAAATCCCCCTTGGTAGCTATATCAGGCGAATTAGTTAAACTGGCTGTAGCTATTTTAGCTTATCAAACGCTAACTAGGGGCCCAATATACATACTAACATGAAGAGGTTACTACTACACATAAGAGAAGATAACGCATCCTAAGCAAAGGTAAGCTCTATCTACAAGGAAAAGAATGGCACAAGCTCTGAAGATAGAATGAAACTAACAGTTGTAATAGAAACACCCCTTATCCTAGGCCATCTAGTTATATTAACCAGCCCCAGCATTCCAGCCTAAGAAGAGAGGAACAACTGGCTATAACACCTTACTATATTACCTTAGGGATGTCCCATACTACTTCGAAGACATGGGTTTCAGAAGAGACCAGAGAGTATGAGGCCTGGATGAGAGTCCGTGGCAGTATGTCATATGTCGCGCCGAGATCACCATTTGTGCCAACAACATTCAAAGAATGGCTGGCCCTTAGGCTTTTGAAAAAGATGGAGGATAAGCACAAGATAGCCCAGTCACTTGCTATCAAGCAGCAAAAGCTCAGCAAGACAGCCACGAAGACGGACAAGCTGTTCAGAGGAAGGAGGTTAAGGGACCGGCTCGGCCTGGTACTGGCAGCTGAAACAATATGGGGCCCCTTATCCGATCCAGGCAGTGGACGCCAGAACGCGTATTGGCCTTCCCGCGATGAGTTCAAACACGAAGGTGATGACAGGTGCCGATCTGGATATTCCAGATTCCCACCTTTGCCGAGAGTTCTAGCGAACGAAACTGTGAATTGGAAGCAGCGGAAACCAATTGCGCAATACGAATTTGACAAAGTTGGAAAGGTGAAGACGAAGGACGACGACCACGCGACCGAGATCAGCATTGCAATCGCCGTTAGATATATTGGCAAATCATTCATCCGCGACTTAGATTTTGGAAAGATCTGATCGGTTTAGATAGGATGGTGTCCACGCCTGCCTAGAATGACAGCACTCATATCCATATCAACGTGGCATAGCGTTACTGCATCTGTCTTCTAGGTTTTTCAAACCCAGGATAACATCATCTCTTAGAGCATTGCCTGCTGCTGTCGCGTTCAGTTTTCCATACCGCAGATCACTCAATTCCCCCACGGTGGCTGCAATTTGACTAGCGAGCTCTGACGTTTCAGAATCAAGGGACTGTATATTGGATTGCATGGCACCGCAGGCCCTTTCCATATCAATCAAAAGCGTCTTTAGAGTGTGGCGATCTTCTGGCCTGGTTACAAGTCCGTCCTGCTGGCCAAATAGTTGGATATCCATATCAGCCTCAGTTTTATCGCCGCGGGACATACTGGTCACTCCTGAGTCTAGCTGAGCATTCCTCAGTTCTTCCTTCTGCTTCTCTCCGTTTTTGATTTCTCTTTGAATGTTTCCCTGGACCAAATCGATATCCTGGGCACGGAGGTATTGTAAGTCACGATACAGCGTCCTAATCTGCGGGTGAGATTGTAACCGCCTCGGAAACAGCTTCGTAAACTGTTCAAGTGATAGAACCGTTGGTAAAGGAGAAGGGGATAACAAGAAGTTTGTGAGAATAGACTCCTCGGACGGTGCCATGGTATAAATTGAATGTGGATGATTGTGTTGGGTATTGATCGCACTTCCTCCCCAAGGAACGGAGTCTACCAAGACTTGAATAGATTTAGGCCTATTTCGTATCTAAACGAGAGTCCATCTTTGTGTTCTCTAAGTTGCTAATTTGAATTAATTCGTGGCCTTCTTTTTATCAATCCAAAGACTTTCTGTTTGATATGCAACTTGCCGAAGCCTCAAACCTTGGTCGTCGCGTCGCGATTTCCACGTGACTGGTGTAGTTACAGCCTAGAACCTATCTTTATGCAGCGAAAAAAGCATGAATACGGTAATATTTCGAATACTTAACACTTGCGTAATTTTCACCTATTTCGTCTCTTCGCAACATCGTGAAAGGGGCACAATCAGTGATACCAAACACCCCTGGACGCAGCAAATATATACCTCTTTTTGCAAAGCATTAGCGGGCAAGTGCTTTTGTCATAGATATACCCCGTACACCTTCTCTTGTCCCTATCTGTTTTCGAACTGTTCTGGACCTGGAGCTAACTGGGTTTTTAGGACATTCATCCGTCCAGCCCAAGGCCATAAGGGTATCAAAAGAAAGGCCGCTGTGGTGATAGAGCTGTCAATCTGTCCCTAGTTTAAAGTGCAATTTGCTTCTACCGAGCTAAAGCTTGTTTTTGCGCTCTGTCAAGTTTGTTTAGTAGCTCAGACCGTTATAGTTTGAGCGCGAATTCTACCTGGCCTGATTTTTCATCATAGCGTCAGTATCAGGCTGGCTTCTCAAAAGTTCGTCAAGAACGTATCACTGCATTGATTTTGCGACTTGAGTTGATTTGCAGCCTCGTTACTTTACACTATTCGCAAAAATGCCTCTCAACCATCCGATATACCATAAGGATGAGACTGTGCTATGCTTTCACCATGATATCCTCTACGAAGCAAAGATAATAGCATTGCGGCTTAGTGATCCAGAAGATCGAAAGAGCCCTTACGAATATCGTGTTCATTACAAGGGCTGGAAACATACGTATGTTACCCTTATCGTCCCTGCCAGCACGCACTATGAAGTTCATTCAATAGATTCAACGACAGGGGAAATCTTCAAATGTTTATTCTACCTCGTTGGACAGGAATATTAGAATTCTCAATTTAAATTTGGAGATGATGAGCTGGGGGTATTAGCTGACAACTTTTTTTTTTCTATTACAAACAGATGGGATGACTGGGTTTTTCAAGATCGACTTCGAAAAGCTACAGAGGACAACAAAGAGCTCGCCGCTACGTTGAGACGTGAGGCAGAGGCAGCCTCGCGCAAGAAATCTAAAAAGAAAAAGTCTGCAGCAGCTTCTGATCCGGGTTCCACCATCGGAAACGATGACAGACAATCATCCATCCCAGCCAGGGGAACGAAACGGGGGAGAGACACGGAGATCGAAAAGGTATGGACGCTCTATGATATTGCCACTCTTTATTTTTTTAGCATATTCCCTTTGTGCTAATTGTTCCAATCAGGAGGATGAATTCAATGCACGCCCATCTATTCGCATAGTAATACCAGATAACCTCAAGGCGCTCCTTGTGGATGACTGGGAATATGTAACTAAAAACAACCAGCTTGTTCCGCTTCCAGCGAAAGGACCGGTTTCCACCATACTCGATCATTACTTTGAAGAAGAAAAACCCAAACGGGCCAGTGCTTCGGATATTGATGTGCTCGAAGAGGTAGTGGCCGGGATTAGAGAATACTTTGAAAAGTCCCTCTCTAAGATTCTACTTTACCAGTTTGAGAGACAACAATACCAAATGATCAGCAATAAATGGGAATCTGGAGCTGAAGGATACGTCGACAAAGGGCCCTGTGAGGTGTACGGTGCTGAGCATCTTGCACGTCTGTTTGGTATAACATCCCCGCCATCATGCCATATTTATTTTTATCTGGCATACTGCTAACAAGTGTCTTTACCATTTAGCATCTCTACCTGAGCTTATTGCTCAGACAGGGCTGAGCCAGCAGGCTACGCAGAGATTACGTGAGGAATTGTCAAAGTTCTCTATGTGGCTTAGCAAACATTCTGACCGTTACTTCTCTGCCAAATATGATGCTCCAAGCAAAGAATACATTGACAAGGCCAAGGGGGTAAATAGCCAGGATGCTCCTGGCACCGCCACGGCCCGCCTCTTTGAAATGGACAAGCAAGAGAAATCCGACTAGACTTGAGTTTAATAGATTGCAATCAGCTGTTTAATTCTTTCTACTTTCTTATACTTTGTTTTCTCTTGAGAGGCCTTGTTCTATTTGGTCTGGGTCTTCTGTGGGTTTGTGTGAGCTGGCGCTGGATTTCTTTCTATTAAGCGAGGTGGGCTTTAATGCATTTGTTACAGACCCTTGTGTAATAAGTAACTAACAGTCCTCTTCCATGCCTAATTTCTTATTTATACCATATATCTATCCTCATACCTGTCACATTGTACAGTGTGGCGCAGGAGGTCAAGAATGTTATACATTGTTGCACAAAGTAGAAATTAATATGGCAATTTGATAGGAATCCCATTTTAAGGAGCAAATATAAACATTGAAGAATTATTCGAAAGTAGAAGATTATTTCTAAATGGAGCCACACAGCATTTACCCACCCGATGTGTGCTTCGTCTCCATCAGAATGTTTGGCTGTTCTGGCTGGGATATTATGGTGGTGACATCCTCCACTGCGGTTCTTGTGATGCGCTTTAACTGGGGCTTCCAATCCGCATCGCGCCACTTTTCCCAGTTGATCAAATCATCGTTCGCTCGAATGCTAAGCGTCGAGTAGCCTTCTTTGATAATCTGATGGACTTCTCTGGGACTGAGCCTTTTCTTCCTTGCGGGCGGAGGAGAGGAAGCAGTCGTTGATTCACCACTCTTGCTACCAGGTCGGGATGCATCCGCTGAATCAGCCACAAATAACAGGGAGTGAAAATGTGTTGAAACGCTGATTAGGGCATTAATTGAGAGGGTTGAATTGGTGGAATGGGAGGATGTGACCGAGAGATGTTTGTAAACGTCGCGGAAACGCTTGAGAACGGAGTCTGCTTCCACAACTTTGTAGAAGAGGTCATCATAAGATGACGGGTCAGGAAGGAAGGTGTCGCCAGCAGATATGCAAAAGGTAATAAGATCGATCAGGTCTGCAGTGACAGTTTGGATATGCGGGCTATGCATAAGGTCCATTGAATATGTGGTTAGGAAGCGTGTCAGCGTAAGTAGGGCTCGCCAGAGCTCGGACCAGTGATATGAAAAGCGAACTTTGTTGGAGGATGCATATGTGAGAAGGCGGAAGAGTACGATGATCGTGTGGCTGTGCAGTTGGCGTTAACATCAACTCGCGTAAGTATACGCTAGATAGAGAGCTCACCTGTATAAATATGTGTCAAGGCTCCGGCGGAGGTTATGGTTTATGGTATCAACTAGAATGTCAAATATGACAGTTGCTAGAACTCTCTCCCCGTTTACCAATGGGAGGTGCGGAGCTCGCTGACGACAAAGTCTTACCCTCGCATTATTCTCATCACTGCAAATTTGTTTACAGATGACAGGGTCCTCCACTAAGTTTCGAAGTGAGAAAAGATTGGCTTCTGCATACAACGCCACTCGAGCTGAACGGTATGCATGCTGCAATAAGTATGATGTCAATGAAAGGAAACTTGCAAATGGAGCCTCTTCAGATCTCTTCTCGGCGCTGGTGGTCACTAAGGTGTGACCAAAGAGCTTGTTTGCATTTACGAAATCATAGATGGCCAACAAAACAGCAGCTTCTGGTGATGGGCTAAAAAAATGCATTAGCATAGTGGAGCTCGTACAAGCAAATCAGCCAGCTTCACTCACAGGGCTTTGAAACGCTCCTTCATCTCTTCCACGGTGAGAGGCTGACTTTGGTGTCTTCGTCCTGGGGCGAGGAAGCCAAAGCTGAAAAATGATAGAGTCGTATTCCAATTCCAGCCCTCAGGAAGATCATCTTGGACGGAAATATACGAATTCCTGAGAGAAGCGCATGCAACGCCCGCTCCCCTAACAACCTTTCGTATCGCAGTTTCATTTACGAAGTCATTCAGCCGTAGCTGATAAGGATTTTGAAAATCGAATTTGTTGTAATTGGCTAGGAGGCCAAGTAACAAGAAGGGCCTTAATACTTGCGTGTGGGTATCAGAATCATGTATGAACTTGAAATCCGTTAACAAAGCCTGAAAACGACGGGAAATAGCAGCAAAGAGTTGTTGACATTGAGCTCACCTTCATTAGCGATGGAAAAAGATCTCGATGAATAAAGTATGACATAACTCCTGTCTTATACGCCCCACCAACCATTGCCATAGCAGTATCAATTGCTTTTAACCGAACATCCACTGCCCCATAGTTAACAAGGTGCTTCAGGTGAGGTATATTGGTATTTGAGTGCTTACATGAGCTGCCATTCCGTATGAGTGAATCCAGAACGGTTACAAACTCGGAGCAAATATAGTCAACTTCATCGAGCCCTACGAGAACTGCAATGATATCCGAGCTTGGATTGGTATATCTCTTTGATAATGCACTAGCCAGGAAAGCAGTTAAAGTCTGTCAAAACCCGTTAGATATTAAAACATTCAGTGAATAAGGGTATTTCCGGACCTGACCTCTAATGCATTCGCGCTTGTCGTAATATTCCCAGAGGCTGCTTCTTTGATGGCGCGAGCAAAGAGTTGTTGTGTTTGGGACTAGGTTAAGTCAGCATTGCCGGAGTCTATGCATAAAAAGGATCCAGCATCTTACTTGAAGGTGTAAAATGTCATGAGAGCTAATACTAGCTATCATTTTCGACAGATACACCCTGTCTGGCTGAAGGAGGAAAAACTCCCGCCAAAAACCCTCTGTTGGGTGAGCATAGTCTGAGTTCTAGAACAATACGTTAGCACAGCCATCGGCAATACCATCATTTTTGGAGGTTAAATAGTAGCGTACAAATAGTAAGGTCTCGTATAGCTTCACTATCTTTGGCTGAAACGTCTCAGGCCGGGTCTGCTGAGTTAGAGGAGAGGATTCCATGGTGGTGTCGCTTGTTTGATCCGCCTCGTTTTGATAGCATCGCTGTCTCGAAACAAACTTGTAATGGGTTTTGCTAGCTGGGTAGCCGAGTGAATATTTAGTTAGTTAGTTGTGGAGAAACCCTAGTTACATCACAGCGATATGCATGCCAGCATGTCCCAAGTCTGTATCATCAAGTCTGTATCATCAAGCTGCCTGATTCCGAATCGTTTGCTTGTGAAGTTGATGCTAAAGTGTTCTCCTTTTATCTTACTCAGCAATGCTGATTGGTCGAGTGTCGCTAGGAGCATCAAAACGAATAAGCATGCATAAAAAAGGGGGAACACGCGTAACTTGTCAATTAGTTTACGAGGTGGATATTCACCTAGTTATCGTACGGAGCAACCTAAACATCATGGACACTCATATTCTCCATTGTCGCTTCGAGAAAGGATGCACTCCCAACAGTCGCTCTTTTATGAACGAACGTATCTTTGGCTTATAGTTGATTGCTTCAGTTGCTTAGTCAGCTTGTTTCGCAATAAATATTTAATAAGTTTTGAACGACTTCATCGCAAAAAGATAAGCGTCAAGCAGCTCAGCATTCATCAACAACAATGATATCCCACCGTTTACAGAGTACCCTAGTTACTCTTTATACTTTATTCAGGCCATATTTATTCTTTTTCAGGCTCGTGTACCGTGCTTTTAGGACTTCCAAGCGTATAAGAGGGGATTGACACCATGCCTTGTGGAGAGGTGGTTATGCAGATATTACGTCCTAGTTTTCATTTCGAATCTAGGCTAGGATGGCAGACTTCAGTTCATGATTCCAACTGCTTTGGGTCAGATAATCCAAGAATTACTGATCATTATTCTTTGTTTGACTCCGATTCGATCAAAAACGTGGCTGTGTGACCTCTCCTTACACTTAAACCATACAGTTATCTACGAGCTACCCGCTGCTTTCCTGAGATATATACCCTAAAACCTGAATACGGAGATACCATCAATACATATGTGTTCAACCGCGTGACGTTTGCCATATATCACTTAGAAAGCATGCAGCCACCCGATGACTATTATCGTCTGAGTTTACACTTGATCCATATTAAGTATGAGATACTCTATTTGCCAAGAGTCAGTCTTCGAGAGAGGATACCTAGGTGCCCATGGTTTCAGGATATTACTAGTTTGTGCATGGCCTGGGGAATATCAATCTTTATGAAGTATTGTACAGGAATTGCACTGAAAGCCTCGCATGGCTATCGCTCTTGGTTCTCAAGAGCCTTTCCAATGCTGCAAAAATTCTTCCGTTAGCCCGCGTGTCCTCGGACATACCAGCCTAGTGCATGCAGAACCTGCCTCTGTCGATTAGACTAGCCATGGAGGGGCCAAATAGGCCTTTTACTTGGCATTTAGCAGTTATCGTCCTCAAGATATTTTTGATGTGATATGATATTTCTTATATGCGTGAATTAATAAACAATGATACGGATCTAGGCTCTATTCTATAAAGTTGCGGGGCCCAGTGACATATACCAGATAGAAGGAAGATTTCGATGAACATGGGTTTAATTTCAATTACTCCCCGAGTTAGCTGCCGATTAGGATTCAGCCACAAAAGCCAAAGTGTGGGATCCAACAAAATATCGGGTCGTTCGTCCCCACACCTGGCACATTCAGCAACATTCAATGCCCATACCTGCTCCTTGAACGGATTTTATCGCCATATCGGATGAATACGAACGGAATCAAGGACATGAGAAGGCTCAAGAAGCCCAGCAAGCTGCATCCCCAGGCTATACCCAACTGGCGAAACATTGGGACCGCAGCAAGTGGCAACACGGCTCCAAAGATACTGCGACAACAGCTTGCAGCTGCCATGGCACTGGCGGCGTATTCATGATAGGCATCGATCAGATAATTAATCAGAGCCACAAATATGAGGAAGAACCCCATCCCAAACGGTATACCCGCCAGCATAGGAACGATCCAATGTATATCTGGCGAAGCACTCCATCCGAGCCAAAATAGGGCAACCATGTACAAGGGGCCTCCTAGACACGCCAGAGGAAGCCGCTGGTATTCCTCGATGGATGACCAGCTGGTTCTTCTTGATTTTGCACGCTGCAGAAATGAGTCATATGCTAAGAAGATTCCCAGGCCGATACCAGCTCCTACAGCGACTATGGACTAGAGTTAGCAAGCCAATCTCTGTTTCAATTTTTGGCATCAGCACATACTAGGGAGAAAGGCCAAGCCTGCTATGCCATCGCTCATCCCGTAGACTCCCTGAAAGATCAGAGGATACGCTTCGAAGTACATGACTTCATCAAAATCAGTCAAAGTTGTATAGTTCCGAGGGTAAAAGTGGACACTCACAGAATATTGCACTTGCATATGACAGATAGAGGCAAGTGAAGGATAGGATTGGCTCACAGAAAAGCATGTAGAGTGGGCGGGCAAGCGCCTTGGTGACGACTCCCTCACCACGCCGTTGCGGCTGCTTCATCAGGGCGGGCTGAAACGTTTCCGGGAGAAACAATACCGGAACCAGAGTTACACCAGCAAGGATGAGCGACACCCAAAAAATCCATCTCCATCCCGCAGTTGCAACAAACCCTGCGATTACTGGAGCAAACTGCGGGCCGGCAGCAGTGACCTAAGTCGATCAATCAGTGACATGCAGGATAATCGGAGCTGAGAAGGATTCAAATCATTACCGCCATTGAGAGGGCCATAACTCGACCCCGAGTCAGAGGAGAGCGGTATATGTCAGCAAAAATACCTCCGGTGACTGCAATTGGGGTGGATGCGAAGATACCGCATAATGATCGAAATATGATCAACGCCAACCAGCTTGGGGCCACAGCACATGCAAGTGTGAAGATGGTAAAGAGCACAAAGCTCCCAATCATGACCACTCGTCGGCCATAAACTTCACTCATGGGCCCGAAGGCCAGGGGACCGGTCACGTATCCGATCAAGAAAACGGAAGTGGGCAGAGCAAGCTGAGATTCGCCCTGCACGTTCAATGCAGCAGCAATGAACCGAATTCCCCCACTGGGTATGGTGGAATCAAAGACGCTGTTGAAGAGCGTTAGAAGACCGACGAATGCCACGAAGGTTTTCTTACTCTGCCGCGTAATGTAAGCGAGTCCTTCAATCTTAGGAAGCTGGGAGGATGCTGACTTACACCGGGCCAAGTTGCAGGTTCCAGAGGGTTCTCTACCATACCCATCATAGTCTCTCCACCGATTTTTTCTGGTTTGACCTTAGGCTCCTGGATATATTGGCTGGTGGGGAGCCTACTATCAAGTTGGTCCTCTCTTGAGAGGTCCATTCTCGTCCTTTTTATGGCAAGATATGGAATTGGTGGGCGATTTTTCAGATTGATGCTCCCTCATATTTCCATTATTTAAATAGTGTTTAACGGAATCAGGAACTTTATGTCGTTACTTTAAGCTTGGGAGCGGAGTACTAGGCTGGTCTTAGTTGTATGTGTGGGGTTTCTTTGCATATTACCCCCGGGTTAGCCTATCAATGTTGCTCAGTCTGGGATGGTGATACGGCCGTGTCCATACCCGACGTGGGATACGGGCCACATACATATATAATGCAGCCAGACAGGGAAGTTACAGGGCTAATGAGCCGATACTGCTTCTCTCCCGACTATTGTACGAGCAAGCTCAAGAAGGCTGAATTAACGTGCATGATCCTTTCATCACAGCCTTTTAACGCGTAACTATATGGAGCCACTCGTATAAACAATTACATCCTGGTCAAGGGTCAAGCCGTTAGCATCTGTGAACACGCCACATGCACATCTCGCAACTTTGCATTGCATGTCAGGTCTGTATGTTAATACCGACCAAGCTTGGGGGAAGGCATTGAGAGTCGGTGCTACCGAATAAGTATAAAATCATGATAGGATCCTAGAGACCTGGAGTCAAAGGTCAGTCAATTGACACCTACCTTCACTGACTATACTTCTTACGCAAATTGCCCTTATCCTTCTATATACGGCCGCCAGTGCCTGTTTTCAAGTCAACATGGCGATACCTGCAGTCAGCCCAGAGTCGACCGCAGCCGTTGCGGACCTTATCAGGCTGCGTGAGCAATTCGTCAAGGAAAGACTCATCTTTGTGGAAAGCAACCGGATGATCCCAATTCTCAAGCTTCTTGGAGCTACCCATGAAGACATGGAGAAGATCAAAACCGTTAGCAATAGCTTGCCTGACGACCCTACCCTACCCTTCCGGAAAAGCAAGAACGCCCGATTCTGCTTCGATTTTGAGCAATCCAAAGTCCGCCGTCTTGAATTCCAGCCTTTCATTCTTTCGGCTGAGGAGGACTTTGTCAGGCATGACTCAGGTCAGGTCAGGAGATTTGCAGAGGTAGAAGACGATCTCCAGGGCAATTCGACACTGCAAGCCCTGTTCGTATTCAAAGCATTGATCTTCCATGGGGTCCCATTCAAGCAACGCCCGAGGCTGAATTATGAGACAGAGAACTTCGTCTGCACCCTGTTCAACCTGCGGACTGTCACTAGCCCGGATATACTTGGCGAGCCGGCTCTTGAAGGCGTGCATAGTGACGGGGTGGATTTCACCATGACGACCTTTCTGGGCAGCGAAAATATGGCCGGTGACAGTGCAACAACGTTTGTGCACGACATGCGCGCAAAGAATGCTCTGCGTTGGAACGAAGTCAACCCGGAGCATACCTTGGGTAGCCATCAGCACCGCGAATTCTTGGATACGCTCCTGTTCGTCGACCACGAACGAAAGCACAGCCTTTCCCCAGTCTATGCCATCGACCCGAGCCGTCCGGCCACCAGGGATATGCTCATCTTCTTCACCCGAAAGCCGGTGGTGGAGGGGCATCCATCACATCCTTTCGATTCGTTGAAATCCCACATTTCTCTTCCCATGGAGGTTGGCTTAGTTTAAGCATGTAGCTTGTTCTCTTTCCCCCCCCCTGTACCTTCTCCATTTCTATCTCCTTCTGTCATTTCTCTCTTTCTATTCATTCCTTTTATCCTTGTTCAAGTTAGATGGGGTCAAGCATAGATCTTGAGAAGACGCTAACTAAGCTTCGGGCCGAATGCAGGGCTAGTTAGCCAAGCCTACTTGTCCTCTCCTTGATACGAGGCTTTTGGCTGGAACGCCGATTGGACCCCATAGCCGCAAAACTGGAAGATTTAGATGGCTCACAGAGAGCCCGAGAAAACAAGATGAAGAATACAATGCAGTTCCTCTGATCCTACACTCTTCTACCGCTGTCTGCTTGTTGGTAGTCCAATTTGCCTTTTTCGGCGCTTTAAAAAAGTGGCATGATCGGGTGATGAGTCAGCTACCGCAGGGTTGATAATTGCACAGCTCTTATTGGTCAGAATTATATCATGTGATCCGGTCCGAGTTTTTACCGACAATATTCGATGACTAATCACGGCAATCTTCGAGCGACGAAAACGATAACAAAAAGTCCGTCTTCCAAACATCTTGCTCAATGACTTTCCCCGTGCAATAGCAGCATTTTATCAGCAGTTGTCTTCCATCCCTCTGAGCGTTCGTGCAGGCGATTAGTTAATGATTCTCTAGCTGTCACCGCTTTTTCAGTTACCATGTCGCTGTGTCATACATCCGTGAAGCCTGTGACATCATCAGCGCTTCGGGTTCTGCTCAGACGACAGCAACAATGCTCACGAGGCATCAGACTATTCTCGTCCACCCGTCCAACATACTCGTCCTCGAAACGTGAACTTCAGACGGCAACCGCTTATAGACCATACTCTTTGCCCGAGTCCGTTGTTCCGCCTCCCCGGAATGCGGGCACCCCAGACACATCCATCTCCCATGCAATCCCGGGACTAAACACTACGCCAACATACCCACCACCGAAGGACACGGTGCCATCTAAAGATGATGGCAATGCCTCCATATCGTCTTATTCCTTGCCAGAAAACGAAGCCCAGAAGTCGCAACCGGTATCCAGCAGCGAAGCCACACCTTCGGAGACGAAAGCGAAGCCGCGAAAGAGTAAACTACGAGCAAGAAAAGCTGCTGTATCACTCACACCAACTGCACTATCCAAACTCCGAGACCTTGTTTCCCAGCCAGACCCGAAGCTGATCCGGATAGGTGTGAAGAATAGAGGTTGCTCGGGACTATCATACCATCTAGAATATGTTGAGAAGCCAGCTCCTTTCGACGAAGTGGTTGAACAGGACGGTGTTAAAGTCTTGATTGATTCTAAGGCTCTTTTCAGCATAATTGGAAGTGAAATGGACTGGCACGAAGACCCACTGAGCAGCCGCTTCGTATTCAACAACCCAAACATCAGTAAGTATCTCTCTTTGTTGCCCAGATAGAACAAATGCAACTCTAACCATATTATTATATAGAGGATGAATGTGGCTGTGGTGAATCGTTCATGGTATAACTGTAGGATTCGCACTATATATACTACTGGATCTGCTGCTTGCTCTGCTATTTACAGCGTTGGATTGGCGTTTGGGTGACGGAAGATTTATCTATAGCCTGGGCTGGGTCAATACTTTTTGCATTACTTTCTGTACATTTCTAGATACTTATTACACTCCAATAGCATTTTATACCCACTCATATAACGAGTATAGAAACTCTCAAACTATGGTTGTATTAGATGTTTTGAATTCCCACCATGGCATATTATATGATTGATAGTGGCTATCTATATCGATAACTATATACTGGCAGCAATTACAAGTACATTAATTCACTATGCCTGTCATGAAGATCAAGAACTCTGCATCTGTCAAGAACATGGTAAAGCTTCTAATAATAGACGTAGATCTTGAAGCTCGCACGTGACAGTATTCTCCCTTTACCGCAAACGCTGACGTTTCGATTCAAAGATATTACAGATCTCTAGAACAGCCCACGAGAGGAGATGGAGGACTTCAACCGGCTACCTCTAGAGCTGGAGTTACTTCTCGCCATACGATTTTCCGCCTCTATACCAGATATATTTCTCGACATACCCGATCCCAACAGCACCACTGTCGCGGGGCTTAAGCGTCTAGTTCGCGACAGGCTCCCTCCGGACCTTACATCGCGGCGCCTTAGACTCATTCATGCCGGCAAGTCACTAGACGATTCAACCTCACTAGCAACACAGATTAAAGTTGGGAGGAATAGTCATTTACGTGGTCATCATGGGAATGGCCAACGAGCACCTTCGTCAGGCTCGCCTTCGGAGCCCGGTTCAAGGGTAGCGTCCCCTTTCCTGAAAGGCGGATATGCCACTTCGGGCTCGTCATCAACCGTATCTCAGACTGCCCCGGACCCGTCAGGAAAAGGGAAAGCTCCGGTCCGAGACCAGGGAGAGCCTAGAATATATATACATTGTTCGATAGGGGATATAACGCTTACGCCGGCGGAGCTTGATGCCGAAGCTCGTGCTGCTCGTTCAGGGCAGGATGCGCTTAAGTCGAACACCTCTGCTAATGACTCCGCGGGTTCAGCTGGTCTGGACAGCTCTGCAGGACCGAGCCGGCTATTAGACGGGGGCGATGCTTCGACGACAGGCGGTGATGGGTCTAATATTACTCCTACACCAGCCCCACAGGGCTTCGATAGATTGTTATCTGCTGGATTCACACCAGCAGAGGTGTCATCTCTTCGGTCCCAATTTCTGGCCCTGCTTTCCCTCTCGCATACTCCAGATACGTTACCCTCCGGTACAGAACTGCGCAGATTAGAAGATAGATGGATGGATGAAGGTTCAACTGAAGCTGGTGTTGCTGGCTTAGGAGGAAATAACGAAGATTCAAACATATTTGGGGATATGAATACCGATAGCACTGGTGGGAGTGGCCCATTTGGATCCGGAACTTCACGCGCACTAGACGATATGTTATGGGGCTCAGTCATGGGATTCTTCTGGCCTGTGGGCTGTGCTTTATGGCTTCTAAGGGAAGAAGGGGTATGGAGCTGGAGGAAAGGGCTAGCTGTATTTGTAGGGGTGGTAGTTAACTTTGGGTTCGGGGCAGTGAGGATGTTGAGTTGAAGGGCTCTTGATTGCCTTTCACTGCGGTACTGTATGATTATGCCATCGAGAAATTTCCTGCAGACTGACATGTTTTGAGCGACTATTGAAAAGGATACTTGAATATATATGATTTATAAGAGTAATATAGTATAATGAAAACATTAACAATTGGACGACGGGGGTAGTTGATGACAAGACATTGGGCACAACTCGAAATCTAAAGAGGAAAAGCAGGACCGTATTCCAAATGTTGGGAATAAAAGAAATTAGGGGAATGTATTCGTACAAACAATCATAAAAGGGGTTCGCTGGTACCATAAAGGGGAGAACGCTGAAAAGTCAAGAAATCCTTGCGTTTCAGCGGAACTTGCTATAAATCACACCAATAATCAATAAGACCAGCACTGTGATGATAGCAATAGTGATTATCCGATTGGTAGCCATCCTAGTTGAGAAGCCTGAGTCAGTATGTTTTCGTCTTCAGATTTGTAAAGCCGGGAATGTAGGGGTTACTACCTACGAGCCATCCCCCTCAACGTCTTCACGCTTCGGTCAACGTAACCTTCACTTTCCAACAACCCTGCTCTGGTATGCTCGATTGTCTCACGTTGACGGTATAAATCGGCAAGGGTATCCCGTCCAATCTCCTCAGTTGATAGTGCCACTCTCTGGCTGTCTTGTAGACGGGCAGAGCTTCTCTCTAGCCTCTCTGTACCAGAAAGGAGTTGCTGTCTCTGCTCTAGATGTTGGTCATGGGTACTGTTTGGATCATCGGTATAGCGTTCTCCGAATAGAGCTTTGCGGTCATCCGACAGCGAGCGTAGTTTCCGCTTTGTGTTGTCGACGTCTGTGAGGTAGTTTCTGAAGCGGGAGTTTATCTTGGAACGGGTCGATGATGGGATGTTTTCCTTCTCCATGCGCATTTGGTCAAGCTATACAGAAGCCTAAATTAGCGACGGTAATAAGAGGCAGTCAAAAGTCATTCCATATGGCCAAGCTATAAAATTTAAATGGAGTCTTGGGGAGATGTCTTACAAGTTCGTTTGCTTCTTCCAAAGCCCTCTCCGCCTGCCTGATAGCCGCCTTCCGCTCCTCCCCGGAAGCTTCAGCGATCTGGTCAAGCTTCTGGTTGAGATCGGCCTGAACAAGTTTTAGTTCTGCCTCGTAGCTGCTGAACAGCTCAGAGCCGGCATCTGTGTCGAGAGTATTGGCCATAACGGTTGGCTAGGGTATTGTCTTGCTGCGAAGGAATGCGCTGGTTGTTTGGGGGCAAGGAGAAGTGCAGACTTTACGGATAATGGATCGCGGGGAAAGATAAGCCAGTATAAGTGAAACAAGGACCCAAAAGACGGTACTGTACACTACGCAGGGTTGTTGAGTGCCGCAGATATGGTCAATGTTGATCAAGCCGTCGGTCGGTTGCTGACAGCTGATGGTTGACGATGTTGAAAGGCATCAAGGTAAGTCGTGTATTTTTGGATTACATCATGGAACGGATGATGTTACTCTGCATTACTAGCCGTATTTGGACCCAAGTGTATTAAAGGCACGTGACATCTGACCAATGGATCCATGGATCCATTAAGTAAGCACGCAATTATCGCTCACGCGCTCGTAACTTATCCCTGGTGTAAAATCAACGTCAACAATGTGTCTTGATTCTAAGAGTAGAGGTATAAGGTTATGTATCTTGAATGGAGTGGCCGATTTGTATCAGCATATGAGGAAACTAAAAGACCTCCTATGGCTACTGGCATATATGGTTGTCTTTGGTTCATGCTAATGGCTTGATTCATCAGTACTTGTGCAGGCGTTCTCGAAAGATACATCCGGCGACCTAATACGTAGTAGCCTAGTTAATAATGGCATTATCCGGGCTCAAATTACCCCCCATGGGTTGAAGTTTACTTTATATACAATCGCCAAATAGTAGCTTATGCTAAGCTTGTCACCCCAAGTTTCCCAGACTACAAGGGCTATCTCGATATTTGACTACCTTATTGCAGATTGAAGCCTAGTTGGAAACGGAACTATGTCGTAGTACTGGCACTTCATTAATTATTCAGAGTCTTTAGACGAATGAGGACAGGCAGAGGGTTTTTGAGCAGCTATTGCATACATGGTCATACACGATAAAACAAGAAGGAAACCCAGAAACGGAAATCTTAAGAGATAAAAGCGCCAGTCTCATTAGCCACAATGCTGGCACTGCGCTTCGCATCAATAAACAGGTCCTGGCATTCGGCAATATCGGATTCCTCGATACCATTTGGTCTGCCGTTGACCCGTGCAAGGATACTAGCTGGGGTTAACAGCTGCAGAGCATAGCGCAAGCTGACTTTATTTCCATGCTCTGCAAGGCTGGAAAGGGCGGCATCTGTGATCTGGAGGCCTTCTGTCTTGGCGCGGAGGCGGATGATGGTTTTGACTTCCTCAGAGTTGTATGGGTGGGTTGGGATGATAAGGAGACGAGCAAGAAGGTCAGAGGGAATACCGTGAGCTGCAACTATGTCATCGGTGCCGCGGATGACGGTGTTACCACGGTTGGAAGCCAGGATTACAATTGGTGAAATGGATGATTCGAGAGCGCGGTTGAGGTAAGTAAAACATTCGATATCGAGCATATGGACCTGTCGGAGAAGTTAGCAAAGCCGGAAAGCAGACAGATGGAATGGGGGCGAGCATACCTCATCAATGAACAAAACACCAGGGACAAGCTCGGCAACTCCTTGGTCAATATACCGATTAACGACCTTGTTTATTTCTTGCCGTAGCTTATCAGTGATCTCGGTCTTCTTCTGCTTCATCAATTGGCCCATCATGCTCATTATATCCTGCCCTCCCTGGGGTCTGGCATTCGCGACATCCAGATCGTGTAGTGTAACGTCTTGGACTATTTCCTTCTTCTTGTGAACCTCGCCTTTGGGTATTGGGACGTATTCTTCAGCCTCGAGGTCAAACTCCGTTGCATAGGCATCGGATCTTCCAACACGCTTGCATGCCCCGGTGTTAGCTTCAATATATATCACATCTCCAACAGTAACCCGTTCCTTCTGGATAGCTTCGTATATGCTGGGGTCGAGTCGTAGCTTCTTGGTTCCTCTATATGACTTCAAACCAATAATCAGGTGGCTTATCGTTCTACCATAACCGCCCAATGGGTTCTCCGCCTCTTCTGGGGTAAGTTCTGTAACTTCGCCTTCATACACTTCCTTCGTTTCCCGAACTCGAAGTCCTACAACGTATTAGCAACCTTATCTCATCGCAGCCACTATATTGTGAGACGTACCAATTGCACGACGAAAGTTCTCCATCAGCGCTTCTGTCTTCTTTACCTCTGCCGAGAAGATCTCACTGGCAACGATGGGGCAGAAAGGAACCTTTGTTCCCAACTCCTGAGAGACAGCGAGCGCCAAAGCTGTCTTTCCAGTTCCCGGTCCTCCAGCAAGTAGCACGGCCCTGCCAGCCATCTTCTTGCTCTTGATTAAATCGACAATCACGCCGCATGCCTAGAAGTGGTGACATAAATGTTAGCCAGCAGGCTCTTATCCCAGACAATAAGCCAAAGGTGGAGATCCATACCTCTCTGGCAGGGACCTGGCCAACGAATCCATTCCCGGAGACCTCAGCGGTGCCATCAGGACGCAAACCAAGCCCTTTGATATGAGTATGCGCGGCGGTCCTATTCTCGCGCGAGCTCCCCTTCACCTCGCTGATGTTCACCATGGCTGTGGATGAAGCAACTTATATCTGCAAAACCAGCACGGTCCAAAATCCGCGTACCTCTATCTCCCAAGCGTATACACAGCAAACGTAAGTAGAACAGTTCGTCTTATCAGAGCAGAGACAGAAGACGTGGTTTTCTCTTCGTTGTTTTGCGCCCGGAAGAGCTGCTTTTTTTTCTTTTTTGGAGTTGAGATGCGATTAGCTCTGGCGCTAAGCCTAAAGGAGAATAAGCCGGGAGTCGCTGGAAGAAAAAAAAGCGAACGAAAGAAACTTGAAGCAGCGAAGATCAAGAAGAAGAAGAAGAAGAACAGGGCAACATTGCACGGCTGGACAGACGAAGCCCGGAGACGAAGACGGCTTTTGGAACTCGGCGTAGGGCCTGCGATGCTACTGCTGTAACTCAACATGGCTCTCCACGCAGCGGTTTGCTCCGCCAGACAGCTCCCTCGCGTTTCTCTTCTCACAGCTTCCTTCAGCAACCTCTCCCTACAAGCAACCCGATCTTTCTCTACGACCCTACCGACACAGCGGGCGGCCACTCTTCCTGCTGAAATCCCCCCATACCCTTATGGCCCCAGACGCACCTTCAAGCAGGCAGACAGCGGACTCTACGGCGGCGCTACAATAATATTCGGAAACAAGATCTCCAAGGGCCGGAACAAGGGCAAGACACGAAGAATCTGGAAGCCCAATGTGCGAAAAGAGAAAATCTACAGCAAGGCCTTGGATGAAGAGATAGAGCTCAAGGTCACTCATGGCGTTTTGAGAACGATCAATAAAGTGGGAGGGCTGGACGAATACCTACTCGGCGACAAACCCGCTAGAATAAAGGAATTGGGCATGTTTGGCTGGAAACTACGGTGGAGGGTGATGACCTCGCTGGCAATGAAGGAGAAATTCGCACTGGAGAGACAGCAGCTGGGTCTACAGGAGCCAGAAACGTTTGAACAATTCCTGGCACGACACTCGGAGAGCGAGAAAATCGAGGCCGCTACCGAGCACGATTTGAGACGGCAGCAGGAGGCCCACGAGGCGGCTACACCGTTGACTGCTGCATCAATGGGAGAGATGAATGCTCCTGAACTCAGGACGAACCCGGCCTAGATTTGAACTCGCATCAAATATGTTCAATGGGTTTTGCTTGCGGAGCGTTGGTTTAGGTCCTGGTTGTTTATTACGTTCCATTGCTTGTATATTAGAGCCTCACTTTCAAAAAACCTGTATAACACACGAGATGATCTATCAATCTATCCATACGACAAATAGTTACAGACAGGCCAAACCGCATTATGTGTCCTTTAAACTAATGTGCAATGTCTCAGCACTGGATGGACCTCATGGAGCCCTCAAAGTACCCCGGATTAACCTCTCCCCGAGCCGCATCTTCTGGCCAAGAGGTTCAGCCCTTTCAAAGTTGATATCTAAGGTGTTTACAGAAGGCCAACAACAAGGCCAGGAGGGTGCTTTTTCAACTGCTTTCTGCTTCTTACGCACCGGGCCGGCTATGAAACGCTGAAACAGAATCGGAGGATTTATATCGTTGGTCTCCCGGCACTGATAGCGCTGGGAGAATCGCTCTCAGCTGTTAAAGATGCAATTTGCATTGCCGCCACGAAAGACGTCTCGTCCTCCCATTTACTCTCGATCGTCCCCTACAGTCCTTCGACGGCGACAGTTGAAGTCATTTGCCATTATAGGCTGCATTGTCGTCTCGGCTCTCTTCCTCATCTTCCACCTTTTCTCCTCCGGCTCGTCTTCAGTCGATACCCCTGTTGCGAATGGGCCTCCTGTCGTTATTGTCACCGTTCTTGACACGGACTTCTTTAGCAACACGTATATACAGCGGATAAAACAGAATAGGGAGGATTATGCGAAGCGTCATGGTATGTCATTGTCACCTGCAGCGGATGACCTGACCGATTCCGTTTATTGTTATATCGGCCCGGAGGATGTTGGTTGAGCTGACACGCAATCTCTAATCTCTACTAGGATATGTCAACTTCTTTGCTAGCACCGCAGACTATGTCCCTGTTATGAACCTCCCCTCAGGCGCAGTGGTGCCTCGGAGCTGGGCACTCGTTCCGGCCATGCGACATGCCATGACCAAATATCCCGGCAGCACATACTTCTTTCATCTCTCCCCCCATTCCGTCATCATGGACCCAACCATCTCACTCACGTCACACGTGCTGGAAAAATCAAAGCTGGAATCCCTCATGATTAAAGACACCCCTGTTGTGCCACCAGATAGTGTCATCAAGACCTTCACTCACCTGTCTGGAAACGACGTTGACCTGATTATCACGCAGGATGCAGAGAACCTCTGCCCAGGGAGCTTTATCATCAGGAGAGGCGAGTGGGCGAATTATTTCCTAGACGCCTGGTTTGATCCGCTGTACAGGAGCTATAACTTTGCAAAGGCGGAAAACCATGCCCTGGTAAGTAACATGCTTGTTCATTTGAGGGGTACTGATGCTTTGAGTGGTATAGCTAACTTTCCCCTTAGGATCATATTGTACAATGGCACCCGACCATTCTGGCCAGACTAGCTCTTATTCCCCAGAAAATTATCAACGCCTATTCTCATGAAGCTCCGAAGCCCGGTTCAAATGGGTTATACACAGAAGGTGATTTCATCGTTCGTCTAGGCGGATGCGAGACGACGCCTGCACGAAACTGTGAGAAAGAAATGGAACCTTACTGGAATAAATGGTTGAAGGCTTATGCCCAAGTTTAATATCTAAAATGGAAATTTAGGGGGTAAGGCAGCTGTGGTAACCTGCATTTATGAGCGTATCTTTCTTGATTTAACACGTCGTTCGTCTTCTTCCCTTTTTCCTCGCCCTTTTCATTTCTAATTTTTACCGTGTCGGATCGGTTTTTTTATCATATAATTTATGTCACTTTTCCCATTTTTTTTCTTTCTTTTTTACTTTGATGTAACAGTATGGTTATGCTCAGGGGTTTGCCCGCAGGCTGGTAGCCTTGGATGAGATAGACGTCTCTTATGCTTTCTTGTTAAATCCTTGTTTTCCTTTGATATGTGCTGGTAAATTTGAATACCTTTCGTAGCTTCTAGCTTATGGGGAAAAACCTTCTAAGCCTCTAGTTTAAAGCCCTAGCCACAGAATGTAGGGGCTAGTATCCAAGTTTGCCAGCACTGATCGATCCACTTTAGCAGATCTCGATTTCATTACCACACGATGTCATCACCTAGTCGATCTCCTGTCACTAGATCGACCCAGCAGTCGTGAACCAGGCTGGGGTATTATTGTTAGGTAGGGGTATTTAAACAGGATGTTACTGACGGGGCGATGGGGACGGTTCGGCCCGGCAAATCGGAGCTTGGAATCAGATAGAACTCATAAACTAAAAATAGCAAGTTTTTTTTTTCGGGTCCTATGCAACTAGACTAGGTCCTAGGATATGCAGTTATGATCAAGTAAGGACTAAGGCTAAGATAACGCCCTTGATAGTCTTGTGGCATGGTAATGGTGGACGCGGCGGAGGCTTCGGGTTTCACAAACGCCGGAAGTTGTGCATCCCGAACTACATATTGTGCACCTCCATACAGATGTAGCAGCGACGGCAGGTGCTTGCCGGGAATGACAATCCGCCAGTAGGATTCACAAGGGGGAAAAGGAAGAAAGTACCGGCAAGGCTAGCGCACATAGATTACCAGAGACCAGGCAGCATAACAAAGCGCTTTTTCTTGTACTTGTCCCCGAATTCACGGCGGTATCGCTTCTCCTTTTGGCTAGCCCACTTCATCATGGTGCCGGCACCCACCACTAGGAAGAGTAGGACACTCCAGTTTAGCCCGCTAACAAGGTACACCCCGACCCAGGCCATCACTTCGAAGAGGTAGTTTGGACACGTCACCCAATCGAAGCCGAAGCCAGTGGGTATCACGCGCTCTGTGCTACCTGGTTTCCTGAGGCTTCTCAAGGTGAGATGGGTCGAGAGGTTGGACAGCTGACCTATGAGGAAGAGTACCAGGCCTGAATATACCAACGCTGGGTTAGGGTGGTCAGTGGCTGTTGGCGATGAAGGTGAGAATACCCAGTATGCGAGGTTTACACCGCCAAGGAGCCAGTAATGGGCACTATTCCGGAAAACATAGGTAAAAGGCATCGTCGAGACACTAAATCGGTGGACGAACAGGGTTTCCAGCTCGCGCTTGATGAAGTGGAGTGTCAGCAAGGTGCAGGTCAAGGCCTGCAGGTCAGATATAGGAGGCAGTGGCTTAGGACTTCGGTATATGTAAGGTCGTAGGCCATAGAGAACCAGTGGGTGAATGATGAGGGGTCCTAAGTATTCGATAATGAAGACCGTACGCCATCCTATTTGAGGTCCTGTTTGTTTTTACTTGGTATTAGCACAGCTATCTTTGCACAAATATGCGAGGATATGGAGGGGAGCCAACGGACCCAAGTCTTTGACATAGATGACACTCTGATTTCTGACTCCGGTACTCGACACTGTAACACGGGCGTCGTTTTTCAGGAGACTACCATCGCTGCCCTTGGTGATCCTAAGCCGGGTAACCGGGAAACCAGCTCGCCTAGAAACCGTGGAATAAAGCGCGGCAAGGCTATCCTCAGGACCAATTGAGATTTTTTCTGGAAGTTTGGATATGGGCTTGCCTAATTAGAGGGAGTAAAACAAGATGAATTAGTGAGCTTGTACCTTGGAATGTAAACAAGTAGAATATGCTGGACGATGGCCATGATGAGGGGGGAAATGGAAGCATCAGCCGCGAGCATTACTTACCTCTCGGCTTGACCTCTAGCAAGATTCCTTGGCTTGCCATGTCTCCAGGTACCAATCACCGTTTACTGGTAGGTATTGCGCAGGATGTGGGGAGTTGGAAAATATTTCAAGGTTCCATCGCATTTGCTGTTGATCGTGAAGTTGCAGAAAGGATGCGGGAGCTTTGGAGCTTAGTGATTATGTAAGATTAATGATCACGTGTTAACCAGCCCCTTGATCCATGGCTACTACGTCAGTCTGCTTTGCGTAAAAAAGGATTCTTGGGCTTTGCTTAGATTCCTTCGTTATGGGGCGAAGATGCCCAAACTGCTGTTTACTATATAGCCATCTTTCCGGCTGTTTTCCTTTTCTGCGGGTTGCCGCTCTGCATCTACAAACAACGCATGCCTTGGTCTAAATATGGTTTCTTAAGTAAGCATGACATAAGCGTCGCGGCCCGCATCTTGTCCCGTTTAGGCAAACAGCCAGCCTCAACTTCGACCTCATCTCCATCTTTCAACTATCTGTCTTCAGCTTTCCGTTTTGTTTTCTCGCTGACTCGCTTTTCTTTTCGTTTCTTTTTCAGGAGCCATAATGTGCTGCGTGGACAGGGCTCTGCGGGATCATAGATGCTGGTCATTTTCTATCAAAACGAAGGTCACGCTCTGTGTTGCAGCTGTCTCGTTACCGATCTAACTACCTCCATGATTGGCCTGCTCGTTAACTAACTGACAGGAGACCCAGCGCTCCCCAACCATGCCGTCCATTTTGCAACAATATCGTTCGTTCTTTGGACGTACCAGAGATTCCGGGTACAAGGACCAGAGTCGGTGATATTTTACGGACGCATGCTTGGATGCTGGTGAACTCAAAAGAAGCCTGCTGCGCGACAGGGGTAATTGTTTGCACATAGATTGATAAAGTCAAGCCTGAAATGCATCATGATGGCCCCCTCGTTTTAGTACTATTTACGTACATCCATGCTGACTAGGCCTTTGTACTTGTGCTCTCTCCCAAGCAGGTAAAAGCTCAAGCACGCTCCCTGCTTACCCACCACCCATGGACCATATACAACCTCTTCACAAACAAGTCCGCTCCCAGCTTGGCTACATGGATGGCAGTCTTGCATACAAGGTCTTTGAGCGCACCAATAAAACGAGACCGTATAGAATCCAAAGCATCCCCGGGCCTATCTGATACCGAAACGCTAACCCAGCAAAGCTTGTGCTTGTGAACGCTGTTTCTCTTGGTTCTCTATTGACTACTTTGCTCTTTGCTTTTTTGGTCGTGTTTTACAAACACTATCGCTAGTCATCTGTGTTATCAGATTATTGTAGCTTGATGCTTGTATCAGAAGTTGAACCAAGGGTCGGAAATGCATTTGCCAGCCTAGCAAGTCGCGCATCCAAAAGCAATAACTCTAGAAATCTCTGCCTCTTACCCTTTCTCACCTTTTGCAGCAAAGAAATCGCACCTAGCTTCCCACCACCAACAAGAACGACGGGGGTTTGATTATAAACTAATCGTCACTTGCTCTTTCCCAGGTTCAAGTCCACGGGATCTTCCTTCCAGGCACGTTTTCATCTGCTTTTGCGCCAGATTTCAAGCTATTATTGCCGATGGCGATGGAGGTCTGGACAATATAAGAATGTGACTAGGATGCTTTCATTCTCATATTTGCCGTTCCTCTATCTTAATACCCGCGTTCTCTAGACCTTGATATCCGTTTATTATTATCATCATCATCATTATTATTACTATTCTTCTTCTGGTTTTCTCAACCTATTTTCGCTGAGACCGGGCCTCAGGGCCCTTCGCTCATCCACCTTAATAATTACTTGTCCCTATTTCTCCTAGGTATCTATCTAGAAGTGCTCATCCTTATCATACACTAGCTGCCATGGGCGACGTTTGTGACCACCTGACTCTCCGAGAGGAGATTGAAAAAGGCGTTTCAGATGTTAGTAGAGCTATCAGTGCTTCCTTGCGCCCACTACCTGTTGCGTCCGGGGATGGAACCTATCTTCCAACGATGCATACAACGGGTATTTTGGATGATCTTGCCCACATGAAACTAGGGGATGCAGGGACACTCGCAGAAGTTGCTAAGCTAGCCGCGACTGGCCAACCAATTGATGATAAGCGTTATATCATGGAGAGGATTATCCAGGTACGATATGTCTTATATACCATGATTAGGGGACTTATCGCGCTGAAGAATGAATGAAACAGCTGGCGGCATCCCTACCTAGCACGTCTAAGAATGGCAGCGCGTTAACAGAAGACTTGCTATCTCAACTATGGAATGATTTACAGCACCCCCCACTCACGTAAGGTTCTGTTTCAATACACATCTACTCTCTAAAGTACTAACGCACTTGATAGACCAGTTGGGTCCGAATACATGTATCGATCTGCGGATGGGTCTTACAATGTAAGAATATCCCAGGCGCTTCAATCTATGAGTTATTTGATTATTAACTTGTGGTATAGAACATATTCCGCCCGGGTGTTGGGGCTGCTGGGTCGAGCTATGCAAAGACTGTTCAGCCAAAATCTGTACAACCGGTCAACCTTCCAGACCCAGGGGTTCTTTTTGATTCGCTCATGGCCCGAGAGAGATTTGAACCACACCCTAGCCAGATCTCTAGTATGCTATTGTATCTCGCTTCAATCATCATTCATGGTAGGTCTCCCTGCGCTGTATATATCACGTTCTAGACATTTCTAATACCATCCAAAGACTTATTCAAAACTGATCCACGGAACCCAACCATATCTAAAACATCGTCATATCTTGATTTATCTCCTTTATATGGATCAAATCAGACAGAGCAAGACAGTGTAAGAACCTTCAAAGATGGGAAGCTGAAGCCTGACAGCTTTGCCGAAAGACGGGTACATGGGCTACCCCCCGGCTCTGGGCTCTTACTTGTAATGTTCAATCGCTTTCACAACTACGTGGTTCGCAACCTGGCCGCCATCAATGAAGGTGGTAGGTTTTCCAAGCCCCAGGATGGAGATGCGAAGGCATTTGCCAAATATGACAACGATCTTTTTCAGACCGGTCGTCTGATCACCTGTGGATTATATATCAACTGCATCCTGAAAGACTATGTGCGAACAATCCTTAACATCAACCGTATCGATAGTGATTGGAGTCTTGATCCGCGAGCAGAGAATGCAAAGCCGTTCCTAGGCTCCCCAATTGCCTCTGCAACAGGAAACCAGGTTTCCGTGGAATTCAATCTCATCTACAGATGGCATGCCTGTATTTCAGAGCGTGATGTCAAATGGTCAGAAAATATATTCCGCAAGATATTTCCAGGGAGAAACCCTGAAACCATCCCAATGGAGGAGTTTCTTCGAAATCTGGGAAAATTTAGCTCGAGTCTTCCGGACGACCCTCAAGAGCGGGGATTGGGACACCTCAGACGCGGACCTGACGGCCTGTTTAACGACGATGAACTTGTTCAGATGCTGACTGAGGGAATCGAGGACTGCGCTGGGGCTTTTGGTGCCAAGGGCGTACCAAAACTCCTACGGCCTGTTGAGATTCTGGGAATTATGCAAGCAAGGTCATGGAACTTAGCAACCCTCAATGAATTTAGGAAACATTTCCATCTCAAACCGCACGAGACATTCGAAGATATCAACTCGGACCCATATATTGCTGACCAACTGAGACATCTTTACGATCATCCCGATAATGTTGAACTTTACCCTGGTGTCGTTGTCGAGGAGGTAAAAGAAGTGATGATTCCAGGAAGCGGGCTCTGCCCCAATTTCACAATCTCTCGTGCTATTCTCTCGGATGCGGTTGCACTCGTTCGTGGAGACCGCTTCTACACTACTGATTATACCCCTAAGGCCCTTACCAACTGGGGCTTGAATGAATGCAACTATGACCTTAAGGTCAACAAGGGACATGTGTTCCACAAACTTATCTTCAGGGCTTTCCCTCAGCATTTCAAACGCAATTCTGTCTACGCTCATTTCCCATTCGTTACCCCCTGGGAAAATTCGAAAATCCTCTCTGACTTGGGAATTGCTCGGAAATACTCCTGGGACAAGCCTGGAAGGATGAACCCGCCTGTTATGATCAATTCTCACTCCGCCTGCCGAACTGTCCTTGGAAATAAGAGGGATTTCAAAGTTACCTGGGGTGAAACCATCGAATACTTGATGAAGCGAGATGGCCATCCATTTGGTAAAGACTTCATGCTTTCAGGGGATCGTCCGGCCAATTCAGTATCTAGAAAGATACTGCATGACGCCCTCTATATTGATCGTTGGCGTGAAGAAGTTAGAGCTTTCTATAAGGATACTACGATAAAACTTCTCCACAGCAAGGCATACAAGTTAGGTGGCACTATCAACCAAGTAGATATTGTCCGTGATGTTATAAACATGGCCCACGTTCATTTCTGCTCCGCGGTGTTCTCTCTGCCCTTGAAGACCGAGGAGAACCCACGAGGCGTCTATACTGAAAAGGAACTCTATGACATCATGGCACTTGTTTTCAAATGCATATTCTGTGACACTGACCCTGCGAAAAGCTTTGCTCTTCATGAGGCAGCGCGGGAGAATTCCCAGACTCTGGGTCGACTTGTGATGACAAACGTTGAGCTAATCAAGAGGACGGGGTTTCTGGCACCTCTGATTGATCGGATTGATAGACATGACAATATTCTCGCCGACTATGGAATACACATGATCCAGCGGTTGCTGGATACAGGTCTTCCACCTCAGGATATCGTCTGGTCACATCTCTTGCCTACCGCTGGAGGTATGGTTGCGAATCAAGGGCAACTTTCTTCGCAGTGCCTGGATTACTACCTTTCTAAAGAAGGTTCTGTGCACCTGCCAGAGATTCGGAAGCTATCAAAACTTGATACTCCAGAGGCCGATGATATCCTTCTTCGATAGTAAGTTAACTGATAGACTTTATCCTATTCCGTACGCTAACTATTCTGTAGTGTTTTAGAAGGGTGTAGGATGAAATCCGTCGTCGCTCTCTATCGCGACGTTGCAGTGACGACTGAAGTCCAAGACGGTGATATGGATATACTACTGAAACCTGGTCAACGTGTTACATGTAATTTGGTAAGTCCTTATGAATTAATCTGCGTGATAGTTATACTGGAACGTCAGGCGTCTGATGGGATTTGTTTTAATAAGGTTACTGCGTCCATGGATCCGGCAGTTTTCCCGAACCCTACCAAAGTCGACCTCACTCGAAGTCTAGGATCTTATATTCACTTCGGATATGGGTCTCATACATGTCTTGGTTCCGAGATGTGTAATCTTGCTCTTATCTCAATGTTGAAGGTCTTCTGCCAATTAGAAGCCCTCCGACGTACCCCAGGACCGCAAGGTCATCTCAAGACTGTCCCTGGACCAGCTGACCTAATGCAGTACATGCCTGAGGATCAGAGCTGTTATTCGCCATTCCCAGTCTCCATGAAGGTACAATGGGATGGGAGTCTGCCGCCAACCAAAGGGGAGCAAACAGGTAAGAACTAGAATACTACCTTATGACGATTATGACGATGAAAATTGGGATGTTGATTTTCCTGGGGTATGGTCGGGTTTTATTATTTTTGAAGAGATGGATAAGAAGCCTGGGGACCTTTTCTTTTATTTTCAAGTTATAGACTTAATACGCAATTCTTTATCATTATTAGTTACCTATCCAAAAATCCTTGAAATCCCTGTATTTCGTCGTGTATACGACCACTGGACATCCATTGGCGGGCCAGAGCGCCCAGGCTTCCACCATAAATTAGACCGGCATAAAGTAATGCCGTTCCGAGTGAGCGGGCGGGCAGCAAAATTGGAATGGCCAAAGCTCCGAAGCGCGTGCTTACCTAATGCAATATGGCGATTATTTTGCCCTCTCACTTCCTTCGCAACTCAACTCCAAAAGAACTACAACAAACAACATCTAAAATTTCGACACCCTCTCACCCACAGTTACGAAGTATCCATTACGGAAGCTTGTGTGCAAAGCCATAGGACGACGACCTGCACTCGTCTTCCTATTCTTTGCCTCAACTGTTACCTGTTGTGTTAAAACAACTTACTTCGTCACAACCCACCTCACCACCAACCTACATCATCAACCCTACCAAAACCGAACCGTTATCTCAATATCCATTCACTCTTTATAAGAGACAGTCTGCAGTCTGGGCAACTAGTCTGTTACTTCACCAAAATTGCAACTTCGAAGAGTTCGACGTTTCGCTTATTCCCTCAAACTCTTACTAGAAAAAGTGAAAGGAAACCGAATTAGCCGAATCCACTGCGCCTGAATTCGACGGAAACCTGATAGTTTTCCTTTTACTTCACATGGTTGCCAGTACGGCACGCCATCATCATGGGGAGAATTGAGAAGGTGGCTAGCTCTAAGCATGAGGCTACGATTGTAAGTTATTCGGCTCTCCGCCTAAGCTTCCTAACCGTCTCGGTTCGTGCTGGTGCTAACATAATATCCCACATTCTGTAGTCGCCGGCGATAGCTCAGTATTCTAAGAAAGCTATTGAGATTTCTGTCGCCGAACTACCGTCGTACCTCGCAACATTTCCTCGCCAGTGGCCGTTTCCGCGGGGGGACCTATATCACTGGATTGGTGTGTTGAATCGATTTGACGAGCTATTGGCGCGTGTCGTCACGAAATATGGACTAGATGAGGGGCCTCAGACGAAGCCCTTTGGTCGACTTGTTCTTGTCGAAGATTCTGTTTCTACAAGCCTAGTTTCTAATGATGAGGAGGGCGAACGGAAACTTGACCAACTAGGGCTAGGGCCTGAAGGTGATAGAGAGCTAGTAGAGTCAATACTGGATTTCTCACGGCTCCTATTAGAGAAGTGTGGCAACCGCAGCTTGTTCAGCAGCAGCGAGCGTTTGAACGCTTTTCTAAACTCAACATCCCTCAGTCTAATTCAATGCACTCTACGACTGTCTCTCTGTCTGGCACAGCGATACTATTTCCGCCAACGATCTACCAGTAGCACCCACTTCCATCAAAGCTTACTGGCGGCTCATTATAACATTGAGTTGGACCGTGTCCAAAAACTGGCGTCACCTTTCCCACGCCCACCTTCATTCATTGAGACTGCTGAAGGAACTTCGTTGGAAAAAGGGAAGGACAAGTCTGCTCAACCTAGCGCGGCAGCCGGTGATAAATGCAATGCCAACGACTTGATTTCGCTGACTAAAGTACCGTCTGACAAGATTACGATGACAGATATTTCTCCAGCAGCTGAGATTGGCACTGCTGAATGGAAAGATTGGGGAACGGTGCGATTTGCTTATTACCCACGTGATGCCACTGTAGAGACATCTGGCGGCACTTTAAATACCTCCTCTCAGGTTCAAATGACACCGACACCATTGCGTCACAGATCTTCTGAGTATCAAAGCTCAAGGTTGCTCCATACCTCGAGCGTGGATGACTCTCCAACACCCACAACTCAATCACCAGCAACGAGACAAGAGGCTACTAGAGGAATGAAAATACTGGAGATTTCAAACTCTAAAGTTCTATCTACCAGCACAGAAGAGCTTTTGAAGGAAAATCTGGGCGACTTGCCAAAGGAGTCGGCGTATGACCTCTTAAACCGACTTCGAATAGCTGCTGCCCTTGCCAAGTCTCCTGAGACTCGAAGGCAACTACTCGGCATCAGACTCCTTGCTCTCAGTAATTTGGCTTATATTTACCCGGAAGCTATATTTCAACAGAAAATTCTCCAGCAAGACTCCGACGAACCCAAACGACTCCAGCTTGCTTACCAGCTTTCTGACTTCGTGCATCTCGGGGTTGCTGGCGATATCAGCGCATCTATGTTAAACCAGTCGTTCGCCTTAACATGTTTAGATGCTCTAGCTAAGCATAAGACGCGATCAGCGGACGTCTGTGCTGCCCTAAATTTAAATGTCAACCATGGCATTTTGATGTTTCTGGTCCGGAAAACCGTTACCGAACTGGCGGCGGAAGATGGCCTAGTTGATGACATTGAGGGAGATGACTGGCGCGATGCCCTATTTGGTCTTCTTCGAACTCTTCCAAGTTCCGGAACAAGAGCTCCGGAAACATTGATGCCCGCTGGCCTGATCCCCATGTTTGTGGATATGTTGAATCTTCGAACAGAAAAGGCCCGAAGAGTATACCCCAGAGTTTTAGAGTTTCTCGACAACTATGTCCACTCGGTTCGAGATGCTTTGGCAACTCTAGCAACTGCCAAGGGCTTCGATGCCATATCTGACCTTATTGCAACCGAGACAAAATCCGCATTTGATATGGTGGGAGAGGGTAAAGGGATTTCTGAGGAATTTAAAACTCCATCTACCGATTATTCCATACCCTATTTTCAACAACAGGCCATACGATGGTTGTTCAAATTTGTCAACCATGTAATGCAACATAATAGCGGCGGGTTTGAACGTTTGATCCGCAACTTCATAGACTCCCCTCCTCTTCTTAGTGCACTTCGCCTTGTTATCGAAAATGCAAAGACCTTTGGCTCGCATGTATGGAGCGGCTCCATTAACATTATGAGCCACTTCATCCACAATGAGCCTACCAGTTATGCCGTCATAGCTGAAGCCGGACTCAGCAAAAGCTTCCTCGAAGCCGTTATGTGCAAGCCGCTAGAAGTTCCGGAGGAGTCGGCTGAAGGGGATAAGAAACCTGCCAAACCCCAAAATTTGTTCAACCCTGCATCTACTTCATCGGACAATAAGAATCTCCTGGACCATCTTTCCAAGGCTCCAGAGCGTAAGGGGTCGGATGGAATCTTACCCTCAACAGAAGCTATTGTCGGTATACCATTGGCATTTGGGGCAATATGTTTGAATTCGACCGGCCTCGATCTATTCCAGTCATCTGACGCACTGGAAAGATTTTTCGATATTTTCGAAAGTCCAGTACATGTGAAATGCATGAAAAATGACTCGAATTTGCTTCGACTGTTGGGAAATTCATTCGATGAACTAGTGAGACACCACCCGGCTCTGAAGGCGTCAGTCATGAGCTCCGTTCTGCGCATGGTTGCTCGTGTCGGACTTCTTGGCAAGTACAAGGCATGGGAATCGGGACTAGGAGCGAAACTCTGGGTTGAGGACCAAGATGGAAAGGAATCTATTTCTGGCGGTGTATCTGCTACTATCGGTGATCTCTGCTCTGATTTCTTTCAGAATGAAGATTACTGGCCTAGTGCCTCCGTCCCTAACCTAGGTAACGCCAGCACTAGCTATCGAGAGCTCTTTGGGGAACCAGACACCAGCAAGTGGACTACCAAGGATACTGATGCGGATGGCCTTGCCGTCACGGGTTATATCTTTCCAGTGCTGAAATTCTTGGGTGCATTCTTCGAGAATCAGGCTATCTGTGCCAATTTCATAGAAAACGGAGGGGTTGAATACGTCCTCGACTTTGCTGTCCTCCAGTCCTTGCCCTTTAGCTTCCACAACAATGAAGCAAACCACCAACTGGCTCAAGTCATCCATCTTATGGCAGAGACAAAACCTCACCTAGTACTTCCACCCCTTCTCAACCGTACCATCTCTGCGCTCGATAAGCTTGAGCCATTCTGGTCCAGTGATCTGGGATCAGTGGGCTTCTTTTCCCCCCTTACAAGCCCTCTGCAAGCTTTCGAGTCCAGCCCTGAAGAGGTAGAATTAAAGATGAAAGGAACTTATTATGCCAAGCACCTTGTTGCTGTTGGAACATTGACCAATATTCTCCGCGAAGTCTATACTCCACCAATATATCCTACACGTCCAGCACAGCAGCCACTACCATTTCACCAGGTCAATCTTGCTGATAAGTATGCCATACTTTCCGAGCGTTTAGGGCGGCTGCATGCTGCTTGTGTTTGGGAAGAGATACTACTCCAGCAAGATATGCCTGAGGCGTGGAATGAGGTCACTAAGCTTCCTGGATTTAGCTTTGAAGCGCTGGGTGAAGGTCGAGAAACCCCACCGGCCACTACAGCGGACGGAGGATCTGAAGTAGGTGATGTTGCTGCTGAGTCTCATGCTGAAGACACACCGACAGCACAGGGCGGCCGAGCTAAGAAATCCCCTAAAGTCGACAACCCTGCCTCTACACAGTTGGATAAAGGGGCAAATGTGAAGAACGTTAAGACCCTTCGCTGGCTGTTGGGAACGGTCCCTACTTGCATAACTGGATTTTTGCACTCTCTCGGTCGTGGACTGGTGGCGAAACGGCGCGTCGACACCTACCAACGACAGAAAGCAGCTGTGGTTGCTGGTGCAATTGCTTCTATGGTAATTCAGCAGTTGGAGCTTAAAGGGCCTAATGAGTGTGTATCCACGAAGGATCGGTTTTCCTACCTTATTGTGATACTGTCATCATTCTCGCGATTAATATTTGACTGTAAGTCTCACCTTCCAGTTACTATGTGTATTAGTGAAACTTATGAAACCTCTAACAAACGTATTAGCTACCGAACGTACACACTCTCAGTGCCTGACGATGATTCTTGTCGCATTCAAGAGGCAAAACGGCATACAGAAAATGAAAGAAATAGCTGATATCTTTCTCCAAGAAGTCAAGGAGTTGGCCCCATTAGAGCACTCCACTTCATCACCTCGAGACCGGCCAGCCAGACTTGCATCAGCATATGGAGGAATCAAAATAATCTTGACATTCTTCTCAGAAATGACTTCTGCTCGATATGTTCTTGACTCTGCTCAGACTTTAGCAATGGCCAGTAATGATCGTGATAGAGAGCGATTTGATACCTTCCTTCCTCAACAATTCCTAGTTGAGCTTCGAATGGAGGCCTTACCTCTAGTGAAAAGCATGTGGACGTCAGATTTTGTGGAGACGGCCTCTAGTTCCATTGTCAAGTCGTTAATCGAGATCCTTCGCCTGGTTCTTGAAGCAGAACATGAAAATAATGCTTATCGTCGCGGAGATAATATACCGAAACTTCAAGTAGCAGCTCTCAGGGCATTTGCTATTCATCCTGAACGCCTTGGTCAACTTGTTGAAAAGGGATACGATGAATCTCTTGCCAGAGAGGCGCTCTACCGCTGCTATAACTCCTCTAGTGCTGCCGAGGAATACTGCAACGCCCAAAAAGGTGTTCGCACTCCGCCTAGAAGTGCCATTCCAGACTATGATGCTGAAGCTGCAGTAGCGAAACCCGGCATTACTTCCCAGGGCGATCACGTTTCAGGAAGCCGCACAGGTAACGATACCAGCCCAGGTCCTTCTGCACAATCGGCACAAGATTTGGTTGATCCTATTGCGTCAATTTTGGCTGAGATACATGCTGAGGCTACTGAAGCCATGGAAACAGAGGGTGATACCTCTTCTGAGGCATCGCCACCTTCAAATGCTAGAGCTGAAAGTTCGGCTGCTGCTGCCAGCACGGAAAGCAAAGCCAGTGAGGCTGCTTCTGCGGGATCGCCAAAGAAGCGAGAAGTTGTAACAATAGATGATTTGGACAAAGAACGAGATATCATTCGCTCAAATTTAATAGAGCGATGCCTGGAAGTTCTGAATGCCCATCACGATGTCACCTTCGAGCTGGCTGACCTTATTAACTCTGCATCCAAGGTTGAAAACCCCTTCAACTTTAGGAGAGAGATTGGAGAGACGCTGCTGCATTTCCTAGCTTCTCTTCAAATGGACGAGAATTTTTTGACAGGAGGAAAGAAAATTGCAGCGCATGCGAGCCTTCTCGCCTTACTCCTACAGGAGCCACAGTTTTACGAATCCACTCTCGAACCACTCCAAGATAATTTCTATGTTTTACTTGGATTTGTCAAAGTTCCACCTCCTACATCAGAGAAATCTCCCGATGAGCCTTGCCCCTGGATTGGTCAAGTTCTGCTTATTCTTGAAAAAGTACTTGCTGAAGACGCCTCTCCTAAGGCCATCCAATGGAATCCACCAAATTCTGATACCCCCGAAGATTCTGATGTTGCCGAGTTAGGGGAACCTCTTGTTTCTCTAGAAGGTAAAACGCAGCTCTTCGATGCCCTTTTGGAAGTGTTACCACGAATCGGTAAAGATGAGTCACTCGCTCTGTCTGTTGCCCGGGTGCTCGTTATGCTCACTCGAGAACGTGTACTCGCAACAAGGCTTGGAGAACGAAGGAACCTTCAACGCTTGTTTGTCATGATAAAACAATTGAGCAATCCATCCAACGAAAAGCTACAAAATACATTTATGCTCATCCTCCGACATATCGTTGAAGATGAAGACACAATCCGCCAAATAATAAGAAATGATATCATTACCAGCTTCGATTCCAGGCCTTCTCGCCAGACAGACACTACTAATTTCGTTCGCCAATATAGCCATTTGGTAATACGAGCCCCGCGACTCTTTGTTGAGGTGACAAATGAGCTGCTGAAACTTTCAAGATATGACGCAAACCAGCGGCCTCAAACACTTGTTTTAAAGAACCCAAAGAAGATTGATGGTTTGCAGTCGTCAGAAGAAACAGATAAGCAGGAAGAAGCTAAGACCGAGGGAGGGCAGTCTCCGCGAGCAGCTAAGGAGACTGACCAACATGAACCTAAAGAAAGCAAGGAGAAACACAAGGAGTTGAAGACGCCAATTGTTGAGCATCCAGATGGCGTTATCCACTATCTTCTTTCTGAATTGCTTTCATATAGAGATGTTGACGACAAAGAGTCCGCCCCTGCTCCGCCCCCTGAGAAAACGGGTAATCGAGCTGAGGATATCGAAATGGCCACTGGCGAGAGCTCATCCTCATCTCAGGCCACAAACCGTGAGACTTCCACGAAAAAGCCGGAGAAACCCCAATTCAAGGCTGAGGACCATCCTATCTATATCTATAGATGCTTCCTCCTCCATTGCTTGACGGAACTCCTGTCATCTTATAACCGCACCAAGGTGGAGTTCATCAACTTTTCCCGCAAGGCAGATCCCCTGGCAACAACCCCATCAAAGCCACGGTCCGGTATTTTGAATTATCTACTTCACGGCCTTATTCCAATTGGAACCATGGAACATGACGAATCCATTCCATTCAAAAAGCGCGTTAATACCTCAGGATGGGCAATGAAAGTTATAATCGCCCTATGTACAAAGACGATTGAATATGGCGGACGGAGATCTCTTCCTTCACAAGAAGAAGAGGTTGAATCTGACTTGGTATTTGTCCGAAAATTCGTCCTGGAACACGCCCTGAAGTCCTATAAGGATGCTAGTGCTTCTCGGGAGCCACTTGACTCCAAGTATGCTCGCCTCATGTGCATGGCAGACCTTTTTGATAAAATGCTCAGTGGTGGTTCTGGCCCAGATGGCACACCACGAACTTCATCAGCTACTCGCCAGATCGCTAAGACAATGTTTGAGAAGAACTTTGTCAATGCCTTCACTGCCTCTATCGCTGACATTGACTTAAACTTCCCATCATCCAAGCGCGTCGTGAAATATATCCTACGACCTCTTAATAAGCTATCTCAGACTGCCGTACTTTTAAGCGAAAGCGGCTCGATTGAAGCGAAACCGAATCAAAGTGACTCTGATGAAATATCGTCAGCAAGTTCGGTATCTGAATTTTCGTCGTCAAGAGAAGAGACGCCCGATCTTTTCCGTCACTCTACCCTAGGCATGTTTGAACCACATGAGGAAGAGACTTCCAGTGACGAGGATGAAGAGGACGAGGAAATGTACGACGATGAGTATGATGAAGAGATGGAGTATGAAGAAGACATGCCAGAGCACGATGGAGAAGTTGTCAGTGACGAAGATGAGGAGGAGATGGATGAGCGAGGTCCAATTGAAGGATTACCGGGCGATACTCCAATGGATATCGAAGTCTTAATCGACGGAGACTCCGAGGATGAGGATGATGTGGACGACGATGATGAAGATGATGCAGATGATGACGAGGACGACGACGAGGACGACGGCGATGACCATCTGGACGAACGAATTGTTGCTGGTGAAATTACCGGTGATAATGACAATAACAGTCTCCAAGATGGAGAAGATGAATGGGAAAGTGATGAGGGTTCCGAAGAGGCAGACGATGAGTTAGCCATGATGAACCAGCTCGAGATTGAATTAGGGGGTGGCATGGGACAAGGAGAACACAATCGTCCCGGTCCGCCTCACATAGAAAATCTTCTGAGAGTCCTGGAAGAGACTGGCGCCTCTGTTGAGCGCCTGGACCACGAAATCGACCATGGAATGGATATGAGGGACCTTGGAGAAGATTTTGTAGAGGATGACTTGAATGAGGAAGAAGGTATGGTGCAGTCATGCAATATATAACTCGCATCCAGCTAACTTTTCACCAGACGATGATGAAGAAGTTGACGAACTGGAAGAAGAAGTTGATGAGTTTGACGACGAGCAAGCAATATACCATGAATACGACCGTAAGTGACCGTACTACTCAATCACTGCCTTGCTTTGAGGACTGACAAAAGCGTACTTTAGATGATGATGGGGACCTTTCCAACTCACCATGGAGCTGGGATGAACCAGTTCTGACCCAGAACCGCGTTCCTTCACGGAATATTTCGTCCTGGAATTTCTTCCCGGGTCAGATGGCAAGCCGACAGGGGATCATACCAGTACCGGACTATCGAACTCACCGGAATCAAGTTACACAACCGGGAAATGATGATGGTGTTAACCCCCTTCTACGCCGTTATGGTCGCCCACATGAACAGCCGGCCCAAAGACGAGGGCCAAATGCGGAAGCATTTAGTGACTGGGTAACTGCAATGGACCCAAATAGCCATGGTAGGCTTTTGTCAATCGATAGCCCTGTTACATTCATGAATGCAATTATGCAAGCAATTGGCCAAGGAGGACCAGAGTTTGGCATCATACCCCGGCCTGATGGATTCCACCTTCATGTGGAGCGTGGATCCGTTCTCCCTGGCCGTCTCCAGGATCTCCTTGGATTAGGAAGAGCCCCAGCGGTTGCTCCACGTTCTCGTGACGATCCAGGCCAGGCTGTTGCCTTCCCAACCGGCTCGACATTAAATCGTTGGCAGGAAGAAGCTCGACTTCATTTCAACAACCTCTATATGGAAAGGGCACAGCGAATTGTGCAATCAATTCTCAAACTTTTAATTCCCCCAGCTATCGAGGAAGACAAGCAACGACAAAAGAAATTGGAAGAAGAGCGAAAGCGTTTGGACGAAGAAAAGCTTGAGCGGGAGAAACAAGAACGCATTGCTCGAGAAGAGGCTGAAAAGGAGAAAAAGCGGAAGGAAGAAGAGGAAGAAGCTAGAAAATTGGAGGAAGAACGCCGTGCAGAGGAAAATGCTCAAGCGGGTGATGCTGAGCCAATGGAAGATGTGCAGCCTACAGCTGGTGCTGCGGAGCAGCCTTCTACTGAAGCTGCAGCCCCTGAAGCAGGCCCGTCAGAGCCTGTTCAAAGAGTTCACACGATCATACGCGGCCGCCAACTTGATATTACTGGCATGGAAATCGATCCGGAATACCTTGAGGCACTCCCAGAAGAAATGCGCGAGGAAGTAATCTTGCAACAACTTGCAGAACAACGTTCTCAAGCAGCCGTCGCTGGCGAAGAACCAAGTGAGATCAACCCCGAATTTTTAGAAGCCTTGCCGGCAGAAATCCGAGAGGAACTCCTACAGCAAGAAGCCGCCGATCGCCGTCGTCGAGAGCGGGAAGCTGCTCGTCGGCAAGCAGCAGCGAATGGAGGTCCTCATGCCGAAGATATGGATCCTGCCAGTTTCATAGCAACACTTGAACCATCATTGCGACAAACTGTCTTGGCTGACCAACCTGATGATATATTGGCTTCACTAGGCCCAGAGTTTGTGACGGAAGCTCGGGCATTGACCGGCCGCAGACTTCCTCGGTTTGGTGACCCGGTCCTAGACCCGCCTCCCCCGGCTCGTCAAACCCAGGAGCCCAAGAAGCCTCAACGCCGGCAGATTGTGCAGGTCGTCGATAAAGCTGGTGTAGCCACTCTACTTCGACTGATGTTTATGCCACTACAACCGAATGCTAGACATCATGTAAATGATATCCTACATAATGTTTGCCAGAACCGTCAGAATAGATCAGAAGTGATCAGCCTCATTCTGCTGATCCTCCAAGACGGAAGCGCTGATATTTCGGCAGTGGAGCGAAGCTTCGCTCATTTGTCATTGCGCGCCAAAACGCCAACTTCTCAGCGAACTCCCCAATCCCTCAAACGGGCTTTGTCGCTCCCTGCCCCCGGCGCCAACCATGATGTGACCCCATTGATTGTCATTCAACAATGCTTAGGTGCTCTTTCGTTCCTAACTCAGTACAACCCGCATATCCCATGGTTTTTCCTCACCGAGCATGAATCCATCTCAGCCCTTAAAATGAAGGCCCTACGTAAAGGGAAGACAAAGGAAAACAGGGCAAATAAATTTGCACTGAATTCTCTTTTGTCCCTTCTCGACCGGAAAGCAATCTTGGACAGTCCTAACTGCATGGAACAGCTATCCGGATTACTTAGCAGTATTACCCATCCTTTAACAATACTACTCCGAAGAGAATCAGACAAGCAAGAGGTTTCCGAAACTAAAGAGGCTGAGACGAAACCCGAAACTGTGACCCAGCCACAGGATGCAGGTGAAACCCAGGCAAGCAACCCACCAGATACTACTATGGCGGAGCCAACTGCCGGGACGACTTCAGATACTGCCGGCCAACAAGAGCAAGGTGAAGATGGAAATACCGAGGGAGACAAATCTTCCAAGGAAGACAGAAAGAAGAAAGTACGAACAATTGACCCTCCCGTGGTCCCAGAGTACAATTTACGACTTGTGGTTCATATTCTCTCCGCCCGCGAGTGCAATGGTAGGACATTTAGAGAAACGCTTTCCACCATCAATAACTTGTCTTCAATCCCGGGCGCAAAAGAAATTATTGGGAAAGAGTTGGTTGGTCAAGCACAAACTTTGAGCAAATCGATATTGGTCGACTTGGAGGAACTTAAACCTCATATTACCAATGCGGAATCTGGTACTGATGTGCAGGGCATGGCTCTTGCGAAATTCTCGCCAGCAAGTTCCGACCAAGCTAAGCTGCTACGAGTTTTGACAGCACTTGATTATCTATTTGATCCCAGTCGAGACAAGGAGAAAATATCTGAAGCGGAGGCCTCTGAGAAAGCAAACACCCTGAAGGCGCTTTATGAGAGTGTTACTTTTGGGCCTTTATGGACGAAGCTTAGTGATTGCCTCCACGCTGTTCAACGCAAAGAATCGATGCTGAATGTCGCGACGACCCTTCTCCCATTGATCGAGTCACTCATGGTTGTCTGCAAGAATACCACACTGAAGGATATTCCCCTTTTCCCCAAGCAAGGCCGCGAGTTCTCCGTGTCAAGCCCACCTCCCGATTCTGGTATGGAGGGCTTGTTCTTCAACTTTACCGAGGATCACCGCAAGATCCTCAACGAGCTTGTGCGGCAAAATCCCCGACTTATGAGCGGCACATTCTCGCTACTGGTCAAGAATCCAAAGGTTTTGGAGTTCGACAACAAACGTAACTACTTCAACCGCAAGCTCCATTCCCGCGGAACCGAGGTTCGCCATCCCCATCCTCCACTACAACTCTCTGTCCGCCGTGACCAGGTGTTCCTCGACTCCTTCAAGTCTCTATATTTCAAAACCGCAGACGAAATGAAATATGGCAAACTTAGCATTCGATTCCATGGCGAAGAAGGTGTTGATGCTGGTGGCGTAAGCAGGGAATGGTTCCAGGTCCTTGCCCGAGGAATGTTCAACCCCGATTATGCTTTGTTCATTCCAGTCGCATCTGATCGCACAACATTCCACCCCAACCGGCTTAGTGGCGTCAATCAGGAGCACCTGATGTTCTTCAAATTTATCGGACGCATCATTGGCAAAGCATTGTATGAAGGTAGGGTTCTTGATTGTCACTTCAGTAGAGCAGTGTACAAGAGAATCCTAGGAAAGTCAGTCTCCATTAAAGACATGGAGACTCTTGACCTCGACTATTACAAGTCGCTTTTGTGGATGCTAGAAAACGACATTACTGATATTCTTACTGAGAATTTCTCTGTTGAGGTTGAAGATTTTGGTGAAACCCGTGTCATTGACTTAGTAGAGAACGGCCGAAATATCCCAGTCACCCAGGAGAACAAGGAAGAATACGTTCAACACGTTGTTGAACACCGATTGACAGGGTCTGTGAAAGAGCAGCTGGACCACTTCCTCCGTGGTTTCCACGATATTATACCAGCAGACCTTATCTCCATCTTCAACGAACAGGAACTGGAACTTCTCATTTCTGGGTTACCTGAGATCGATGTCAATGATTGGAAGAACAACACTGAGTATCACAACTATTCTGCATCTTCTCCGCAGATTCAGTGGTTCTGGCGCGCCGTTCGGTCATTTGACAAAGAAGAGAGAGCCAAACTTCTTCAGTTTGTCACTGGTACCAGCAAGGTACCCTTGAACGGATTTAGAGAGCTTGAGGGAATGAATGGATTCAGCAAATTCAATATCCATCGTGACTACGGTAGCAAAGACAGGCTTCCGAGCTCGCATACCTGTTTTAACCGTAAGTTATCATTTTCAGTACATATTACCGCTGTTCAACATGCTAACTCATCATTTTGCAGAGCTCGATCTACCCGAGTATGACAGCTATGAGTCGTTACGCAAATGCCTATACACAGCTATGACTGCTGGCAGTGAATACTTCGGGTTCGCTTAAGAGATTCAGTGGCTAAACCCATACCCCTCCTCATCCCAATCTACTGTTTATCAGCTTTTCATGACTCTGTTTCCCATACCATACCCTTCCACTTCCCATAGCTTGACTGCCCTTGATACATCGCATGTGAACTCTAGCATTAGGCATCAGGACGGCGTGCTCTGGCTCAGGGTTTCATTTCCCCTAAGATTCCCATGTATATTTCAGAATGTTTTGACAATGCTTTCTCTCAAACGAAGGCCGACCGGCTCTCGTCTGGTGGTTTTCTGTCGTTCCCCTTTCCCCTGATTTTCCGCCAACTGTGTTTTATTGTGCCCCTACATTCCCTTTCCCCATTAGATAGGTTTGATAATACTGGGCTCTCTGAGTAGCTGAAGTGCAGATCGGCTCATCTCTTAGGTTCCCACTAAAAAATACATTTCTTACCTGAATTCTTCTCTGGAGTTTGATGTACCGTCATTGTCCATGACCGGTCATTGGTCGTCAAGATTACATAAACCAGTTACACGTGACTATTTTTATAGGTATCGATAAGCGATCTGCCACTTTCTTATTTAGGACTAGCGTGTCGGAGCTTTTTGGCAAAGATAAAAAATCGAAAAAGACTTCAGCAAACGTCGAAGTTTCGGGTTTGATGGAAGCAGACGCGGCGGGTGAGAAAACAAACATGCTATGATGTGCTTTGTGCGTTGATACGAGAGCCAAACAACAGACAGACGGCCACCTGGGTCCCTTCATATTATACAGCTTGACTTCCACCGATAATGCGCTAGCTCCCTGTCAGAATCTCCACCAACTATTTGTTCACTCAGCCGCCACGCTGTGATCTGTTTCGATCCCTCACACTACTATCCACAATACCTCTGACGATGGCGAGCAATTCTATAAAGCTCTTGACTGGCAATAGCCATCCGGAGCTGGCACAGCTTGTTGCAGACAGGTATGATACTTCTATTTGGACTCCTGGACCTGTGCTTGTTTCCTAGAAGTTTATAGGGAGGGGGTGGTAAACCAGATTTGTAGTTTGCCGTGTCAGCTGTGTAGATGTGGTTGCTAATATCATGACTATAGGCTAGGAATCGAGTTGACAAAGATCATGGTCTTGCAATACTCCAATCAAGAGACTAGTGTGACCATCGGCGAAAGTGTTCGAGATGAAGATGGTAATATTCTTTCCCCCTTGACCTGCTGGACTTACTTTTCTTATTTTTCATAATACGAGAAATTTTGGGAATCAACTTGCTGGAGTCATTCATTTTGATTGTTTACAAATTGCGTTCCATGAAAGGCAGTGCTAACAATCATCTTCTATCAAGTCTTCATTCTTCAGTCTACAAAGCCCAATGACATCAACGATGGCTTGATGGAGCTTCTTATCATGATTAATGCTTGCAAGACCGCTTCGGCTCGACGTATCACCGCTGTCATTCCCAATTTTCCGTATGCTCGACAGGATAAGAAGGATAAAAGCCGTGCACCAATTACCGCAAAATTGATGGCCAACATGCTGCAAACCGCTGGTTGTAACCATGTCATCACTATGGACCTCCACGCCAGTCAGATCCAAGGTTTTTTCAATGTTCCCGTAGATAACCTCTACGCCGAACCAAGCATGCTGAGGTGGATCCGCCAGAATCTGGATATCACAAACTGTGTCATCGTCAGTCCTGATGCTGGTGGTGCTAAGAGAGCTACTGCCATCGCCGATCGACTTGATCTTCAATTTGCCTTAATCCACAAAGAGCGTGCAAGACCAAACGAGGTCTCCCGTATGGTCCTCGTTGGAAGCGTTGAAGGCAAAACTGCCATCATTGTTGACGATATGGCCGATACCTGTGGAACTTTAGTCAAGGCAGCTGATACTTTGATGGGCCACGGAGCTAAGGAAGTTGTTGCCATTGTCACTCACGGTATACTGAGTGGAAAGGCTATTGAGACCCTGAACAACGGCTGCCTAAGTCGAATTGTGGTTACCAACACTGTTCCCCTCAACGAAAAGAAGGAACAATGCTCGAAAATTGAGACTATCGACATCAGCCCTGTATTAGCTGAAGCCTGCAGGAGAACCCACAACGGCGAATCCGTCAGCTTTTTGTTCTCTCATGCTGTCTCGTAATGATCCAACGGTTGCATGAAAATTTCCGGTTTATTTATCTCCTTTTTCATACTATTTTCTCTGATTCTGAATATTTGTCGCCATCTAATATAGAGATACTCTGATGGTCTGCTGGATTAATGAAGCCATGGAGTGTTGTAAGCAAGTTGCAGTACATTCTCTTCCAACAGCACAAGGTGATAACCACAACTGATGACCACTTCTAAACATTTCATGCACTATATAAGATTGAATATTTCGATAGAACTTCACTCTACATAACTACCAGTGTCAAAACTTAGCAAAGCGCTCGTAGATTTATTACACGAAGAACGGAAGGATGGTTAATTTTGATTGGTTCTCGATTATGTCGCAAACCCATGTATAATTTTCCCTATTTGACTCCCCTCCCGTTATAAAGGAACAAAACAAATGAGAAAGATTATCACAATAATAAGTCACACGATTTCTCCCTCCGCTCGTTCGCAGAGAATAAAAGAATATACCTTTTCATTGTCGTAGTATTCTTTTCATTACTTCATCATCGAGACGGCTGGGAAGAAAACATGGCTGGGTTTGACTTTTTCCCCTTGGATTTGACATGGTATCGTGCAGTGCCCATATTGACTCAAGCCTCACGCTCTCCAACCCCTTCACCCTAAACGACGACCTTACTTGCGCATCGACGAAGCTCGTCGCTTTCGGAGCTCATCACGCTTAGCCTTCTCTTCGTGGACACGGCTAGCCAACATCTTGGCATATTCGTTGCTGCGGGGATAAGGTTAGCAATGATCAAAGACTCCGAATGTTGAGGTATGTGTTATTTAAAGAGTGAGAAAAGGGTATGAGTCAAACATACGCAGCTTCCTTGGAAGCCTCAGAGCGACGGCGCTTGAGGGCCATTCTGTGACGCTTTCGCTGTAGTCTCTGGGGGGTGACGAGACGCTGAATCTTAGGAGCCTTGGTGTACTCCTTCTTTCCTTCACCCTTAGGGGTGACGGTACGGCGGATAACGAATTTTCTAACGTCATCCTTCTTATCGAGACCGAAGAAGGAGCGGATCTTGGTGGCACGCTTGGGGCCGAGGCGCTTGGGGTTGACAACGTCGGTCAAACCTGGGAGCTCACCCTCACCCTGCTTGACAATGCTGAGAGCAAGGACGGAGAGGTCGAGACCGGTGATGGCTGAAGGGAAAAGTTAGAGACTGAATCCTTCAGTTCATATTTACAAACAGTTGGATATAATTACCTCCACGGACACTCTTTCTCTTGCGCTCTCCTGTTCGGCGGGGGCGGTAGCAGCTGTGGCCATCAGAAAGAAGGAGTCTGGTACGGTGTGGCAGGAGGACTGTTGAGAACTACTGTCAGACAACCATCGTATGAATTGAATATATGCTTCGATTGACGGCGTACATACCACCCTGCTTCATGGGGAAACCTATAATCACGCGACTGTTAGCATGCTGAAATGGAAATCTACTCATAACGCGCCGAAAACAAAAGAATGGCAGAACGTACCTTGTTTATCGTTACCACCAGTGATTCTGAAAACATATCCCTTGAATTCATCGCCGAGGGAGTCGCCGGCAACCTAGATAGCCTTGAATCAGCAAAGAAGTTCCTCTGCATTTGCCGACCATTCGGGAATAATATCGAGACGACAATGGCCATTCCATCCATATCAAATACAGCGCCAAAACGAAGGCAGCACCAGGACCAGATGGACGTATTCCATCCCCCTCTTCTCTGGTATTCACGGGTTGTTGTTCCTTACTTCAGTTCCCATTCGCTTCTCCATGAAAGGTCTCAGCTTGCGGTCATCATCAATTTCGATCAACTTCTGCGACCCATTGGCCGGGTAGGAAACGTTGAGCTTCATCTTGACCAAAGTTCTCTCGCTGTCAAGATGGCCGGGAGGGAGAGAAAAAAGGGCGCGCGGTGGTCGATGTGGTCGGTTGCGTGAAGCAGAAGTTCGACTTTCTCTCGCTGTCTTCAAATTTGAATCCGGTGGATATTTTTTTTGGTGTAGCGAACTTTCTGTGTGGGCCATGACTAAGCGTCACGTTACTGTCTTGATCACATAAGCAGCCCTAGCTCGTCAGCTGACTAATATCACATGACCCATGTGTTATGTAAGCCATAGTCTTTGTTTTGACGTCCAAAAAGCAACTTCAAACCCCAAAGAGCAGCAAAGAGATGGACACCGAGAGACGACGAGGATGATGGCCCCGGGGGACGAGGATCAAGTGTCCTAAAGCTGATATGTTTTCATTTGCCGATAACTAAGAGTCGCGCCGGCTATCGATACGCGTTATCGTGCTCCTACATGGTTCCAACTACCAACGGTTGCACCACGAGCGCTGTTACATGGACATAACGCACATCTCTCGTGTATGTACTTCAATAATACAAAGAATGGGCGGCGTCGAGGGCTCATGATTGTCAAAGATCTGCATCAGGCACAAGGCTTGATATTCTCCGATGGCTCATTATGGTATGTGCGGACTACAATGGAATCAAAGACACTCACTTGAATTCCTAGAATTCTGCGGCTGTATTCCTACCCTTCCTGTCCCGGCATACTACTTTTAGCTGGCTGCATTCGAGAAGCGGTGCGGCAGCAGACAATAATGGCGAACGGTTGACCTGTGGACAGCCTGAACATTGATGCCCCTTCTACTTAGCCAACTTCCCCGGAATAAACCAAGGAAGAAACAGATAAGTTCGAACACTATATCTTGGTGTATCAGTTTATAAAGCCACTTCTCGGTTAGGACTCGTGCTACGGAGTATAAGCATGAATAACCATACTCCGTACAGCCTGCTCGTTCTATCCCAATGGTCATGTATATGCTCATGTTTACACCGGGGATCGGACACAATCTCATCGCCACAACACTAAGCACAAAATTATTCAAGTTGTGCACAAAACAGTCACCAGAGGCCCTTATGACCACCCACTCATCGATGCATTACAAAGGAGAACTCCTTTTCCCGAGATGGGAGATTCGGGTCGCGCTCATAGTACCAAAATGGATATAGCATTGCCTATCACACCCCAGGTTCTCAAAAAGAAAACGAACACAAATGGATGCAGTTCCTAAATCGGCAAGCTTGGAACTCAACGTGGCGTAAGACATGCGGAAGAAATCACTCATCAAGGATCTTGAGACACATACTCCGTACCTGCGAAGAATTTACTTATCTCTTCGTGGCTGGTTTGCGCACAACACCGTAATTCTGTCTCTTTCAAACACATCAGTCAGTTTAAATGCGATTCCCATATCCCACTCGCGAGGTGGGGAGTTTGTTGTCTCTCAGCCCCAAAGCAACGACCCATGTTCCGTTTGCTACCGCCTACCCCGTACCGACACCAATAGTAACATTGGCGGAGGAAATGAAGAAACCGCTTCACTGGCCTAATTGGCTCTCCTTAGTTCTTCACTTGCAGAATGTTGTCTTTCCCGCTACAATATTAATGATTTTTACGGAGTATCATTAGGCGACAATCACTAACCCCTGTACGTGGATGTACTAAACCAACTGGTAAAGGACGGAGTAATGGCAAATGGCCCCTCCGACGCCGAGGGGTCCATTCATGGATAAAGCATGTCATTGCCCAGGACAGGTATGGAGAGTGTTTACGAATTCAACAAGCTATTTAGGAGCAATTCTCATTTCTCTCCTGGCGCCACGGGAAGCTCCTAGTTCAAATGATCGTCCAAGAAAAGTCGGTGATAGAGAGCTATTTTTAAGGTGTGATACCTTTGTGGCTTGTTGGAGTTTATGCCCGCTTGACGGTGGGCAGCGAGGGATGTACCCGCCTTGCTATAAGTAAACAATCTATTCCAACATTTCTCCCTATCAAGCAAAGGGCTAGGAAGCGAACCTCTTTGTTGGTGGCAGGTAAGCGGAGTGAAAATGTTTTGCATGGCCCTGCTGTGCTCCCTTGCATTGCATCTGATTTTCTTTGCTTTTCTTTCTTTGCTTTTTTCTTTTCTTTCTTCCTGCTCAGTTCGTTATTTATTATTATTGATTAGTTAGTTATGGAGCTAGCTTGCACTTCATTTTAGTTAACTCGCTACTGCGCACCGACTCTCCGAGAGCTATACTAACTGCTGAGCCTCCAAGTTGTTCCGTTTGTACGGTCGTTGTACTCCAAAATGGAGAGAAGTCGGGCAAATCGAAATAAAACCCGCCCTAGGGACTCCAGGCAGTCTTGCCTATCGCATTGTTGCAGGTGTCTAACTAACCGCTCATTGGATGTCTCGGGTAAAGAAATATGTGCATCCCGCCGCTTTCAGCCAGCCCATGGGGACAAAGGATACCCAAAACAATAGTTCACGTTCTCCACCCCTGGTCTGAAGATTCATAGCCTTAACTGGTTGATACATCACCATGGAATGCATCGGACACCTGCAATTGTTTGCAAGGAGAAGCTTGCTGTACGTCGAAAAGACAACAAAGAAAGCTACAAGGAGAAGAGCGGAAATCAGGACGCAAATCCAACAAGTTACTTAAACATGACGGAATTGTTTAAGAAACCAAGAATTAACAAAGGAAATTTTCTTTTCCTTCTTCTATCCCTTCGCTGTCGTCTTCTTTCTTCTTTCTTCCTTCTAGTATCTTCGTTGTCGTGGCAGTCCTTTGCCACATTCATAACTACATCATGATACCTACGAACAAGAACAAGAAGGACGAGAACACCTTTTACGAATCCTACCTTTCACGTCTCTTGTCATGTTTTCCCGGACCAATCCAGACAATATTCAAACTTCCTCTATGCCAAACGATAGACTTCTCCCAAAGCCGGTCTTATATTATGATTACTCGAGGCGAGATGTACCGACTCCTGGGTCTACAACACCACTGGCTCACAGGGTAATTACCCAGGGAGTCTCTTCTGGCTTTGAAGTTGAAGAGAATATGCCATCCCCCAGAGCATTGCCGATGACGGGAATGGAAGCAATCTCCCATGCTGCACTATCTCATTATCAAGATAACATCTCCGTTTTATCAACGCTGCCGGTGGCTGCTCAAGCAGACACAACTCGGAAGTCTATGGAGATAGATGCATCCGTCGTCAAATCCGAAGCTGCTCATCGAGAGTGTTCTACTTCACCAAATTCCCCTAAATCAGATTTTACAGAGGAATCCAATGTTCAGTTTTGCTTGTGTGGACCAGAACCGAAAATTCCTCGTCCAAGAAATGGTTCGTTGATGATTTCCCTCGCATATACCTACATGATTAACACTGTGTAGCGCAACCATAAGCGCTGGGCTCCAATTATACACAACTCTTTTTGTATCCAGCAATCAATTGGCTTTTCATACCCCTCCACTAGATATGCATTCTAACTTCTATCTTCCAGCATTCATTCTGTTCCGACAACACTTACAGAGCTCTGTTGTGGCAGAAAACCCGGGCTTACCAAACCCCGATATATCGAAGATCATCGGAAAGATCTGGAAAGGGCTTCCATTGAAAGAACAAGAGCCGTGGAAGAAACATGCAGATGTAAGCTTAACTACCCCTTCTCTCATTTTATTTTATTTTATCTTGTGGGTCCCATGCTTATACAGCCGCGCAGGAAGAGAAGGCAAGGCACTTGCAGAAATACCCTGGCTACCGGTATCAGCCACGACGGCCTGGTCGCAAGAGAAGAAACACAAATACTGCCGGACCTACGGTAAAAGTAGACGTCTCTGGCACGTCTATTTGCAGTCGATGTGGAGGGAAACCAATGAAACCCCCTTCAACCCCGTCGACTCCTTTTATTCCGAACTTCAATGATTCGATAGACAATGTGCAAGTTCACTCATCGCACCCCGAAGAGATCCAACGCACACAAGGCCACCACCTGAAATTGGACAATGCACCTAGCCCTATTAATGTCACGTATGAAGAAAGCTGGCGTCCAGCTCCAATTCATGATGAAAATATACCACCTCAATCACCGTGCATTAAACGACGCCGCAGTGAAGAAAGGGAGATGTACCCGTCGATCCGCCATCATATGGGACCTGATAACCCTTACCTGTCCAGGATAACAACCTTACCCCGCCCAGATCTGACTCAACGCATTAACTCGCCTAATTACACCTGGGGCTCTCAATCGCATTATTCAAGCTCAGTACCAGGATCGCCCCATGATCCAAGCCTGGTTCTTCCGCCATTGAAAATAGCAGCCTCAAATCATCCTCATTGCTTGGCAAGCCTGGAAGAGCAACCAAAGGCTGTTTCTTTCTTAGACAAGATAAACCTATTATCCAAAGGATCTCCGCCATTCATGTCTTGTTCAACCCCAATGTCTGGTCAGGCAGAGGGCGCCGTCATTGCAATCGAAGGCTGCGATTCTGAATCAGTAGCATGTGTTACCAAATATTTGAACAATTCTCTTTCATGTGACGACGGTGGGAATGTCAAGATATTCAAAGGACCAGAATCTGGCAAGTCGGCGGCATCAGAGGACACACGAAAGGCGGCTGGGAATTTCCTTGAGACCATTTTCTCCTGGTATAAAATATCGGGCACCATAATCGAGTTCCTCAATGACCGCATTTTACCCGTGACTACAAGATCAACGCCTGGAGAGTCTGGATCTAATTCTTCATTGCAGTCAATCTTGCCTAAAACTGAAGACCTTAGTATTTGTTCAACCGAGCGGTCCGCTTCTGATGAAACTGTCTTCACACCTGAACCTGAAGAAGCTGTGCATACTCCTACGTCATCCTCTTGCAACAATGACTCGACATTCCGTGTCGCTCTAGTTCCACACTACCAATTAGCCACTACGGAATCCCATGCCGGCTCGACACCGCGCAATAGCTCACACGACGCCATTGATCACTGGGAACGCATGGCGATGCAGTGGGGAAGCTGTGTCGGACCGGACATCACCGTATATATACGGGACTGCGATCAAATTGAGCTGAGCAAATATGGCACAGGAAACCCAGTTGAGAACCGTCTAAATGACGTCCGTACGCTGGTCATCAGGCGCCTTGCTGGTAGTACTGAGGGGATCGATGAAAAAGCACTGAGAAGAGTTGGGTTTGAAGTCAAAGAATTCCTCAGAAAGTGAAGAGGAATCTGCGGTATATCGTGGCCAGGTTTGCCTCTTTCACGGCACCTCGACTCTTTAACTGCTTTTTTGGTCGCCTTTTCTCCTACAGATCATCCCAGGCCCTCTATTCGTTTTATCATTTTCAGCGTTTCATCAAGTTTTTAGAATTTTGTACCCCCTCCTTTTCTTTTGTTTTTGATAGACGGACGATGTACGACTTGGGACAGGATTGGGAGGACAGTTTTGTTTTCTCAGCCATGATTCAATGCATCTTAGACAGTGGGCAAGCTGATGACACTGGTTCCTATATACTGGAAGCTATCCAGCGTTCAACTAAATATATTAATAGATTGCTCTCTCTTGACTTAACTGAACTGTTTGCCTTCACCATACGCCTAAGTAACTAGTCAGAAAAGCTGTAACTGTAGCGTTCCTCCTTATCAAACTCCCATGTCGTTTCGAATTCACCCCGGAAGAGATAAACCACTTCAAGCATGAGAGTTTCATGAGCTTTAATATTTCTCAGTAACTTATGAGCAGTAAGTCTACTTAAATACCAAGGAGTAGTTTTAACCCAGCAGTTACGCGACCGACTTCTTGCAAACAAGTTGGAATGGCTCACTCCATAACCCCCTAGAACGAACAGGATTGGCTGGTTGGCGGGCTCTGGCTCTGGCTTTTTGCGACAGACTTGTACGGCCTCAGGCCCCTTCCCTCTTTGGGGTCTGTAGCAAGGATGTGTTTGAGATGCTTTTCGGCCGTTGTTCCATTTGGGGGCCAGTTCTTCGTTCTCGAACGTCCTTGTTGGTTATTGGAGTGTTCGAAGGCCTCTTCGGAGATGCAGGTGCAGCTACAGTCCTATCTTCTTGAGCTCTTGCTCTAGTCTTTGCGCAAGTCTCCTATCGACAAATTGGCGTTCTCTACTCGTTCGTAGAGGGTATAGAATATCTGGTTCGTTATCTACCGGGTAACGTAGGTATCTGCCAATTTGTAACATTCAAGATATGTCTCGCTATCTGGCGGCGACATAGTTAATTGAGCCGTCGATTAAGCACGTTAGGTGTTGGGTCCTTAGCATTCTTGTAACGTAACTACGTCATCCAGCGATCGACGTCTTTCTCGTCCGTCAACATTGGAACCCCAGGCTCATAACATGTCAGAAGATGAACCACAGGGCCATGGGACAAAAGAACCTATCTGCCCCAAGTTCACAAAGGGGAAGTGGACCAAGACCGGGAGTTCTAACAGTGGATGGATGACTAATCCAGACAGGTTGGTATCGCGAGTGACTAAGCAAGTTATCCCATTGGAAAAATACAGGTCAGCTGACAAATAATGCATGCTTAACTGAATGTTTATGTAATCATGCATAGCCGCCGTTTTAACTGCAGCTGGCTCACCTGCCTATTTTGGAACTAGCGTGATATCAAGTTCAGCCTCCTGAAAGAAACGCCTGCGAGGGGGAGTAACACTGCAACGACACACATACAACACAGGAAAACTCTGCCCAGCCACCGCTGGAAGCAACATGTAAAACGTGGACTATAAGTCGCTACCCAGCAGATGAAAAGTCTTTTTCCCATGCATTTTCTGATATCCATATCATCAGTTTGGCCTCTGGCTAACCAGCTTGCAGAGAGCTGGAGTTGCGGGGAAGGACGGTGACGATTGCAATTTTATCTATTTGCCAAGGGCTCGCAGCATTATGACTTCAACAGATATCTCTCCTCCCGCTTCTCCAGCACCATGCTCTCCAGGGGATTCACATATATCAGCATGTTCATCGTCGGACACTTCTGCATCCCCAGCTGACGCAGAGGGGGATCAATCAGATTGTGATCTAAAACATTACATACCGATAGGAGTACTATGGTGGAGGCTGCCTGATGCCACTAGGCCAGATGCTCCACAAGAGTATCGTCCAGAAGCAGATTCTCTACACCTGCTCGAGGACGATGGCTTTATAAAATTGTCCGTTGCTCAGGAACCCGGTGAAATATGGGCAAGAATCCAAATCTATTTGATACCAGAGAGCAGGATCCCGAGACTGCCACGCAGACACCAACGCCACCGGCGTGCTTTGAAAGCTGTGATGGCTAAAATCGACGCATCGGCAGATGCATGGGAAGGAAGACGGCGACATCCGGTACCGGTCAACAATGCTAGCGAAGCAGGCTCTGGCTGTGAATCTCTCTTTTATATCTTCAACACATTACAATCTCCAAAGCCGGAAGCAACACATGTCTCTGACCCTTGGTCTAAAATTGCAATTACTAATCTTATTTATTCCGGCGATTATGAAGATGACGCTGGTGATGGCAGCTCCGGAATTGATGGCCTGAAGACAAGGCTCTACCCCTACCAACGGCGATCTGCTGCTCTAATGATCCAAAAAGAGGCGGAGCCATCGCTATCGCTTGACCCTCGACTCCAAGCTCTCCAGAGCCCGACAGGAAGAACATATTACTACGATGGAGAGCAAGGAATTGTATTTGATGAGCCAAGGTTCTATTCCAATGTGTCGGGAGGTATACATCCCACTCAAACACACCCGGAACTCGTTAATTGAAGGCTAACAAGTGTTTAGGCATCTTAGCAGAAACAATGGGGTACGGGAAGACGTTAATATGCCTAGCTGTTATCCTAGCAACAAGGGGTCACATGCCTTCTATTCCATCTGAATTCATTACTTCAACGCCAATTAGAAGCGAAACTGGATCGCTCATGACTATGGCTGCGGCTGCAGCCGGTACCAAGTCCCTTCCTTGGGAAACACATTTTAGAAACCTTGGCTCTAATGGAATGTACTTCGGCAAATGTATCGATATGTGCAACAAACACCGTGGAACATACACTATCAATTTGGCCCCAAAGTACGGCAACCGCAGCGGCTCGTATCTGAGAGATAGCTCAGTTACAGTACAGCTCACATCGGCAACTTTAATAATTGTCCCACCAAACTTGGTCGATCACTGGCTAAACGAAATAGCTATACATACTGAAGGCTTAAATGTCCTGGTGCTCAGAGACAGCAGCGCTAAAACCCCACCAGCATCTGATCTTTTAAAGTATGACATCGTGTTATTTTCACAGCCCCGATTCAAGAAGGAATCTGGTGTTTATACAGGGTCAGGTCCCACATATTTCTCACCGCTGAGATATCTTCGTTGGCTCCGAATTATTGTCGATGAAGGCCATAACTTTGCTAGTAGTGGAGGAAAAACTAATTCAGTCTATATGCTAGACAAACTACAAGTTGAACGTCGATGGATTGTTTCAGGGACACCATCGAAAGGACTCTATGGTGTTGAAATCACCCTTGCTGCCGAGCAAAGCCTTAATTCGACATCGGAGGAGGAGAAAATTGGAGGAATATTGGAAGCTCGTAGGCATGCCGGAAACATACTGAATGACGAAGTGAAGCGATTGGACAGCCTGCGATCGATGGTTATCGATTTTCTCAATCTCAAGCCCTGGGCGAATTCTCGAGCAGCAGATCCAGCTAGCTGGACGACTTACATGACCCCAATTGGTCCCGACGGAAGGCGAGCGATGTCCCCGTCTCTTCGAGCCACCCTCCAGTCACTTGTCGTACGCCATCGCTCAGAAGACTTACATCGGGAATTGCCCTTACCAAGCCTTCACAATGAAGTTGTTTATCTTGAACCAACTTGTTACGACAAAGCCTCGTTGAATTTGTTCATCCTGCGGATCGTGATTAACGCAATAACCTCTGAGAGGACCGGCGATGACTACCTGTTCCATCCCAAAAACAGAAAGCATCTCAGCCAGTTGATGAACAACCTGAGGCTAGCGGGATTTTGGTGGCCTGGAGCCGAGACCGAAGAGATCCAAAATGTTACTCTTCGAGTAGGTAAAGACTATCTGCAGAAGAATATAGATCGGATGGCAGGTGAGGAATTGAATTTGTTGCATCAAGCGATATCCATTGGAGAGAAAATCTTGGGCTTCTCCACTCGGAATGTTCTATGTGAAAAGGAAGAAGTTGGAATCTTGGTGGATGGTTTCCCTGAGTGTGCCCAGGGTTTTTGGGAAATAGGTGAGAGAACGGGGCATCAGGAACCAATGCTTCTTGGCCTCTCCCTTGCCAGAGAGGCACAGAAATTTGTTGTCTCGAAGCTCTGTTCCTTGGATCCGGGAGAAGGACTCGCTGGAGCCGGCATCAGAGCTAGACGGCAGAGATACCAAAAACCTACGCAAGTTGAAAAAGCCTCCCCTAAAAAAAAGCCAGAGGAAGTGATAAATACCACCCATCGACCGAAGCCTGAGAAGATTAGCGACACAAAGAGCTCAGTGAAAAAGAGTCTGCCGTCTGACTCCAGTTTAAAGAAAACAAAGGTCATCGGGACCGTGTCGGCTAAGCTGAGTTACCTTCTAGAAAAAGTGCTCCAGTTTCAAGACACAGAGAAAATTATAATCTTCTACGAGAGCGAAAATACCGCGTTTTGGATCGCCGAGGGCCTTGAGTTGGTGGGCACTGATTTTCGCATTTATGCACATACTCTGAAGGCCAGCCAAAAGTCGGAGTATTTGTCCACATTTAATGAGGGCGAATCAGTCCGGGTCCTCCTTATGGACCTTCGACAAGCCTCTCATGGTCTTCACATAGCGATTGCTTCAAGGGTCTTCATTGTCAACCCCATATGGGACCCCAATATCGAGAGCCAAGCCATCAAGCGAGCCCATCGGATATCCCAGACTCGGCCGGTGTACGTGGAAACTTTGGTGCTGAAGGATACGTTGGAAGACAAAATGCTGAGGCGCAGAAAAGCCATGACAAGCGTAGAGATGCAACATGCAGAGAAAGACATGCTGAATGATGGGACAATGAGCTCCATCATCCAGAGTGAAGGCTTTCTCCCCCTTCCTGACAATTTTGCATCCCCTAGCGCTGCTATCCTGAGCAAGCCCTTTGGATTGTTTGATAGACACACGCTCCCTATCCCCGACGACTACGTTGATCCCACCAAGCCTGCACAAGACCATCAGCCAGAACTTGTCGCCTCAGATATAGTTTCTGACTCTCTGACTGCTGACGACAAACGGAGATTGGCTAATTTCCTTGAATTCGACTCGCCTGCAGCCTCTCAGGGAAGAAAATCACCGAAACGACGCAAGGAATCACACGCTGAAGAGGTTGTCAACGAAAATGGCATAGTTTTTATATCCCCTAGAAGCCGGACACCCCGCAAACAGCGACGAGGGCCTTCTAGCGTCTCTTCTAGTCCTAGCAGCCCCAGCACATGAGGCAGCCTGGCTAGTTAGTTGCGCATTTTGTGATGTAGGACGATTTCCGACGGAATGAGTGAACGATCTGGTCAAAGTTCATTTTCGAGTTGTAAGAGATAATTCCACATGGCTCATTATAATCAAGGTACTCTAGATATCATCTTCTTTTATAGACTAATACTTTACTCCGCCTGAGTGCCTTTTCGTTAAGGATATACTCGCCCGGCTTCTCTCTTGTAGCTACTCTCTACTCTTTAAGGCTGCTCCTCTTTTACTTCTTAGTATCATGTAGTAGTAAGATAAGCCTCTAGCGAGAGGGGCCTAGGGAGAAGTGCTATAGAGAAGATAGCTAAGAGAGGAGATTTATTATTATAGCTATGTTAAAGGAAGAGCTTCTAGATAAGGGGGGAGAGCAGGTGGGTTTAACTATGTGGCATAAATTTTCAACAAGCCGAAGGGAATTCTGTTCCGCGCCAAAGAGTAATCTATATGGGAAGTCTAAGGAACTATAGAATTGCTAGATATTAACTAGTTAACTGAGGCATCCAGCTAACTAACCGGTTGCTCCAAGGGGGTACTCAGGTAGTCATGAACAACCGGCTTACCGGTTAACTCTATTAACTAACTAGTTAACTTGTTAATTCAGTGAGGGGCTCACTATCAAGTCCAGCCAAGTCTTCAATATCCAAAACAGAGAGGCAAGGGACCTGAAGAAACACTCGAGATATAACTCTTGGAACATACAAACAATGACCGGAAAGATTCTCGTTGTGGGGATCTCCGGCCCATCCTCAAGCGGCAAGACAACGCTTGCACGGCTTTTGCGATCTGTGTTTACGCCAACGCAAGGATCAAATATCAATATTAAGACCCTTCTTGTTCACGAAGATGATTTCTACAAGGCCGACGACAGGTAAGCAAATTATTTAATAAGTCTAGTAGTGCGTTTTTAACCAGAGCTATTCAGGATCCCAATAACAACTACGTCCTCGGGCAAATTGGTGCAGGACTGGGATACAGTAGAAGCTTTTGATATAAAGCAATTCGTTTCCTGTCTGTCTCACATTCGTGAAACGGGCGAATTTCCTCCCAAGTTGAAAAGCAAGGAGGACTTGAATGATGCTACGGACTCTGGGGTTCATGAAGCCACTATACATGCCTTACAAGAGCGCATAATTCAACAACTACAGCGTCAGGGACTCGGGGAACATGACCCCAACTTAACTGTTGTGTTTGTGGATGGTTTCCTGTTATATGCTCCCCCGAATGACCCTGCGCACCCATTACGGCCCGTCCATGATCAGATTGACCTCCCTATCTTCTTGCCGGTGACATATCCCCTGCTCAAACAACGCCGGGAAGGAAGAACAGGATACGTTACCATCGGACCTGCACCAACTCCTGTGCTCAGAGAGGAAGATAACTCGCAGGATAAGCCAGAAGACGAAGAAGCTGAAGATAGCAACGGAAAGGATGATGCCCCCGTTAACTTCTGGACGGATCCCCCAGGCTATGTTGATGATATCGTTTGGCCACGATATGTCTCAAATTGTTCGTGGCTCTTGCTACCAGAGTCTACCTCAGATGAAAATATGGACTTTGATATGATGAAGGAACTCGTCGGAGATGGAGCTTTTGTCAGAGAGGACCTAGGGATCGTTGTTGCTCCCGATAAAGGGGAGGGTTCCATGTCTCGCTTGTTAGACTGGGCAGTGGATTTGATATTCAACAAAGTTAAGGAGATTAAGAAAATAGAGAAGTGATTCTGTGCGACGGTTATATATTAGATGCTTTTTTTACTTATTTCCTTCAGCAGCTATTTTAGTTATTTTGGGTACCAAGAATTATAATCAAGAATATGGGGATCCGAAAGGCGCTTTTGTATGTAGAAAGATATCAAAATCTGAACCGTGGCCTCTATATCAAAACCATATGCAAAAAGGGCTTTGTTTTACCAAGATTTAATAGTTACGAAGCCGAGGATGCAAGTATTAGTAGCTTAAGAGCTCAAGAAGCACCTCCACGGCCACCCACGCCAGCAAGAGCAGCCTTTTGTGCGTCAGAAAGATTGACGGTTGGGAGAGCCTTAACACCAGCAGCAGTTGGGGGTGAAAGGAATCCAATAGCGACAAGGTAGGCAAGATAGAGACCCATTAGTTCCTCGGTTACACCACTGCCTGCGGATACATCAGCACCGGACCATTCAGCGTCTGATTTGAGTGATATCGAGGCATTGGTGTCATCAAGCTCGGGCGCCCTTGTATTTGAAGGTAGATCTGCAGTGACAAAATGATAGAGTGGCATTCTAAAGAAACTTTCGGTTAGTCGAACTTCATTCTCTTTTCAGAATAATAGTTGGCGGTCCTTACAATGCATGCTGAGAAACAGAATTTTGGGCATCGTTCACATATTGCTCTAGCGAACTAGACCATGGCACATAATCGACCTGTGGGACGTCGTAGCCGTATGTTTGCAATGTGCCGAGGAATTGGTTGAATCGGAGGCGAGGATGGCTGGTTACATGTGCAACGGAGAGCTCCGGTTTTGGAGGGTGGAAGGCCGACGCAACAACAACCCGTGCTACGTGGTCCACAGGCACCATGTTAATGGTATTGTGAATGTTCGGCCGTGACGAAAGCTGAATACATCCCTTGATCATCCGAATTAAGAAATCGTCGGTATTCGTATCTATTTAAAATGCCAATCCATCAGTACGTAGGCTAATACAAGGAATCGTCAGATATAGAACTTACTTCCCGTCGTGGAGTCTCCGGTTACATAACCAGGACGAACGATTGCTCCTCGTAAACCTCTCCTACCTGCCTCCCTCACAAGGAATTCTCCAGCCCATTTGCTCTGTCCGTATCCAGTGCCAAGACTTTCTGTGCTTCCAGCGAGGTCGTCGGATTCATTGATACCCAGTCCACCTTCGGCAATGATCCTTTCCGATTCTTGCACATAGTGGTCGGTATCTAGCACACTAGTAGAGCTGATGAAAGCATATTGTTTTGCTTTACCAGATGCACACAGGCGTAGCGTGTCAATAGTACCCAGGACATTGGGGCCTCTCAAGTTGGAATAAGGGTAGACCCAATGGACAAGTGCGCCGTTATGGATGACCACATCCACACGGTTTGCAAGGTCGTTGAAATGATCCGCGGAAAGGCCTAGGTTCTCATCACCTAAATTTCCCCGAACGCACTCTAGTTGATTAACCCAGGAGTCTGACCAAAATCCATATGCCTTGCAGGTTGACTGGATTCGTTCAAGGGCCAGTTGAGATGATTTGGCACGAACGAGACAAACAACTTTGAGAGATGGGTTGGACCTAGAGAGAAGATCGCGAAGGATATACGCTCCAAGGAAACCGGTTGCCCCAGTTAGGAATACCGTTGAACCTTCCTCCAAAGCAGCCTCAGCTGACACGGCAAACTTAGCAGGGAGTTTAGAAACCAATTCCTTCGCATCTCTTGAGTACTCATTATTAACCGTCTTCTCTACTTGCGCTCCCTCTGTACTCTGGTTCTGACTGTCACCAGTCAAGGAGTGGCTATCTTGGATACGCGAAATCTCATTACAGAAACCCCTGAGTGTAGGGTTTCGGAAGATAGCACTCATGCTGATATCGACACTTCTCCATTTTTTCCTGAGTTCAAAGAACATCTGCTGTGCAAGAATACTGTGTCCACCGAGGTCAAAGAAGGAATCATTTGGCCCGATCATTCTCGCAGTGGTATTTGGAAGAAGTTTAGCCCAGATCTTTGCTACCTCTTGCTCGGTCTCAGAGAGCTCCTGCAAAACCGAGGATCGGCGGCGAGGAGCAGCAGCGCTGAGTTCAGCTGTGTCAGGGAATGGAAGAGCAGGCTTGTCTATTTTACCATTTGGGTTTAGGGGCATCCTTCGTAGTGGGATGATGACGGTTGGAACTGCATATGATGCAAGCTTCCCACGAAGGTATTCCCTCGCATCGTCACGAAGAGGCCGGAACCGAGTCAGCATTCCAACCATTCCTTCGGCCGATGTATTGTCTTTTAACCCTTTGTGTTCTAACCATGAAGACCATTTTTCCATCTGAGGAACAATGTAACTGACAAGTGTTGGTTCCTCGAATTTATCACGTCTGACCAGTGTAACATTTTCTCGAACAAGGGGATGGCGAGATAGATGTGTGTCAATTTCTCCAAGCTCGATTCTAAAGCCTCGAATTTTCACCTGGTCGTCAGCTCTTCCTGAGCATTCAACGTCGCCGGTAGGAGTGTACCTGCCCAGATCACCACTGCGGTACATACGATCCCGTGGCCCAGCATAAAATTCTCTCCATGGCTCGGTAGAGGAAGATGCTTGTTCCTTTTCCTTATCCTTCCAGGTCTGAGGATCGACGAACCAGTTTGGAATGAATTTCTTCTCATTCAATTCGGGAGAACCCAGGTAGCCCTCGGCAAGGCCTCCAGCACGCACGTAAATCTCTCCAACTTCACCAATGGCACAAAGCTTGGTTCGGTCAAACCGATTAACGACAAGCAATTGAACGTCTACCATCCCTTTTCCAGCAGGAATGACATCTTTCACGGTATCCAGATATCCCACCTGCTCTGCCGAGGAAGGGATTTCGAAGTAGCTGACAGCCCGTTGAGTCTCAGTGGTGCCGTACATGTTCACAATGTTGACATTTGGTGCCAGACTCTGAAGAGATCGACAATCGCGCTTAATCAAGATGTCTCCAACAAAGAATGCATGATGCAGCGATGGAAATTGAGCAGTAGCTCCACCAACAAGGATCTGACCCATAGCAGGAGTCAAGTGGGTGACAGTCGCCTTGTATTCACGCATCCATTCAGCTAAACGCTCGTTTTGGATATCTTCTCTTGAAGGAACCAGCAGTTGAGCGCCGAGAAACAAAGGTGTGAAGATATCACGCTGCACCGGATCGTGTGCAATACCGCTGAGAAGGGTAAAACGGTCGTCAGGGGTGAGCTTGAAGGTCTTCGCCATCCATGGGAAGTAATAAGCAAGAGAGAAGTGTCTCCCCTTGACACCCTTTGGACGGCCCTCTGATCCAGAAGTAAAGGAAAGGGTAGGTGCAGAATCTGGTCCAACAACTACGCCCACTGGTGTTGACTTGAGCGGGATCTGCTTTTCCAAAACGGGAACGCCTTTGATCAACCCTCCTTCAAGAGTTCCATCATCGTTTAGGACAAGAGCTGGAACTTCTGTCTTAAGCTCCAGGTTTTGGTCAATAAAGGCGCGAACAGAGTTGGCCAGCTCACCGGAGTCTAGAGTGGCCTTTTCAATGTTTATCAAAGCTCGAGGTCGTGCAACGTCAAGGTAGATAATTTGTCTCTCGGGAGGGTACGCTGGGTCAATGACAGAGAAAGTTCCACCAGCCTTCAGAATACCCATGACAGCAATGACAAGGTCAACGCCTCTATGGGCATACACCATGACAACGTCGCCTCTTTCCACCCCAGACTGAACAAGATGGTGTCCAAGAATGTTCGAAGCTTCATGGATCTGTCGATATGTGAACTGTCTGTGTGGGTTATACCGAGACTTGGTTTCGATTACACAGAGCTTCTCTGGATGCGCCTCCGCATTGCGGGAAAATATATCGTGGATTGCTCCACGGAAGTCAGACCAGTGCAGATCAATTGTTGGGTCTGGCAGCAGCGCCTTCTGCGACTCAGTGAGGAATTCGATCCTTCCAACGGTTTCTTCAGGGTTAATTGACGCATTGTAGACAAGACGAACGATCTGTGCTAATATCGTAGCTATCCTGACACTGGAAAAGAGACGCTGATTGTAGTAGCCACCGACTTCATAGTCAGACGATGCAATATTTAGGAGCAGATCGGTTGTTTCAAAGGTATTTGCTGGGTAATCCTGGGATGCAGCAGGTGCATCGTACGCAGCGAAGCGGAAGAGTACTGGCTCCTGCTCGAGCTTGGAGGTGTTTTGGATATGAGCTCGCAGACTTCTAAGTGGAACTATGTCTGAGGTACTCTCATCGTATATCTTGGTAACCCTGTCGAGCAATTGGGAGAACGTTTCGTTGTGGTTGATAGGTATCCGTAATACGAACGGCCGGCCATCGTTTTCGGAGCTTGTTCCCAGAGCGATATCCTCATCCCCGGTCAACCTGCTAACTATGACGACAAGAGCAGTGAGAAAGACGAGGAATGTCGATTCCTTAGATTTACACAGCTTCTTCACAGCTGCTTGTTCATCTGGCGAGAGCTTCAGCGACTCAAATGCTTCAATTGCTCGCTTGGTTGACCCCGCCGACGTGGATTCGGGATAGTCTCGCGTGAGCGGTGAGATGGTGAGGTTCTTCAGTCTCTGAGCCCATCTCTCAAGGCGCTCTTGCAAAGCACCGCTCTCAATTCCCATTGTAAACGCCCTTCAGCTCATCTACCTGCTGCCCGAGCCTCCTATTCTCTCACTGGGTAAGCTGTGCAGGTTGAAATCGAAGTTGAGGTTGAAGTTCTACTTATTTTTTTTTGCCTTATCTAGAAATGACTCAACCCACCACCGCGGTACCGGCGCTGACTAAGTCAAATATACGAACCAATCATCTGCTGGCCATCGGAATATGGATCAACTAAACGCCGGTATAGTAGTCATCACGTGACCATGAGGATTGGTAATACGGATACCGGCGAGTGGCGATGACCGCGTTTCCCCGCACGCCCAACCCCCGCAGCGCTTAGACGCCGAGGAGAGACGACAGATAAGCTTAAGATAACCGCGCGAAGCGGAGGAAGAAAAAGAGATACTTAGGGACGAGGAACGCCGCTGCTCCATGGTTCCATCACAAGCAGCCATCTCTCTTTCTTTGCTGCCAGGGCAGCCCTGAAGAAAGGAGTTTTATCATATTCTTATTTATCATTACCCTATCACGTTCCTTTGGTTACTTATTCCTACATTTCGTCATGGCTCCTGCTATTGTAGAGGAGCCACAGCCGCGCGCATCGAAAGCTTCCTTAGCTGCGGTGACGGAGAAGTACGATGATACACTCCGATTTTACTTAAACGGTACGAAGGTTACTCTAGACTCGGTAGACCCAGAAGCAACCCTGTTAGAATACCTTCGAGGGATTGGACTTACTGGCACAAAGCTGGGGTGTGCAGAGGGCGGTTGTGGTGCCTGTACTGTGGTATGTCATGCCACCTATCCATCAAGAAGAGCAGAGCTAATTACCTGCCAACGTTAATTAGGTTGTTTCGTACCGCAATCCTACTACCAAGAAGATATACCATGCTTCAGTCAACGCATGTTTGGCACCGTTGGTTAGTGTCGATGGAAAACATGTTATCACCGTGGAAGGGATAGGGAATTCGAAAAATCCTCATCCTGTCCAGCAACGGATAGCAGTTGGAAATGGGAGTCAATGTGGCTTCTGCACTCCAGGAATAGTCATGGTGGGCGCAAGGCTAAGACTATATATGGCAAAAGCTTGAGAAGCTAACGTTTATCTCCAGAGCTTATATGCCTTACTAAGAAACGACCCTACCCCTTCAGAGCTTGCGATTGAAGAAGCATTCGATGGCAATCTTTGCCGATGTACTGGATACCGGTCAATTCTCGACTCCGCGCAGTCCTTCTCCACCCCATCATGTGCCAAAGCACGAGCAAACGGAGGCTCGGGGTGCTGTAAGGAGAACGGTGGAAGCTGCAATGGTGGTGCAAAGAATGGCGATTCCGACGGGATAACTCCAAAGGCTATTCCACAGTCATTCAATACTCCAGAGTTCATCCCCTACAATCCAGAAACGGAACTCATCTTCCCGCCCCAGCTACACAGACATGAGCTGAAACCACTAAGTTTCGGGAATAAAAGGAAACGATGGTATAGACCCGTAACCTTGCACCAGCTCCTGGAGATTAAGGATGCGTATCCAGAGGCAAAAGTGATAGGGGGGAGTTCCGAGACACAAATTGAAATCAAGTTCAAAGCCAGGCAATACACACACTCAGTATATGTTGGCGACATTCCAGAGTTGAAACAGTATACCTTCACTGACGACTACCTTGACCTGGGGGCCAATGTTTCACTCACAGATCTAGAAGAGATCTGTGACGAGGCTCTTCAGCGGTATGGGCCTACTAAAGCACAGCCATTCATTGCTATCAAGAAGCAGATACGGTACTTTGCTGGACGACAGATTCGCAATGTGGCATCGCCAGCTGGTAACATCGCCACAGCATCTCCGATTTCTGACCTCAACCCAGTATTTGTCGCAACAGGCACGATACTCTTTGCCAAGTCACTGAAGGAGGAGGTTCAGATACCGATGGACCAGTTTTTCAAAGGTTACCGAACGACGGCACTCCCTGCCAACGCTGTGGTTGCAAAGCTACGTATCCCTATTTCCCAGGAGAATGGTGAGTATCTACGAGCGTACAAGCAGGCAAAGAGGAAAGATGACGATATTGCTATTGTCAACGCTGCCTTGCGTGTATCGCTTTCTGATTCGAACGTCGTTATGAGTGCAAATTTGGTATATGGAGGTATGGCACCAACAACCATACCTGCAAAGAAAGCAGAAGAGTATATCGTTGGAAAAAATTGGACAGACCCTGCGACAGTTGAAGGTGTAATGGATGCTCTCGGTCAAGATTTTGATCTTCCATCATCAGTGCCAGGAGGCATGCCTACTTATCGAAAAACTTTAGCCTTTGGTTTCTTTTACAGGTTCTACCATGACGTTCTTTCATCTATCCAAGGTGTCCAGGTTCATTGTGAAGAAAATGCTGTCCCAGAGATTGAACGTGGATTATCTTCCGGTATTAAAGATCACGAAGCAACGGCCGCTTATACCCAGAAGATTGTTGGAAAAGCAACGCCAACTGTTTCTGCACTGCTGCAGACCACCGGAGAAGCTCAGTATACTGATGATATCCCGGTACAGAAGAACGAATTATTTGGATGTCTTGTTCTTTCAACCAAAGCTCGAGCTAAGATCTTAAGCATTGACTTCACACCTGCATTAGATATCCCTGGTGTGGTGGACTACGTGAGCTCCAAGGATCTCCTCAACCCAGAGTCAAATTGGTGGGGGGCGCCAGTCTCCGATGAAGTATATTTTGCAGTCAATGAAGTCATCACTGACGGCCAGCCCCTTGGCATGATCGTTGCTACGTCTGCTAGATTGGCTGAGGCTGGATCTAGAGCGGTGAAAGTTGAATACGAAGTTCTTCCTGCCATCCTAACTATTGAACAGGCCATTGAACACAACTCATTTTTCAAGCATATTACGCCAGCTATTAAGAAAGGAGATGTCGAAGCAGCCTTTGCTTCATCAGACCACATCTACTGCGGCACCACTAGAATTGGAGGCCAGGAGCATTTCTATCTTGAAACCCATGCATGTGTGGTTGTACCGAAGCCAGAAGATGATGAGATTGAGGTGTTCAGTAGCACACAAAACCCCGCTGAAGTGTAAGTCAATTAGCACCTTCAATATTTAACTAATGATTCTCTATAATTCTCTAACCATTAATTTTACAGTCAAGCATTTGTTGCCAAGGTCACCGGAGTTGCCGAAAATAAAGTTGTTTGTCGGGTTAAACGACTAGGTGGAGGTTTTGGTGGAAAGGAATCCAGATCCGTGCAGATTGCTAGTATCTGTGCTCTTGCTGCGAAGAAGACTAAGAAACCTGTCCGCTGCATGCTTAACCGCGACGAAGATATTGCTACCACCGGGCAACGCCATCCATTCCTGTGCTACTGGAAAGTTGGTGTGAACAAGGATGGTAAACTCCAGGCACTTGATGCGGACGTCTACGCCAACGGTGGCCATTCACAGGACCTTTCACTTGGTGTTGTTCAACGAGCCCTTTCCCATATTGATGGAGTTTATAAAATACCCAATGTTCACGTCCGTGGATACCTTTGTCGTACAAACACCGTTTCAAACACCGCGTTCAGAGGCTTTGGAGGGCCTCAGGGTATGTTCTTTGCTGAAAGCTTTGTCTCGGAGATTGCAGACCATCTGAAGATACCCGTAGAAAAGCTGAGGGAGATCAATATGTACAAGGACCACGAGGAAACTCATTTCAATCAGGCACTGACTGATTGGCATGTACCACTGATGTACAAGCAGGTCCTTGAGGAATCAAACTACTATGCTCGTCAAAAGGCTGTGGAGGAGTATAATAGAACTCACAAATGGTCAAAGAGGGGAATTGCCATAATACCTACCAAATTTGGTTTATCGTTCACGGCCCTGTTCCTGAACCAAGCCGGTGCATTGGTACATATATACCGCGACGGTAGCATCCTTTTGGCTCATGGTGGTACTGAAATGGGTCAGGGACTGCATACTAAGATGGTCATGATTGCTGCCGAGGCCCTCAAGGTCCCTCAATCTAGTGTCTTTATCTCCGAAACAGCCACTAACACTGTGGCTAACACATCTCCCACTGCTGCTTCAGCAAGCTCCGATCTCAACGGCTATGCAATTTTCAATGCATGTGAGCAACTCAATCAACGTCTACGTCCATATCGAGAAGCGAACCCCAACGCTACTATGAAGGAGCTGGCAACGGCAGCATACTTTGACCGTGTGAACCTTTCGGCGCAGGGCTTTTACAAGACTCCTGAGATTGGGTATAAATGGGGTGAGAACACAGGAAAGATGTTCTATTACTTCACGCAGGGTGTTACTGCTGCAGAAGTTGAAATAGATACGTTGACGGGAGATTGGACTCCCTTACGTGCTGACATTAAAATGGATGTCGGCCAAAGTATCAATCCCTCAATTGACTATGGCCAGATAGAAGGTGCATTTATTCAGGGGCAGGGTCTATTCACGACTGAGGAAAGCCTCTGGCATCGTGCGTCTGGACAAATTTTCACTCGAGGACCCGGGACGTATAAGATTCCAGGATTCAGGGATATACCTCAGGTATTCAACGTCAGCCTTCTGAAAGATGTGGAGTGGAAAGACCTGCGAACAATTCAACGATCACGGGGAGTTGGTGAGCCGCCTCTGTTCATGGGAAGTGCCGTTTTCTTTGCTATTCGAGATGCGCTGAAGGCTGCTCGAAAGGAGTGGAATTCAGAAGAAGTATTGCGCTTGGATAGTCCCGCAACTCCGGAGAGGATTAGGATATCTTGTTGTGACCCTCTTGTTGAAAAAGGGAGAGTGGAAGATAAGGGTGATGGGTTCTTTGTGTCTATTTAAAGGTATATGTATATATTTTGCAAATTTAGATTGAAAGAATGAATGACGTAAATATCATTTTACTAAAGCAGTTATGGGTATATTCTGCCGTGTCCTTTCTCTGCCTTCGAAGGCTCTAGGTCTAGCTATTTAATCGACATATAGACGTCCACCCACTTGCACCTAACTCCAGACGAAATCATATCACAATGCTCAATGCTCCGATAAAAAAGAAAAATTCACAAAGGAAATAGCTAGCTATGCATGCAGTTTATGTTTAACCATGCTTCACATCTGTCCCATACTCGACTTGACCGTGGCTGCTCGTTCTCATGTCTTTTTGTAAAGCCATCTCATAGTCTCTCTGCCCCGCATACCCAAGCTTTTGAGCCTGGTAATCATCTTCATTGCTGGGGGCTGTTGGATATAGAGATCCAGGGGGGTTAGGTGTAGCGCTGTACTTGGGAGCTGCGCCGAGGGCCATACCAGTTCCGATCGCAGGACTATTTAGCGGAACATCGTGGAAGTTATTCAGTTCAATGTTTGGAACGGCACGAGTACCAACAGCAGGAGGATGATAGGCGGCGTCAATTCCGCCGTCACCACGTACTCTATCTCGGCGCCAGGCAAGGGTAAGAACCCGGATGAAGGCAATCAACAAGAGCAAGAACCAAAGGGAGATGAGGGCAGTGGATATGAGCGCTTCTGTTTTGATTCCCGATTCAACTGCCTCAGTTACACGGATGACGACGGAGCTGATTTTGTCCGCTGTCTTGTCTCCTGGATTGGCAAGGAAACTATCCGGGTTCGTAGCGTTATCCTTGGAAATGCTTTGGATAGCACCCAGAGAGAACATGTCCTCACGGACATGAGGGAAGTCGACATGGGCATGGTCAGAGACCCATGTAAGAGCCTTTTGGATACCTTCGATCTTGAGCCCGATAAGGCAGTGGAGAACATCTTGGATTGGGTCATGGAGGATAGTGCCGCCAAAGGCCTTATCAAGTACTTCGCTCGTCTTCTCAACAAAGGCATTCAAAGTGTCGTTTACAGGGCCAGTGGTCTGGTTGACCCATCCCAGGACCTTTTGATTGATGTCATTGTTTGTGTGGTCGATAACTCCGTTAGTGCCGATTGCCCATTGTTTGGAAGCATTGTTGAGAGAGTGAACCACTTTGTCTGCAAACTGGCTTACTTGGCCCGTAAGAGCAGGAACTTCCTTCTTGACGGCTTGGAGGAGGATATATTGGCAAAGACAGGCAAAGAGACCAGCTATTCCAAGAGAGAGGAGGAAAAGAGCGGTAGGAGAAGTTACGTAGGCAACCATCCATCTGACGAGAACTTGTTTGCGACCAGATTGGAACCAACTGGATATCTTCAGCCCAGCAGCAGAGGTGTAAGGCCGAGAGATAATGTAAACGACATCCATCGGATCGTGAGCATCTTTCCGTACTAGAAGGGAACGTTCCTTCATGCGACGATATCGGCGAACCTCTCCATAAGCCATGGGGATACAGGCTGCAATTGCAGCTACAACAAGAACGCCAATGAATATTTTTTGCGCAGTGCTGATGACAACTCTTAATCCGTCAAAAAAGTTGCTAATGCCATCATCTTTAGTGCAAAAATCAAGAACCTCCCTCTCGGGAACCGGGAAAAGGGAACGATCGAAATGGTAGTCGACAACAGTTTCATTGATAAGTTTCTTCACAAGTTGGAAAGGTTTGCGAATGACGGTATCGGCCAGCTCTTGGACCTCGTCGAAGGTGGGAATTGAGGAGTTGATCTTGTCTAGTCCGTCATTAATAGACGATGGCAACTTCAGGTCGTTAAGCTTGTTAACCTCGCCAGAAATGTCTAGAGAAGGAATCTTGTTGTCGTCTCCGAAAATGCTTGTGACCGTGTTGATTCCCTTGATAAAGTCGTTCACTTCTTTTTGGAATCCATCGACGCCTTTGGTAATTCCGGATCCGATATCGTGGAGAGTCTTATTTAGAAACTCAGTGGTATCCTCGATGATCTTCAAGGCAACGTGTAAACTGCCACGGACGACAAGGGTAATAAGGCAAAGATATGTGCTGGTTAGGACATGAATGACAAAGAGAACAATCTCTTCCACGCCCGTGACGACTAGGGATAGCATCGACATCAGTCCGTTAACTGCCTTTTCCACTCCAGAGGCAGTGAGTTCGTTGACACCCATGGACATGTAATGAGGCATCGAAGCCATGGCGCTGCCCATAGATTCAACACTCGTGCACGCTGACAGTGCTTCCCGCTCGGCAGAGGCCATGTTGCGATCCAGTGAACCAACCGCAATGAGTAGTCTAACGAGCACAAGTAGTATGAGAATAGTCCATTTATTGATCCAGACTTGTGAGAGTCGAGCTCTAAGTCCCAGGTATGGCGTTATAGCGTCGGGAGGAGCAGCACCACGAGCTCTGTCCGCTGAAGACGGGGCATCATGAGCGCCATATGGAGGAAGGGAAGGAGTCCCTGCTCGGGGAATAAACCGTGAGAACTGCATGATATCGACTGTGAGGGTTGCAGTGTGAAGGTAGTAAAGCGACCAGCGCAGGTTCAAGTACGTAGGCCAACAAGTTTGAAATCTGCCTCCCGGGTCAAAAGATAGAGAGAGAGAGAGAGAGAGAGAGAGAGAGAGAATTCGTTGCAAAAGAGAGGAAGACGTAAGGAGAAAGAATATGAAGTGTCTTAGGGCTTAAGCGGACCCGAAAAATAAAGGAAACGGTTTGGAAAGGAAAGACTCAGAAAAAGAAGGCTATTGTCAATCAACACAAGCCTGTATTAATGAATAGTTCCAATGAACTGTAGTAAAAGGATACAAATAAAGAGGGGGGGGGGGGGGGGGGGTATCTTCACTGTATATGCAGGAAATAAATAAACAATAGGAACAATAAGAAAAAAGAATAGATCCGTCACGCAATTCACATCAAGTGGACACGCATGAAATATATGAATAGAAAGGGAGGAAAAATAGAAGAGCCAGATATTTAGCAATACCTGGGCCTGATAGCATTTATTATTGTTCATGGCATGGCAAGCTCCCTAGGACAAAGTCAATGCCATCTTCCAGCTGTCATCGCAAGCCAAGCGGGAGCTATGATTCACTTCGCGCCCAAGTCCACCTCGTCCGGCCGCGCAACAGCCCACTGCCCGCCGCCAGTTCCCATGGCACTCCACGGAATGGCCTGTCAATCCACAAACTCGTCTCCATGACGGCGCGAGCAGCAACTTTGATGCTTTGAAGTCGAAGAAAACTTTCGCTGGAAACCCAAAAATAGACAAAAGGTTTTTAGGTTTATCACGTGATGTTTGACTTGGCGAGAAGTTAGCTAGCTTGAGGCACCTGATTGGTTGGAATCCCGGCGGCAAGAGAAACGAGCTGATAGAAACATCAACAAACAGGAAGACGCAGGACGACGGGCGCTAACTGGGACACGATACGACAGGGTGCGAGATGCCTGAAGAAATGAAGTCCCTGCAGTGACTGGACAGGGCTATTCCTCACAAGTGGAGATTGCTTCAACAAGATGGGCAGCTCTGAGCAAAGCATTTGGGCCTGAGCTGTTAGGGATGAAACAACCACACCGAGGATATCCATTTGGTGAACTCCCTCAGCGGTTAGCTATCGACTATCAATTCCTGACGAAAGTGTCTATACTAAGAGATTCGGGAATTACGATCCATGCTTGAGAACTTGATGACGTTTGCCCTGTCCTTGGGCGGGAGACATACGGAACTCGTGAAGCATTCCGTAAAAATTTAGGATAAACTGCCCTCATTTTGAATGTTTTACTGATGTCAATGGCGTTGATCCCTAGAACTCTGTTCAACTATCCATATATAACCAATTTACAGGCGAGACTTTACAACCACCCTTATTTGCTCTAATTCGATCACGTGGATACAGATTTGCACACGCAGAGTCAGGCCAAGGCAAAACCAAGGCGTAGGTAGCTTCAGTTGAGTACACATCTTGACAGTTCAAGAGAAGCTTTTGAAAGCTTTACATATGTCAAAGAACAATTAAACGGGTTTTCTGAAATCATGGGTTTGGAGATAGAGAAGAGGGTAGTACGAGTAACACAAATTGCAAGACCAAAAGCAGTTAATCCGTATCAGTATCTGTCAGCGAAGCCTTCTTTCGCCAGCTTTTTCTTTGCCGTTGCTAGCATCAACATATTCACCCCCAAGCTTCGATTTCAAAGAGTGGGCAAGCCAACCACACCTTTTTTTTCTATTGGCCCAAATGAGGATATCCTCTCCTTCGGAGACTTCCTCTACCTTGTCCAGGTAGCAAAGGTCAACATCGCAATACTGCATTAAATCCCCCTCTTTTGGCCAAGGCCGCATGTCCTCGGAGAGTTCCGCTCGGGCTGCTTTCTTCAATTCTGGTGGTGCTGAAAGACCAAGAATCTCCTGTAACTTTTCTGGGGATGTGAAGGGACCTGCGTTGGATATGATAATGGAATAGGTGCCATAAGTGTATGGAATGGCTCCTGTGCGGCATGCTTCGCGAAAATCTTCCCACTGTCGGTCATCCGCCTTCAAAGAGTACGCTAGCCATGCGCCCAGCGGGGCATCTCGAAACCACACTAGCTGGTGCACACCATAAGTCGCGGCTTTTACAGCTTGCAAGTTTCCAACAGTGCAGTACTGGACTTTCTCCTCTTCCCGTGGCTCGGCTGGTGGCTCTTGACCGAAATCTTTCATCTTCACAGTTGTATAAACCTCCGGTGGTGAGGTAAGACCAGCAATCTCCTGTAACTTTTCTGGTGATGTAATTGGGCCGGATTTAGTTATCAGGACAAGGTATACCATGCGCTTCACAGTTCCTTTGCGGACATCCTCCCAATATGCCTGCCATCTTGCGGCCTTCCAGCTATCGGACTTTTCCTTTAGCACCTTGTCTTGCTCAAATTTCGCTTTCGCAAGCCATCCATATCCTAGGTCTTTCTGGTTTGTCATAGTGGTTGATTGGAGTATCAATTGGTAATGAAGGATATTGGGTGGCTGAAGGGGGTGAAAGGTGTGTGGACAACTTTGATCTTTCGACCGTATGTTTGTCCGGTGCAAATAACAAGAAGTCGACGAGGTCGATGTGGTGTAAAAGTAATATATCACAATCGCTGAAGCAAGTAATGGTAAAGTGGCATGGACGAGGAAACAGGCCCCAACTGTATATCTTGTTGCTGCGGACTACAAGCTCTTGGCGGCGGCTAACTAACTCACAAGTACCCAAACGAGCCAACCACAAGAGTCACAGCGAGCGGGGCGGCGAGACGCTGGAGTCACGTGTAAAACTATTAATAACAATGAAACAGCAATAATGATTGGCTACTTAGCAAACAACAAACTAGCTGTATTTTATAGCTTCCGATTGGTCATGATACATAACTTGCTCTTGGAACAGAGTCAGCCTTTGGCTCCGGCGCTTAGAAAGTTCAAGATAGGGAGCCAGCTCGAACGACATAACTCTCCTTTAACTACCCATCACGCTGTCTGACGCTGGTAAATATGGGCTCACTCCCAGGTTGAATGGAATATCTGATAAACTACCTTGACAGCATTAAATAAACTACCTCTGTGCATGACATTTCACAATACCTATCCAGCCCGTCGCCTTGGGGGCTAGCGGGTTCCGAGGATATGGGCACAGCGCTTAGGCTGGAGTTAGGAGGGATAATGTCAACTCCCACTTCCCGTTTTACCCTTTGATATCCTCATACCTACCAATTATATGACCATCAGTCGGTAGTGGAGACAGCCAACATATATTTACTGGTATCTAGCGATGTCTTCTTCCTCCCATACCCTGCTCAATCATGCACGTAGACGCTACAACAATTGACTACGCCAGGACGTTGACGCTTCGATGGATCCTATTGTCTAAGATATCTTACTCTACCCAATGGTTTACGACCATTCATTGCATAAATACACAGATGTGAAACGGCATCATCTCCCTGTGGTCCATTATTGCTATCTATAGCCTATTATCTAGATGAGACATGGAATAGCACCATGCTAGCTACCTGAGATGCTCCTACGCTCAGAGCTGAATGTCAAAACATGTGATTAATATCAGGAAAAAGAAATACCGGGAAATGGGATATATAAACCTGTGAAAGGTTCGCCTTAACCAACAGATCTCCCCTCCCTATCATCCTTCTCGAGAATATCCCATCGAACAACATTCCCAAACTCAGAGTACCATTGTTTTCTTTTTTTTTTTTTTTTTCACACCTTTGCCAGCCCTGACTCCTCATCAATTCCCATTCAATATGCCAGCCTACCCCCAACACTTCTCCTTCGGCATTGAAATGGAGCTCTACCTCAAGCCTAAGTCTCAATCGATAATAGATACACTGCAGACGCTTGGATTTAATCCCGAAGACACAAACCAGCCCAAGCAGAGACGTATTTTTCGCCAGGCCATGGCTACAGAATTATCTGACCAGGGTATCCCAACTGGAATCGACAAAAATAGTGTGTACGATACGTGGACGATAGCCCATGAGGCAGCTCTTGACCACATTGGAGGTGGTTACTGTAAGTTTGCAACGTATCATCAGCAAGAGATACAACTAATTACTGACAAATTGTTCCAAATATAGGGCCTTGCGAATTGATTTCCCCCGTCTTCTATACACATGATGATGATTGGGTAGTATCAATCAATTACCTTTTTGCAAATTTGCTTGGACATTGCGACGTGCACCTTACCAAAGGCTGCGCAACGCATGTTCATGTTGCCCCTGCTGGCGCAAAATATACACTTTCCCAGGTAAACAACATTGTCAAGGGAGCCATCTACTATGAGCAACCGACGATGCGGATCATGCACGAAGATCGCAAGGAAAACCTCTGGGCACAGGCTAATGAGAAGACTATCCCCGGCTGCGTGCAAAAAGTTGAAGGCGTCTCCAAAAAAGGGTGGAGTCACGTTTTTGACCATCTCAAAGGTCGCAAGTTCGTCGCTATAATTGTGACAGAATTGTGCCCGGACAGGCATGTATCCTGGAACCTCAAGAACCTGACGAGCAGCGGAACCACGGAGTTCCGTCGTCCTCGTGGAGTCGACAATCCTGAAGCTGCGAAGCACTGGATTGCATTCACTGTGGGTTACATGGCTAATGTGATCCGAGAAGAGACTTGGCACGGGATTGGTAATACTACCACCCACCCTTCAACGGACCGCCTCCGCGAGCTAGTCGAAGAAGGGGCCAGGTCCATTAATCCGCCAATTCATTCATTCTTGCTCCCAGCATTGATGGCGGACAACAACAAGGCTGCAACTGTGTTTACTAAAGAAGAAAGAGCAATTATTAACCAGAAGAAGGCCAAAAAGAAGGATAAGCGAAGCTTGTTTGTGGAAAAGGTATGTTAAAAACATTCTACTCACACTTTAACTAGTCAAGGAAAACCGAATTTTACTAATAAGTCTTTACAGATCATCAACTCGCGCCCCAATACTCCAACCGGGAAAAAATAAGTCTCACAGCATGGTATGACTGATCTTGGAGGCACTACACTTGCTTAGGCCAAGAAGGCTTTTCTCACTTGGAAACACCTGAAGGAATTTTAAGGCTTACATTCCCTACCCATTTTTCCCGCCCACTTAATACATACGTATGGGCTCCGAGATGGGAGATTTTTCAAGAGGTGAGGGTATCCTCAGATGCTAGTGGAGGACCCTTATCCTGTTTCCTATACATTACCTGTTAAGTTTTGTTATTCGCTTGTTTGTGATTTTTCCTATCTCCTCCTTCTCTTTACCTTTCATTTGTTTCCAGTATCTTTCCATTTTCTCACTTCCTCTGTTTTCTAACTGCATTTTATTTTGAGTTGATTGCTTGTAGTTACGTATGCGGGTGCTGGACTCCCCTAAAAAGTAAAAAATAAAATAGTTTTGTTTATCTAGCTTTTATCCATCCAAATAGCCACACAGCTACTGCGTTTGTATTGCATGAGAAGCTCAAAGAGAGGAAGTCTTAGTACTCTTCAAGCTTATCTGTACCTGTGCGAGTGCGAGGGGCAATACTAGATCAGGAAGACAGAGAATCATATTGTAGTAATTAGAGTAGGTAGCATTACAGGAAGAGGTATATGGCAATGTCATATCATGTACTGCGTACACATCATATAGATGGCAAAAACATGCTCAGAGCTATAACTAGTTGAACCAACCATTTAGCACGCTTTTTCATCAAGGGAGAAAACAATCAACAATTGCGTGACGGGTAAAAAATAAATTGAAATGGCATAAATATAGGGCCTTCTTCTTGCCTTTGAGAGAAACAGTAGGCTAAGAGTAGGCTAAGATACTCCGGGAGGTCCTTGCTGGTCTGAGCCGGATTGAGGCGGCGCTCCTCCACCTTGGTACTGTGGGTATTGTTGTTGCTGTTGCTGTTGCTGCTGTTGCTGCTGAGCCAAAGCAGCATACCACATAGCCATGTAGTTCTCATAGCCTCCATACATGGCGTACGGGTCTGTTCCGTCACCTACACCAGCTTGCATGCCCTGCTGCTGCTGTTGAGGTTGCTGCTGGGTGTTGGAGTCTTGAGAATACGGCTGCTGCTGCTGTTGGTATTGGGATTGCTGGCTGTAGGAATCATCACGTCTAGGTCCTTGCGAGCGGTTTTTCTAGTGTATTTTGTTAGTTGAAGTTGAATTGAACATTGGATTTAGGCGGACAATGTATTGCGTACCGCAGCTTCGACCTTGGCAAGTACCGCTTTCTTTGCAGCATCGATTGCAGTCTGGACGCCATAGAAAGTGACTTCTCTCTCGGGCTCTCGCGCAACAAGTGGCAATATGTTGATTTTACAGCCACTTAGGGTTTGTAGTTCTCTTATTGTTTCTCCTCCTATGGATATATGTCAGCTTTGCATGAATGTAATATAACAGTAGGAAACCGATGCATACCTTTACCAATAACCATGCCGACGTATTCCTTAGGGATAAACATCTTATCGTTCAGTTTCTCACCTCCGCCACCATTCTCACCGCCCGAGCCTTGTCCTCTGGGTTCCCGCTGCCCTTGATTCCCGCTTGTTCTTGTGTCACTTTCTACAATGCCCAATATCAGTTCTTTGGCGCGCTGTATGGCTTGCTGGGATCCTGTCAAGGTAACCGGTCGTAGGCCATTGATGCTCTCTCCATCACGGGCAATATTGATGCGACATCCACTCCGCTCAGCAAGGTCTCTAACAGTCTCACCCGAGCGTCCGATGACAAGACCAACCGTCCGATCAGGAACCATAATCTTCGTGGTCTCAGAGCCGTCCGCGTCAATAGGCCTTCCATCTTGACCAATCGGTCGACCGTCGTTTCGAGCCTGGTTATTTTCGCTCACGATACGGTCTATCTCCGCCTTGGCTTTGTCTCTTATTGATTTGGGGCCAGATAATCTGCAGAGCCGAATGGTCTTGTTATGTTCTGCGCTGTCAAGGAACTGAACACGAGCACCTGTTTCGTTTTCGATCCGTCGAAGGTTTTCTCCCTGACGTCCAATTATCAATCCAACGTGCTTGTTGTCTATTTCAATAGTCTCGTTGTTCTCGTCTGACCCCGACCCTCGGTTCCGTGGAGGAGGTGACCTATCACCACCAGCTCTGTAATGTCTGTTTGAAGGAGGCGAGTATGCGCCAGGTCTCGGGGAGGATGACCTTTCTCGCCCATATCCACGATCACCAGCGCCGCGCCTATCTGCACCTCGACGTTCGTCTCGATAGGGGTTGTATCCATCTCTAAACACATCTCGAGCAGTGGAATTACGCGGAGGTGTCCTGGACGGTGACCGCGAGCGCCGATGGGACGATCGACCGGTGTCTCGAGACTGTGCTGCACATGGCTGTTAGCTATATCCTTTCAAGTATATGAGGATATGGCAAAGACTCACCTGGCGTAGGTTTATATGTGATGCCCTTCTCCGCAGCGATTCCTCGCGCCTTAGCAATCGCATCTGCTATACTTACCGAACCTGCATTGATAGAAGTTGCGCCGCCGATGTTCAAGCTGCCGGTGTTATCTGGCTGAGGTAGCGAGTATCCCCCAGCATTCGTAGAGGGGGGAGGAGCAGTTGATGGGGTAGCTCCGGTAGGGGAAGCATATTGCGCGCCAGCAGCAGGCCGAACGGCAGCTTAACGAAAAAGCGAAAAATTCGGACCCGGTTAGCAAGCATGATACAAAACGACGGCTCAGATTAAGCGCAAGAAAGGGGAGGACCAAAGAAGGTATGAAATAGACCGGGAAACAATGTACCTAGAGCTGCCAGTATCTGCGATATATTCTGTTGATCACCCATAGCTATTGCACTGCGATAGGCTGGAGCGTGGCGTTGGGAGATAGTTAAGGGCAGGAAGAGTTTTCCGTGTCAGACTTGTCGAGGACGGCCGACTTGGGCGTCACCGCGGATAATGCTGGTCTCAGGCCCCCTTAGGGTAAAGGCTGGAAGACTGAAGCTGGCGAGTTGCTGGGGCTTGTTCGTGGTTCTCATTGATTTTTGCTGCCCTTCTGTGCTTCGCAGCGGCGGATGTTCTTTTTGTTCTGCTTTTGCTCCGCGGCTGGCTCAAGCGCCAAGCTCGACTAAGTTAGCCGCGGCTGCAGTGAAGAGCAGGGACGGCGAGGAGCGCCGGAGTGACGGGAGCAGGCAAAGAGGAGAGCTGGTGCTACGAAGTCGATGGTACGGTGAATCTAATGCTATGAGAGCTCTAGTGATATCCTACATGCGCAAAATAGGAACTGTGTATGCTGTAGCTACTGGATATACTTCTTGAGGCCGCGGAGCCGCTCCTTGGCCGTTTCCAGAACTTGGTCGGGCTTGCAGACAGCGAATCGGAGGTAGTCCTCGGCAATGTGGGCGTTGGCGTCAGTGTAGAACTCAGTGGGCGGGACGGCGGCGACGCCAACCTCCTTGATCAAGAACCAGGACAGTTTGAAATCGCGCGGCCGGCAGGCAACGTGAGGAGGGAACGGGTAGTCCTCTGGCATCTTGACGCTGGCCATGTTAGCCAGGACGAAGTAGCCACCCTCTGGGTCGGAGTACTGTGATTGTATGTTAGCTTTGCTTGAGGCTACTCGAGTATCAAATGCAGATACATACGGGAATTCCAAGCTCGTCAAATATCTCACAGAACCGCTCGACTTTGCCACGCATCTCCTTTCGGCTTTCATCCCAAAATCCCATCTCGTCTGCCTTCTCGAATCCAACGGCAGTTGCCAGCTGTAGAGGAGCAACACTACTGTAGCAGATTCTGGTATGTGCGGCAGAGACATACTTGATAAGGTGCTCTTCGCCAATGAGGTATCCAACTCGCCAGCCAGTGGCATAGAAGTTTTTACCTGCAGAGCCGACAGTGAGAGTTCGCTTGGACACCTCGGGGGAGAGTGTTGCCATGCGGGTGAAAGGGACGTAGAAGAGTCGATCATACACTTCATCAGAGAGGATGATGAGATTGTGCTTGACACAGAGATCGGCTACTTTCTCGAGTTCCTCGCGGGACATCACTTTGCCCACAGGGTTATGGCTGATATCGTTAGAATTTCCAAATATTGCAGAAACAGAGCAATTAATTACTCACGGAGTATTGAGTACCTATATGGCTGTTAGCAGAAGTAGCTATATTGTGGGCAGTAAAAACGTACAATCATCTTTGTCTTTTCGTTGATAGTCTTTTCCAGCTCGTCAAAATCAATAGTCCAGTTCGATGCAGAAGATGTCTTCTGAGCACCGTCCTTTGGAGGATGGAGTGGCACGTATGTTATTTTACCGCCTGGCATCTCAATGTTGCTTATATACCTAGTAGAGACATCAGCTTCAATGTATCGGTATGACTCCCTCAGGAGGGACGTACTGATCAAAAAACGGTTCAAAGATGATCACTTCATCACCGGGTTCAATGAAGCCCATGAAAGCACTCAGCATTCCTAATTACAATGGTCAGCATGGATTGAAATACAAGCGGGTCAATTGGTAGGAATACCTTCATTGGCACCGCTAGTAACGACAATCTCGGTATTGGGGTTGAGCTCCCTCCCAAAGAATGGGGAGTAAGCATCGGCAATTGCCTTCTTGAGACGAGGGAGGCCCTAGATTTCTCATTAGTATTGTCGGTCATGCAATAATCAACAAATAGGAATGATCCCACCTTCGTGGGCGCATACTGGTTAGACTCGACGGTCTGCACCGCCTCCTTCGCGGCATCGATCACATACTGGGGAGGGTTATAACCACTAATACATCAATAAGAAACTGCACAAGTACACCTACACCACTCACTCGGCGACATAAGACACTATACTTACAAGAACCCTTGCCCCATGTTCACGATTGGCTGAACCGGCGATGCAGCCGCGGCTTCATTGACAATTGACCTGTTGACGCAGTGTAAGTCCCAAAATATCATGCACTACTAGGCTAAATACGTCCAAAGGGAATAGCCTACCAAACATCCTGTCTCTGACCGGCGACCCTCCTAGCCGGCTTGAAAGGCTCGTTGCTTGCGGCCATTGAAGACATGGCGGCTTGATACTTTGGCGGGGCAGCCTTATATGGCAAAGGTATGTTTAGTCCCGAACACACCACCGGACGGTGAAGAGGTGTAATTCTTCTTAAAAGAGCGGAGCGAGCAAGCATGGACAATGGCCAATACCGCGTAGTGGTAGCAGAGCATGCAATTAGGTCGGCAGCGTCCTCTCTCTTGCGTGTTGACGGTCGAAGAAGACGAAGTTGAGGCTCGTTGAGGGCGTGGAGCATGCCAAGACCGCGGCTATTTCGGCAGTTGATATGCTTATATTGCGCCTTGTGATATAGCTTTTAAATTAATGAAAGATAATATTTATTCTTCTTGGCTGGAAAACAATACATCGTCATAGCAGCTCATCTGCAGGCATGTAGGTTCTGTCCTAAGATCCTGATTTTTGAGCCCACCAAGTAGGATGTCTCTCCAACCACGGCTAGCTCGCGAGTACGCACCCACCTCTGCCCCCTAAGAGAAGGCCAAACCCTCTTGAAGACACCATGATATAACCGAGCGTGGACATTGTTGTGGAGGATAAGAAAACTGGGCCTGCCCTGACTATCCAGTGGCTGCAAGCGTTGAACAATCCTCTTGTTGTGCTGCTGCTCCCATACCCTTCCTCAAATACTATCTCGAATTGTGCGGCCATGCATCTATGCATCTTCTGAGGGTGTTTCGGATCCACCAACTTGTCGGCTCGGAGATTTGCTGCAGCAATTGGCCATTGCACTTATCAACATTGGAGGTATATTCTTCTGCATGGTTTTTCGAACCGCGGTGATAGTGAGCTTGAGAAAAAGCTACAAATATTGACCTCCGGGTCTCTTCACACCGTCGAGCATATATTAACTGGCAAACCAGGGTCAAATACATAACTAGTTAACTAGTTAGGGCCTCTCAGGATTTATTTTTGTTTGACACTTCTCACCACAAACCCCCCAACCCATACTGTCTTCTTCTCACTAGATGCGACCTGGCGTGTTCACACAAGGCAGTGACATCGAGATATCTTGAATATGGCGCCCACTTTATATCTTGGCCGGACTTTGAAGAGCCGAGCTGGCCTTTACACTATTATAAAACAGCTCCAGGACTGTGTTTGGCTTGCGACGTATTTCAGCGCCCTGCATATACTGTGTTAAAGCATTATCATATTCTCATACTAACAGCTGCAGAAACGAGCATAACCAGAGAGTTATCGCAAAGAGCGTCCATCATTTTCGATTGCAGAATGAACGAGATGTTCTGCTTGGCTTCCAACACCGAACACCATCTATTCGCCCACTCATCGAAGCGCTTGAAGACTCCGATACTCCTCCTACACTCATATTAAAATATCTTGATGATGATGTTCTCAACGCCTCCGACAAACAAAGGCTTACTGCTCCGGAGGTAAAGTTCGTCGCGAAAAAGGTGCTAGGAGCACTTGCGGTCTTGCATGATGAGGGATTTATACACACTGGTGGGACGAGTCTGCCTCTATTCCCCTCTGCTAAGACTATATTAATATGAAGGAATGCGCTATAGATGTTAAACCCAGCAACGTATTAGTGAACTATGGTCAAGGCGAATCTCGATTTACCGATGTTCAGTTGGCAGATTTTGGAAGCACTGTTCACGAGAACTCTATTCATGCCCAACGTGGTGACCCTATCGGTACTCCTATTTTCAGGAGCCCTGAAGCACAACTTGAAATGAAATGGGGTACTGCAACGGACATTTGGTCGTTTGGTGCAATGGCAAGTGTTTACCTGATATCGACGAGCTGAGATCGAAATATTAACCTCGACTCGACAGGTTATCAGTCTCATATACGGTGAAGGCTTCCATATTTTCAAGCCAGATGTCCCTCCAGGTCATGATGAATACGATGTCAAAATCCTCCTGAAACACCATAGATGCTTTGGTCCGTTTCCAGAGTCATACGAAGAAATTGCGGATCAACAAAGATTGGGTATTCTTACGTGGGTTATGCAAAACAGTCCTGCCGAGACCCTAAGACCATTCCATCTTACAACCAGCAAGGAAATTTGTCAAGGCGATAAGGAATTCGTGCTAAAGATAATGCGGCTGGACCCTCGAGACAGGCCGTCAGCGCGACAGCTCTTGGAAGATCAGTGGCTTCATCAGTCTTAAATTCAGGTTCCATGAACTTGAAACTCGGTGACAGAATTTGTGGATTCAGCTAATTCAAAGCAGACAGCCGAAAAGGAAAATGGTGGAGATATACGTGAATTTTTCGAGTCAGTGGATGTTCATATATATACCCCCTCCTACATTCTTTCCCCCTCCTCGAGGATGTGGTTGACGCCATATCTGTCTCACTGTCGCTGTCCGTCGATAACAGTCATCGAACGAAAACCTGAAGTGGAGCATGCTGCTGAATGGTTAAGCTAAGAAACAGGATCAATCTCACACGCAGCCAATCTTAGTCCTGACCGTGAAAGTATTAACTAGTAGAAGTAGAATAAAAAAGAGGTAGCTAACTATAGAAAAAAGTAAATCCAGGTCAAGTAAATGTAAAATTTTACGAACATATTATTTTATTATATTAGTCGGGATAGGGGGATAATGAAAATTAATTTTGACTCGATGGTCCATTCAGTCCGCCGTAACTAGTTAATCAGAGGGCTATAACGACTCCGTTATTATTGCTATAAAATAAAAGCAAGCTTTGCAACTTCAATTCACCAAAGACATTGGCAGCTCAACAGCGACGAGATGACGACGACCAGCGCGCCTTAATAACCTCTGATTGCCGCTTTGGTAGAGAAGCCTCTGCCTCGACTCCGTGCTAGTTATCTCGAACCAGTCACAAAATGGTCAATGGAAGACGCTCTTGTTCCAGCGATTGGAGATCTGAAGTCACAAAAGTCACCAACTTTGCAGCAATAATAGTTAACTAACTAGTTAACTTAGCCAAGAAGCTGAGGGTCGATCAAAAGCCTCGGTTTCATCGATTTTCCAGGAATAAAAGCGTCGATTCGAGGGATACCGTCCAATATCTCAAGAAGAGTCCAGACCCGCAAAGAAAAGCTATTCAAAGCAGAGAACGGCCAAGCTCCTAGTCTCGTCTCGGAGCTCAATCAAGGCCACCAAGGAGGCCGCTAGTATTTACAAAAGACTCAAGGACAACAGGCGATAGCTATGGGACCCAGCTGTCCAATCTGCTCTAAGCCCGTCAACGCAAGCAAAATCAACGAGCACATTGACTCAGGGTGTGAGGATTTTGTTGACTCCCCTCAGAGCAGCCAGAACTTAGCTGGAGATGGCGCGTCACAGTCTCAAGCCAGCCCATCCAGCTCCATACCCAGTTTCTTCCAACCAGCAAGCTCCAGGAAAGCGGCTGCGGCGCAAAAGCTGACGGAACGACCCAACGGCGCAGCTCAGACACAGCCGTCCAAGGTCGGCACGGGCAAAAGACTCTTTTCTCAAGAGGAGCCTGGAACACCGACGCCTGGAGCTGGTTCTCTGAGGGTCCCCGTTTCACCAGCACCCCTTCACGATAGTGGTAGTGATCATTCGGCCAAGAGAGTCAAATCGTCAAATGCATTGCAAAAATCAGCGCCGTTGGCAGAACGGATGCGGCCAAGAACACTTGATGAAATGTGTGGACAGGAGCTAGTTGGTGAGAACGGGGTGTTGCGTGGTCTTATCGAGAGAGACAGGGTTCCTAGTATGATCCTTTGGGGCAGTGCAGGAACGGGGAAAACTACGCTTGCAAGAGTGATTGCTTCCATGGTGGGGAGCAGGTTCGTGGAGATCAACAGTACGAGTTCCGGAGTGGCTGAGTGCAAGAAGCTATTTGCAGAGGCAAAGAATGAGCTGAGCCTGACGGGGAGGAAGACGATCATATTCTGTGACGAGATTCACAGGTTTTCAAAATCTCAACAAGACGTATTTCTTGGGCCTGTCGAAAGTGGACAAGTAACATTGATTGGAGCTACGACTGAAAACCCATCTTTCAAGGTCCAGAATGCATTGCTATCACGGTGTCGAACTTTTACTTTGGCAAAGCTTACTGAGGAGAATATCTGCGCCATACTCAATCGTGCATTGAGAGTTGAGGGACCCAATTACTCGCCCTCTGCACTGGTTGACGATGAGCTGATTAAGTACCTTGCTGCTTTTGCTGATGGTGATGCTCGGACTGCCTTGAACCTCTTGGAGCTAGCAATGGACCTGTCACAGAGAGAAAACATGACAAAAGACGAGCTCAAGAAGTCCCTTACACGGACACTGGTTTATGACCGAGCAGGTGACCAGCACTACGATACCATATCAGCCTTTCACAAATCAATCCGTGGAAGTGACCCTGATGCATCTTTGTACTATCTAGCTAGGATGATTCAATCAGGTGAAGACCCGTTGTATATAGCTCGCCGCCTGATAGTGGTTGCATCCGAGGATGTTGGCTTAGCAGACAACACCATGCTACCGCTGGCTACAGCAGCTTATACTGCCGTTGAGAAGATAGGCCTTCCTGAAGCACGAATCAACCTTGCTCATGCTACCGTTGCCCTAGCTCTGGCTCCCAAAAGTACCAGGGCTTACAGGGGCCTAGCTAACGCGATGGCGAGCTTGGAAGAACCAGGGATAGCAGGTCTGCCTATCCCAATCCATCTACGAAATGCTCCAACAAGACTGATGAAGGAAATCGGCTATGGAAAGGAATATAAATATAACCCTGACTACAAAGATGGAAAAGTGGTGCAGGACTATCTTCCTGACAAGCTTATTGGAAGGACTTTCCTGGAAGACCTTGATCTTGGGACTAAGGTCGATCCTGCCCTTGGTTCATGAATGCCATTGTTGTTTTGATCCCATTTATGGATCAGCCAACGACGTCATCATCCCCGTTTTCCCTTCCCTTGGCCCAAGGTTCCGGAGAATGGCATACCACGGGAACGGTCTCAAGTGTTACATGAGTCCGTGATGCTATTGGAATGACGGAAAGTCCAGGCTGATGAGAGCTTTCCTTAGAGACCATGCTGTCACTTCCAAGAGTAGCAGATAAGCTTGACGGCATCTTCCACATCCCAGTATCTTGGTGATCCCCAGGCCGTGGGAACTTCTGGTGTTGTCGCTGTGAGCCAGGTGGCTGGTCAAGGCTAGCGGAATTGGGACGGTAATCTATAATGAGAGAGGGAGGCTATATAATACGGGGAGTACATCCTCGCTAATAAGACATAACATTCATCCACTTTAGAGACTCAAATATAGAATATCTAGCTGACCCTTTGCATGGTCTTCCTCTTCTCCTATATCAACACAGCTAAATAGTTGCTTAGTCATCCGCGTCGCGTCCGCGAAACTTCAACATCGAACACGAAAAAGAAAAGCGACGACGACGACGACGAGAATCAAGAAGAACAACAAGCGGACCAGGCGAACGAGCATCCAGGGACGTCAAGTCGACAAGTCTACGGCGATACTCGAGTCCGCGCAGCTCCGACTTTACCCAGACCCCATCTCCATGAGGCACTCCGCGCCCTAGTCATAAAGCCATCGCACCGAATCCACTTCATACATAACAGCCCAGCCCCCAGAATTAATTCCGGCCGTTTAGCACTTAATTCCCAGCTCGAGACACGAACAAGCCCAGGAACCACGGGCACATCATGGCCTCGTCTTCACATCCTTCATTTGCTCCTCGCTCCGTATATGCCAACGCAGGAAAGCTCTCAGACAGACCACTCAACACCAACAACCCTCTGCCGTTTGGGTCCTCGGTGCTATCTCGGCGTGATCGCGGCGACTTTGGAGACACAGCTGGCAAATCCCAGGGCCATCAGGCAGGCGCACCTCCAGCACACTCGCAGATCCAGGGACAAGGCCAGCTTCAAGGAGGCGGCGTGATGGGGGGCGTTGGACCGAATGCCGGGAATAACAACGTTAACAATAACGTGAACAACCCATTAAACGACCTTTCCGAGGAGCAGCGGGAGGAAATCAACGAGGCGGTAAGTTATCTCACCCGGGCCAGCTAGTCGAGGCCCTACTCTTGCTAACGTGCTATAGTTCACTCTCTTCGACCTCGACCGGGACCGTCACCTCGACTATCATGAGCTCCGCGTTGCGTTCCGCGCACTTGGCTTCACGCTATCAAAACCAGACCTTATCTCTCTCCTAACAACATACGGCGTGCCACGAACACCCAGCCCGGCCCAGCAACAGCAACAGTCAAGACAGCAGCAACCTCCACCGCATCCCTCGTCACTATTAATGCCCCTCTCTTCATTCCAGACTATAACGGCCCGTAAGATACTAGAACGAGACCCTCGAGAGGAGATATTACGAGCTTTTGAACTATTCGATGAAGGAGGGAAAGGGTATATTGACCTCGAGGACTTGAGGCGCGTGGCTCGTGAACTGGGCGAGACAGGCCTGGAAGAGGACGAGCTTAGAGCTATGATTGAAGAATTTGATTTGGAGGGTGTTGGCGGTGTGACCAGGGAAGGCTTCGTTGGTATATGTTTACAGTGATATTTTGGTAGAGGTGTTTTTTTTTTTGTTGCTGTTGTCAATGTTGCTATCTTCCATTTTTGGTTGTCTTTTTGTTCTGCTTTTACGTTATGGCGCAGGGGGGAAAAGCCGGTTCGAATTATAGTTTCGTTTGTGCATGGAGTTGGATCTCTATGGACAGTTATATGTACCTGATGCAAAGGTGACACTCGTTGTTCCTTGTAGCAAATGCCTAATATTTCATTGTCTAACTTATTTCTGGCTGTGTATGAAAGGTCAAAGTATGATATTGGTAAATCAGCTGTATATACGGAGGTGATTTCTTCCCTCTTTGAATGTACATTCACTGCGAAAGTAAACGATGAATCCTCCGCTGAACGCCGATTGTAAGTACGATCGTTAATCATCAGATGGGATCAGGATGTTAGGAAGAAATCAATATAAGTGGCCAGGTTGCAGAGATATGCTCTCAACACTTTGGCACCTATATGAACATCTTCCGCTAACGATCACTCACGCCCATGCATTCTAAAACAAGAGGGGAATGAAGAAAGGAATAAAAAAATGCTGTATAAAACATAGGCAGAAGCAAGAAGTGGATGAAGAAGATGGCTAAATCACGGGTATATTCTTAAGCATATCGTGTCGATGGCAGATGTCCTGGATATGCAGGTGGAGGAGCATTGATAGGCGGAGGAATGTTGTTATATGGGGGATGACCGCCCGGCGACGATTGCTGAGCATTCGGAGGTGCCCCATTCCATCCGTTGTAAACTGGAGCCATAGGGCGCATGTTAATTGGTGGCATCTTCCTGTTTCTAGGTCTCTGTCTTCTAGATCGTCCACAGATACAGGAAGCGATGGCTAGGAGAAGTAAACAGCCTGCACCGACTGCTACGCCGATGACAATGGGTTTATGGCGGCTGACCCAATCAGATACCTCGTTGCCGAATGTGCTGCCGCTACATTGGCCCTGTAACACAGTTAGTACGCATGTTTTATGTATAACTTGAAGATATATAAGGGATATAGAACTACTTACGTTCTTGCATGTGCCACCCCCTCCACAAGGGGTGCCGTCGAGGAAAGTGAGGCTACCTTCGTACCGCACATTGGGTCTATCTGGGTCTTTGCAAGCTACCTCGCAGCCATACGAATCAAAAGCCACTGTCCTAGAACCAGCAACTTGGTTTCCTAGATGCATTTGGCACTGTAAATCTCGGCTGGTGCATTGGCCACTGGCACACTGCAAATCGGTGCCGCATGTCTCTCCATCCTTGGAATGTATATCATGGGGACAATCACCGGAATTTCCGGAACATTTTTCTTCAGGATCACAGGGACCGCTGCTTGTGCGGCAGATGGTCGAGCTGGATGCAAACTTGCACCCTTTACAGCATTCTTCGTTCGCGTCATCGCACTGAGACCCGGAAGTATATTTGCAGGTCTTGGGATCACAGCAAGTGTTGCCTTTGCAGCTCTCTTCGTCACCACAGTCACAGTCTTCACCATCTTCGACAATGCCATTGCCGCACTGCTGACCTGAGATAGTATCAACACCGCGGTTTGTGGTTAGGCAGCTGGTTAGGATGGTACGTCTTGCCATTCGGGAGCATATCTGGCCTATTGAACAGGGAGAGAAGTCGGTGATCTGGCTTCCAGACGTTGGGTTCATCATGAACCTTCCGCGTGCATCACACGTGGATGCAGTTGCAGGACAGCATCTGGAGTTATCTGGATTCGCCGGGTTCTGGCAGAGCATACTATCACAGTCATGGACTGCTCCGAATATGTGGCCAGCTTCGTGGCTATTGACAAGTTAGCGTATACAATATTAGTGCGGAAGATAGGCATCTACTTACGCAAAGACTTGCCAGGTGTTATCCGTCTTGGAGACGACGTTAGCACCAGCTACAGCCTGAGAGCTGGAGTTTCGGCTATCTGGGTTTCCCTGAACACCCTTGACGCATAACTGGGCAGCCCATGCCAGCCCAACTTGATTCTCAGTAGTGCAGTCCGTCATCAGAGTCCAGAACGCAAAGTCATCCGTCTTCTTTCCACGCCAGGCAGAGAATGTATTTAGCCTGTCTGCGAGAGTAAAGGAGCCGCCCCCAGCACGGTCATCACACTGCTGGTTGAAGGGAGTTGCGGACGATGCGGTTGCCGGGCAGTTCTTGGGCAAGATGTTGATTTCTCCAAGAGTAAGGGATATGTTAAATGAATGCTCGTACACAACGGAAGCAGCATTGACGACTGAAATAATGTCGGCTCTCGCATCCATCTCCGAGGCAAATGTGTTGGTATATGTGCAGTCCGCAACCACACCTATCAAGGCAACTTTTCGGGTATTGGGGCAGCCGCTTGTACTTCCAATGGTTTCCTTTAGATCTCGAGATCCGGGGACGACACCGCCTGTGTCAGTCATCTGGCGTTTCCCTATGCTTGTCATGAAATAGTTCCATATACTGGTGTTGTTCTCCTCCGGCAGAGGAGGGAACATAAAGTTGGAATTAGAGTCGTATGCGAGAGTATCTGCATCGCAAGAGGGCGAAGACATGATCGAGCGCTCGACGTTCCCCGTGCTTTGGGTCTGTGCTATATCTGACCCTCGGAAAAGAAGCATATATTCGCCAGGGGTGTTGTCCAACGGCGGATCCTGCTGGTGCCGTTTGCGTACATATTTCGACTTTGCGATGACCTGATGATGGTCATGCATGACGGTAAAGACGCCTTCGAACAGAGGATCCTCTCCGTCTCTGTGCAGGATGATTCGAGCCCATCCAACCCTCTCCCAGGCCCCTGACTTTGCCTGCGTCCAAGCCCATCCTTTAAACACACTGTGATCCCTCCGTTCTATCCGTTCTGTCCGGTCAACATTCCCCTCTGTGTCAAGAAAAGTCACTCGCGCATCGTGGGAGAGAACGTCATGATTCGGTTCCAGTTGAAGTTTTATCCGGCTGCTCCTGGGATAAAGATCGAAAGTGAGGTCAAAATGCGAATGGGCATGAACACGGCGAGATGGCGTATGTATGACCGGCCGCTCAACACGGGAGATATTGTTCAGTTTGTCTCTTGCATGAGACCGAGCTGCGTGCAACTAACAGTCAGCAGTGTTTCCATCAAGAGGGGGGGGGGAGAAAAAGAGACAAAGGGAGTCAGTACCATCAACATGCTGAAAGAGCGAGGCTGCCGTAGCTATCACAGAAAGCAGACAGCTAAAAGCTTTCATTCCCAACCGCTATCGAGACTCAGGGCCTCTTGCTCATGTATTGTTTATGCGTTATACCGGCCTGCTCAACGAGTGCGAAGGAATTAAGAAAGAAAGAAAAAAAAAATTAAAATAAATAAAGATTGGTCTCTGATAACTCCGGAGATGATGACGCGTTAGTCCTAATAATAGCGAGATCGTGATATAGGACCAGCGGCAGAGAAAGATGCAGATGGACGATGGTACTCCGTTTGTACCCCTTGGTGAGAGCGGACGATGTTGCGGTAGAAGTACTCCGTCGGGCGTCTCCCCCCCAAGGTCAGCGAGCGAGCGGCAGCGACAGGATGAGGAATATGACAAGAAGGAGAATAAGAAGACGTCCCTCGTTCAGCCGCCCATCAGCCCCAGAGCCAGCAGCAGCCAAGTTGTCAAGCCGCGCAAACGAGTTGTTGATGGATGGATGTCTCGCCGTCCGTTTGCCTGGCGATGACGAAGAAAAAGAAGCGCTGACAGAACAAAAGCAAGCCCCCAGCCTCCTCCGGACGAGCCCGACCAAGACAAGAGCTCGACGAGACACGAGACAAGAAGAAGCCGACGGCTGCGAGCGAACGACGAGGCAGGCCGGGTGTTCGATGGTTGACGGTGTTCCTGGTAGCGATGGAATCACTGAGGCGCAGCTCGCTCTCTTCTGCCCTGGACCCTCCAGTGCGATGCGCGTCCTCCTTCTCTGATGTGGCACCGCATGGCGTCCACACCCTCCTCTCCTGCTCTCACGCACAAAAAAAAAAGCGACAGCCAAAAGCAATTATGCGGGCTTTGGACGCTGAATCGATTATTGTCAACATGCGAGATGGACAGCCGGCGGTGGTGCTTGTGCTGGAGATACACACTTATGCTTGCATGCCATGACGGTGGCTGGTGTTGATTGTTGACTGATGCCGGCTGGTCAAGCCCGGGTTCCTGGACCAGCGACCAGCATCTCGCCTGCGTCTTACATCCTGGCTGGCGGTTCCGCCTAGCTAACTTACCAGACGAGACAAGAGGACGAAGAATCAAAAGCTCGCTGTTGAGGCTCAGAGGGAGGATTTGGTTACGAGGTTTCCAGTGCAGTCAGTTCACGGCGGCCAGCCTTGTTCTTCGCTAACTAACTAATTGACGGACGAAAGGCTGGCTAGAGACATAGTATTAAGCCTCGCCTCTTCTCTCGTCCCTCCTTCTCTTCCCTCTTGGCTGTCGTGACGGTGTTTCTAGCCGATATCGAGTCGACGGGGCGGGTTATACGCATGGCTTGTTCGATTTGGTAGCCACCGTATATCAAAGCGGATGGCACATAGACGGACCATGCAGGTTTGTATTTACGGGGACCACTGAGAAAAGAGCCGATAGAGCCTTGGGATTGATCAATGCCGTGTTTCAACGGTATATTTAATTTAGGTCAAAAATATGGCCCAGAGAAGAAGATAGTGGTGAAAGCATGGTTTATATCTTGAGATAGACCATATAGCCTCGCTAACTAGATTATTCTATATCATATCGTAGAATCATCCCTAATCAGTAATTGAATGATACGTCTCATGCGCCTGCAGTGCAAAGTTGGGTATAGAAGCACCGCATATATGGCATTCGCTACAAGACGTCCCTGTACCCATCACGGAATCCCCATCGTCCTCCCATATCTCATCACCTGCCGGCTCCTGCAATTCCTGTCCGTCTTGCATGGAGGCCCCTTCATGACTGGCAGTATCAACATCCGTATCATGAATCCTCCATTCCCGAAGGACTTGATTCTGCGATTTGAACATCTTCTCTATGTCTCGACCAGCGCTGTTCTTCGTTGACCCTGCGCTATCCACCATATTGGTCACAGCAACATTCATCAAACTGATGCGCCAGCCCGACTTCTCAGGATGAAGTCTTTTGAAGGTCGGTATGAGACTTTCATGGACCAGGCGTTCAGCTATGGCGTTTACATCCTCGTTGAAGGAGAAAATGAACTGTGGTACTGGGCAGGATCTGGAGATGCGGTTATTATATAGAGACTGGGCCTGATTTGTGCTGCCAGGAGGGACCCGAGACCGTGTAGATAGCCGCAGCGTTCGTGGATGTGCTAGCCACCGTCTTTTTCTCTCTGACAGCGCAGAAACTTGATCATTTGCGTTGTCCTCTTCATCATCGTCTATTAGGTCAGTGTGCATCCGTCGTATCAAGCTGCTTGCCAGTGGAAGCATTTCTTTCTTCACAGCATCCAGTGTGTCCAGCTGACGGAACGAATCTTCAATGCTAATCTGCGTAGGGACCATACGGGCTGCTGCAACTTCGCTATGGTCAACGCCATTAATCAACTCCCATATTTTGCTTCCAATGTCCTTTGGCCATCCTCCACCTGATAGTATCTTATCCAGCATCAGAGGACCCATGCCAGGAAAGGTTCGTACAGCACCAACAGTCACTTTATCATCCTCTCTGAGCTCTCTGTACAGCTCCAAGTCATTTCCATGACCATGTACTGCCGCTCTTATGCGGCTAGCGATTTTGAATCCAATGCCTGGGACTTTACCTATTTCATGGCCATCCATAAACTGAGTGATATAATTATCACTCTGATCTGCATCATCCAAAAAGGGCGGTATAAGTGTCGTTTGATTCCTTGGTTTATGGACGTTACCAGCTAACTTTGAGAGAAGCTTGGAAGTAGATATTCCAACTGTGCTGGTATAGCCATGTTTCTCCTCTAGTTGTCTCCGTATATAATTGGCCAGATGCGAGGCAAGAATTAATCTCTGTCCAAGATCTGAAGGCGATGACCCGCGCGACGGCTGTAGCTTGTCATCCAACGGAGGATATGTTGGGCCACAATATACCGTTGGATCATACTCAAAGCCAACAGTAAAGTCATCCCTATCTAGCAGGAAGAAAGAATTCTTGACATTAGGCGCTAGCCACTGGAGATTGTATTCTATCATCGAGGTGACATCCAGAAACACCTCATCAAACCCCAGTCTTTCGGCTCGATCACCCCAGATGAGTGATTTCAGAAAGGAGTAGAGACCCTTGGACACATCACGGAACTTAGTCAAGTCCTCGCCAAGTACAATGACAACCTCGGGACATATCCTTTTGGCATCCTTGATAAGTTGTAGTTTCCGCAACCCTCTCCGCCGCGCTTCGTAGTTGCAGGTCACTACAATCTGCTTCTGTTGCACAGCTAGCGGTAGAGTCTTGAGAGCAGGATTTTCTGCTTCAAAGACTGAGGCATAGAAACAATCGTAGTCCTAGGTTCAATGCGTTAACAAGCGGTCAAGGTTGTCCGGGAACGGGAATATAAAATCTCCACGGGAAAGATTCATGTCTCGGAAAAAGGAGGAACAAATAGGGAATGCTGGAATGAATTTGCGTCTGCTGGGTATAAGAGGATATGCAGATATAAGGTCCACCGGGAGGCATGATAGAAAAGTCTTGTTCTCACTACCCGGCAACCTCTTGCAGCGATGCAGAGTTATGGGGAATAATACACAGTCGTGACACCTCCTTTTCCTTGGCCAAGGTGATGAATAGACGTAAACAAGACCAGGCAAATCCAGTTGAACAAAACGGAGTCAAAGCAAATGAAGACGGCGGAAAAAAAAAAAAAAAAAAAAAAAAGGCAAACGGGCAAACAATCTGGCATGAGGGAATGCTGACAAAATGTAAGATGACCCTGCTATGGTCTATCGGTGGAACCCCTTGCTTCTGCACAGAGGGCGCCATGATGTTTTCCCCGGCCTACTCCACTGCCTTGTGCCTGTTAGTTTGTCATAACTTCCATCCCGGTTGCGGGCAGGGTAAGGGGATGGAGGGTAGCCTGGAAAGTGTTCGACACAAACCAGGCCATGCATCATATATACTTGGTTACTTACATGCACACAGACATGGCAGGAAGTCACGGTTGAATGGATCAACCTACTACTACTGTACTCCCACCAATTTAGTTCCCCAGGCTGCTTGTCGGCCTATCTTCTTCCCACCCCCTTTCTGTCTCTCTCTCTCTCTCTTCGTCGTCTCCTGCAGTGCCGAGACGGGTAGCGAGACTTGGTGTGCGTCAAGTGTCTAATTTGGACCATGCCCTCGAAGGTCGATGACACCCTGCGGCGGCGAGAAAGGTATGTCTTCCCGTCTGCCTCGCAGGGAATGGAGATATAAGCTGCTCTTGGGCTGCTAGAAAATGAAACGTCGAGAATTCCGAGAAACCTTCGAATGCACGGAGAAAGCCGAAGTGCAAGGCTCCTCTTACTTAAGCAGCTAAGCTCATTTAGCAAGGCTCAGGGGGTAGGGAGGATGGGAAGACGAGCTGGATGGAGCTTCACCAAGACGGAGTATAACATCGGGAGTTATATCCTTAGCCCCAAGACTCTCGTCAAACGAATTATGATATTCTGGTGATTCGTCTCTCCCAAACATAACGGCCAACCGGAGGTTTCTTTCCAGGTTGGTTTTACCCTGCCTATTCCTTTCCACACGCTATCCTTGATTTCTCCTCGCACGAGTCATGGCCCCAATATCATAGCTATTAAAATATAAGACGTAGCCTGGAAATGAAAGCCAGTTGAAACCATCATCACGTCTCAACGGCTGGCTATTGCTGAAAATCCACTCCCAGACAAGGAGTTTCAGTCTCGCACGCTGCCTTGGACCGAGATTAAGGTCGGGTGAAATACTAATAATATCTCCATCGTGGGCCCATCAGAAAAGGGAAAAGCGTCTCGATCGTCCCGCCCTGTATGTTGATCTGCTCCCAAAGGGCACAGGAGGGGATTTTAATGTTAAAAATGAAGGGGAAGGGTTAAACTCTTGTCGATGACTAGCACATCCATGCAAAAATCAGTGGCTGACAGCATCGAATGAAAGCCCGTTCTTCATATGATCGACAGCTATGCTGTGCACAAAGTGGAGATTTTGGCATTGCATATATATGAGCCCTTCTATTATTATTATTTTCCTCGTTCTAACTTCCATTTCAACGAGATGGTTATTTCGTCGCTTGATCCACTCATATAGGGCGATTTTGTCCATGGAGAGTGAACAGATGCACAATGATGCACGAGATGGCAAGGGGTAGAGCCGAAGAGTGCGTTCGGCCTATTAGAATCGAGCCAGTTGCGCCGAAGAAGGTGGATGGGGTGTGGACTCTCGCCGTAATGATGACCGAGGGGCTGCTGCTGAGTGATATCATTCTCATCTAATACTCCATATTAATCACTAACCGATTCTGGGGTGATATAACTATATATCGAACATACTGACTCAAGGACAGAGAGTTTTACTGTTTTACTTGTTTTGCCACCATCACTGCGGAGGAGTCAAAGCCAACATCTAGATTTATGCATAAATGATGAACCCTGGTATCCCGTAGAGCGAATTTACTTGCCGTTTCTTCCCATGGATTCACCACTCTCTCCCGCAAGGGGTAAGAATATAGGCCAGGCAGGGAGTGGTTCCGGGGACAAGGACGCTGCATCTCTTTTCCGAGTCAGGGCAGGCTGATGCGCGAACATGTAGAAATGCAGCAACACGCTGTTATGCCAGCTGAACAAAGCCAGAGAATCGAAATCTGCGATGGAATTTCGCCAAAGACTCGATTTTTGGTGCAAAACAACGTCTGACATTGAGAGTTGCCTGATTAGGACAACGCACAGACTTTTTGAGTGTTATTTTTCTTTTTGGCTTCAACAACGAAGAAAAAACAACTTCAACTTCAACCTCACACAACGTCAATTGCACATCATCATCATCATCGTCAGCCAGAAATAGCGGATTATACATCAGATCATCGTCTTGTCACCACTGCAGGGCTGTAATTAGAGACGGACGGACGAGTTCCTGATGCAGTCTGGGACAGCTCTCGGTCCCGAAGCAAATGCTTATTTTTCTGGCGTCCTAGTGGGAATGGCTGATGTATGATCCGAGGGGACAACAAATGAACTGCCTAAAGAAAATGAGGAGGATATATTGTGGTATGCAGAATTATGCCACTTGCTTTTTCCATCGGAGGAAAAAGCGGTTCAGACATGGGTGTGATTTAGGTGTTTCTCTTAACAGCATGCTCTCTTGTGCAGCAGATACTGATCACCCCCCATGACAGGCTGCTTCACCCCATTGGCAAGTTAAGCCGTGGAGAGACTCCGAAAGACCAAGGGAATTTGTCTTCTCGACGCAAAGGTGGATGCGCACACACTGCATATAGCTGCGGGAAAATTATGTATGTGGATGGCGGGGGAGAGAAAGGATAAATAAAAAGGCAACGGGGCTTTGGCTCGAGACCTTTACCTGATAGGGCCTCTCGTCCGTGAAGCTTACGCACCTGTCACAAATCCTGGTCCTTGTCCAGATTGGGGAGGAACCACACCATAAGTTTCTGGACGTGACGGTCATCCCAACACCCCCAGATGAGTTAAGTCCAACTTCCTCCATGCAAAGACTCCATGAAGCTCTCGGTTGTTCGGAAGATATTATGGACTGGCAAAGGCGAGTAGGGTAAGATGGAAAAGAGGAAAAAAGAAATGGGTGGCGTTCGCGCTTCTCCTGTTACAGGTGACGCTTTTCTGCGTTCTGACAGCATTGCCAGTGATGCCCGCCCTTCTTGACGACACTCTGATCTTGAGCAAAACCCAACTTGACCAAACCTCTGGAGTGGGGAGCGATGAGAGGCCGCACATGAGAAGCCAAGACAGAAGGAGGCATCCCTTTCTCAGCACCCATTTTTCTATTCTGACGAGAGTCGTAACTCATGTGGATGGGAACGGATCGCCCCGCTCTGTACCACCGTCCCGAGAGCCTTTCTGCTGCCAGTTCTCCAAACAAATATTCACCCAAACCTGTCGTCTCAGATTCAGAATCAGACACGGCAGTTAATTTATTCTCACACAGAGCGAGGGCAAAGAATGATTCCTGAAATACCTGGGCATGCACGGGGTCTGGAGCGTTAATAGCAGGGACGGAGTATGTACGTATATGGATAAGGGCTCTCTCTCGTATTGACGCAACAGAGTCTGGAGTTCGTATTCTGCAAGGATAGAACCGCTGGTGGCTACCCAACATGGTGGAAGAGGTAGCATCTCCTCAAGAAGGATCGGAGAAGGATAACCTCGTCCTCGTATCGTGGGAGCATATCTCGTTTACTTATATTATATCTCCTCTTGTCTCTTGATCAGTATGCTAATAGTGGTTTTTCACAGATACACTGGCGTTGTGTTACAGGAAATCAGCGATCTTCTCCTCAATCTGTCAACAGGGCCACTGCCAACCAATAAGCTAGGCCTTGAAACGCTTGCCTAAAAAAAGGGATGCCTCCACAAGTGGTGCCGATATATAAATAGGCAGCGCGTGGTGGCTCCGCTAGCGATCGCCATGATTCGTTCAGAGACCTGCGCTCCCCTTGCCTTCGATTGGCGGATAGGTGCGCCTTCACCAGGACCGGCCCCTGTCCCTGCCCCAGTGCCTTTCCGTCTGTGAGGGCGCTTCACACTTCTTTTTCTCCCTCTCTGTCTATTTCCATCTTGTACGTTTTATTTTTAAATTTTTACTTTGGCAAACTGAAAATTAAAATGAAGCAGAAAAAAAAGAAAAAAAGAAAAGAATTTCCGAGATGATTGAGATCAGGATTCCTGTTCTCTCTAAGTTACATATGCATGTTCATTTGACGGTTGAGAGGCCGTCTATGCTAACCGCCCTGGTAACTTGCATTTTATAACACTTGGTTCTGCTTCTTCAACCTCCCCACTACCTTTTCTCCCATTTTCCTTTTCCTTTGCTCTCTCTCTTTTTCTCTTCTTCACTTCACAAAACGCTCTCCAGCCAGAGTTTCTCCTCTGCCACGCTCTGATCGTCGCCTAGGCAGGATCGAAACAATTATTGAAATTCGACACCCCAATGAAGCTGCCACAAGAATAGAAATTTACCCGCCACCAGATATTCGCCATCTCTCACGATGCATGGGTCCACTCGAACTGGCATTATCATAGATTGTTTCCCCTGTCGCTATATCAACATTGACCTCGCGTGCTTTGCGGACAACTTCCAACTCATGACAACTCTCCTGTTTTAACTGCCTCTTGCTTACCACATCCGGATCCCCCCGTTGCAGGAAGCGAAGTTCCTTGGGCCATCTATTTTTGTCCTGGTTTTCGCCTCTCGCGTGGTCTCGAGGTCGGGTCGGTCGGACTTTGAGTCTTCTCCTAGATTCAATATTCTTTTTTTGACTTTCCTCTTCTTTGGGCTATTTGAATTAAAACCATCCTCCTTCTCCCAAGAATAGCCATGATCACTATACCAATGGCTAGTGAGAAGCCCATCAACCTCACATCAGTGGAACCAGAAGCCACCTCTCCTGGACGAAGTAGTTCTCCAGCGCTCTCCTCATCATCCTCATCATACTCTTCAACCGCCCTCTCACCTGCGTCCTTTTCTTCATCTCACTCTTCAGCAACCGCATACTCGCCCGTCATCTCGCCTTCAGAAGATTACCACCGGCCTCACACCAATATGCTGAAAGTGGCTACCCAACCAGCGGTATACCCAAGCGTGCCCTCGATAGCACCGCCTCTAACACCCATCCGAAACCAAGTTGGTCCCAATATTAACAAGAGACCCAAACTATCTCTCCAAACGTCCTGTGTTCCTGTCACCTTTGGCAAATCATCAACTGCACTATCCTTGACTGTTTCGAGCAATAGTTGTCAATCCCCTACCAACAGGAACACCTTCAAAAACGCCTACGAATCATTCCACCGTGTCAACTCACCAGTATGTCGGTCACCTCTAAAAGGCCCATCAAGGAATCGCCAGCGTGCGCCGTCATCACCTGCAAGGGCAGGACCTGTCCGGGCTGCAGAGCCGCCTTACAAGCTTCCAAAGGGCATACGGGGAATTTTAAGAAACTCACCCATCCCATCACCCGCTCAGGCTGAAGAACAACTTGGGAGCCCAGAAGCGACAGCGTCAACGCCATCTACAAAACGAGTGAAATATCGATACCCACTTGACGAGATCATAAAGACAGTCAAGTTTACCGCTAAACACTCCGACATTGAATCGACAGATGCCTCTGGGACGAGTTCCCCGCTCGACACATACACATACAGTTCGTCGGAGGAAGATTCCGATTCCAGCGACTCCGCATCCAGCGGAGCAACTCCGTCAGAAGACGAGTCAGAGAATGCAGTCAAGTCACCTAAGAGAACAAGGAAGCAGACCCGATCAAAACATAAGAGTTTTCGCAGCGAGAGACAAATCCTTGCAGCCGGTGTCCGAGATGGCCTATTGCCCTCTCGGGAAGACAGCTTACCTCCACAAACGCCTATACACCAACGGACCGTCCAGCGGGAATGGCGGTGGACTCTGGGGCCGATAAAAGATGGCTATGTTCAGTCTTCGAGTCCTCCAAGCTCCGATCTCGCAACACCCCCTGCAGAGGCATCGTACGAGGTACCTTCAACGCCACATACCGAGAAGAAGAACGATGAAGCCCCCCTAGCCTTTGCTGACATGACGCCTCCGCCGTCTCAAGGCTCCGGGATATGTTCCAGCCCGGTTGTCAAGCCGGGCTCTTTAAGGCTGACATGTTGAAGGCCGAAGCCATTCCTCGTCGAATCCCGTTACTCAATAACGATGCCAACGAACGTGACGACCCGTGCATACTTACAATTCTCTATATATATATAAATTCATCTAACTGTCAGGATTGGCTGCTTCTCTCCATCCTTATCTACTTCTAACCACTCTGCTTGGGAGAGGCATTGTCATCACACTGCCCTTGAAACATAACACCCATTTGCTTGTTTTTTTGGCTGTTCTTTGGCGGGAGTCTGGGAGCAAAAACGAAGCTTTGGCTTGTATACCCATGTAGCGTTTTCCCTTTCGAATACCAAATATCATACTTACATTTTCAATAGCTGGACATATTGAGAATAAAGATATTTACCTTACTTTTAATCAGAAACACGCATGACGTTATGTATACTTTTTTGTTTTTTTCTTTACAAAAAGAGTTACGTGTATATATATAGAAAGAAAGAGAGAGCAAAAAGAAAAGAAATCAACACCTAACAGTTCAGTTCGCCTGACTCGGTCGCCTCGTATCCATCCACAGCCGTCTAACTTCTCTTACCGCCAACCTTCCGTCGTCACTTCACCTCGGGGCTACGATTCGGCTTTGAGGGCGTTCGCACCGTTCCCCCATCACGCCTAAGTATTCTCCGAAGTGGCTACTCGAAGTTCTACCAGAGTTCTTTGCCTGAAGCATAAAAAGGGGGGGAGTGGGGATGAGGCACTTCTGGCCTGGCTATATCTCCTTCTTTCGGTGTAGTTTCCAGCATCAACACCAAGGGCAGCCACCCAGCCAGCTAACACGTAACCAACACCTCGCAACTTCGGGAGAACAGCCAACATGCACTTTTTCGTGGCATCTGATGTCGCCCACTACTGGCCTGCCTGGGCAGGATGCACTGCGGCCATCTCCCTTTGACCTCTCAGGGGACCAATGACGGATCTTCGCCGACACCCTCTTGTTGGATCACACCCCGGGATTGCTTATGTGCGTTTCTGTCCATTTGGTCAATGCAAGGACAAGGGAGAATGAGATATCACGCAGGTAGCTGTCCGACCGCCCGATCCCCAACACAACACGAACAAACAAGCTGTTGGAGGAACAGAGGTTAACTGTGAGTCTCTTGAGTACTTCCAACGGTTCGAACTTCTAAGTTCGCCCTGCAGCCGTCTAGACGCTGACAACCAACTCCACCTCTCACATTTCTAAGAATAGCAGCCAGCCGTGCAGCCGCTTATCAAACTGTTGGTAATATCTCTCAAATCAACATTCTGGCTGTATCGATGATAGCCTGCTAAATTTATCCCCACGGCAATCTTCATGCTTACTAGTGATTATACAATCACTACACGCAAATTATGAGCAGTGGGCCTGAATTTCTCAGTCATAACTATACCCAGATGGCCGTACACTTCTACAAAACGGACTTCACATCGCAGCATTTCCGAGCGATTTCTTCAGGTTTAAGCCTGTTGAGTTAACACTGGAGTCCGACTATGATAAACTAAAGTCTTCTGGCCGACCAACAACCTCCAAGCTCGGCAGATTGAGTAGTTGAGTTTGATCAACTTGGTGGACTGCAGGGGTGGTTAGGGATATTCGTTCATATCCACTCATATTATGAACAAATATTGATGGGACCACGATTGGCTTTTACCGTCTTTTAATAAGAGTAACTGCCGTGTCGATGAATTGACGCAGAGAGATAACAAGGGTATCAAAAACGACGCAGCCACAGGCATACATAAGCAAGAATGATGTTATATCTTTGGCAAAGGGCCGCTCGACAACTCCAGAGAGTACGAGAGGCTGGAGTTTAACCCAATGGATAGTCAACCAGACCCCTAGTTGTGCAAGCTAGATCATGAGTGCTCCCGAGCAGATGAAATAGAGTACATGGTATAGTTAAATATGACTGGTGATGTTGTTTTTAGCAGGTTGAAAAGGTTGGTCTGGAGTTTAATGCCAATTCTGTGAAGCCATCGGTAGTGAATGATGTCTAGTGACGAGCATACTGATGATACCAGCTGCTCTGCGCATAGTACTGCATTTGTGAATGTGTATAGGCCTCTTCAGGTGCGACTATACCCCATCTGAGGTCCCTATCAAGTAGTTACAGGCAGGTTTTTCCTTCAGGGGTAGTAAACAAACATGAGGATGGACGGAGGGTGTAATACCAACCTACACCCTCTAAATGGTGCTTAGAACTAATACACACCTACTCCGTGCATATTTAAGCCTACTTACTCTGCAACACTGCTATTTGTCTGCTCGGAGCAAATTATCATCCTCTCGCTGCCTACTCCATACAGTTCACCGTGCTCTCGTATGTTGACAGCCCCCGCGATGAAGCCGCTAATGCTAGCCCCCGAAAGTGACGGCTAGCCACCATAGATGACCCTCAAATCCGAACTTGACTGGCTCTCCTTGCTTTTTAGCCGAAGAAGAAACGAGATGAAGGCCGGCTGGAAGCAAAGGGCCTCCTTGGCGGCCGTCTTGCTTTTTCTTCACTCTTGGAAGTGAAGGATAGAATCCTTCTGTCTGAACTCCTTCCATTCGACAGCCCAGAGAGCCAGAATTAGTCTGATATATTATTATTGACTCGTGATGGTGCAACGTTTCAGCCTTCTGCTACACAGACAGGGACAGGGGGAAGTCTGTGTTTAAAGATAAGCGCCATGCAAGGCCAGGGATCGAGCATTGAACATCAACCATGAGCATCCAAAAGAAAAGAAACGAAAACGGCAGAGAGCCAGAGCAAATTTGCCGCCATGGGCTGAAACACATGATGATAATCACTCCAGACGGGACTCTCGACGGGACTCCAGACTGTCTGTGCTGGATGAGCCGTCATTTATCTGCGGACGGTTCAAGTTGCTTGATTCGGCCAAAGACAGACCGACAGAGGCGGAAGAGATATCAAAAGAAACGACAGAAAAGGGACAAGTAGGGCGTTAGTAGGCTGTTTTGAAAACGTTTTGATAGGTCTCGCCGGGTAGGCTTGCTCGTTGGGAGACATCTCTTCGAGAGAGAGAAAGGCGAAGAGAATACGAGGCGAGAAGCCCGGACGTTTTATTTATAGAATAAGGAGAGCAAGCATGACGATATCTGGGGGCTACCGAGTATGTACTTCGACCGCCTCTTACGGTCTCTCCTTTTTGCAAATATGCAATATATCCAACGTCCACTTCAAGAATGGAGGCTGCAGGCATACTAAGATGAAGCTTGCATCCGGCATCACCAGTCCATAGTTATGAGAGGAAAGCATTGGAACAATGTATACGGAGTATAACTATGGGCATTCACTTCTAGTGCTGTTGACATGGTAACTAACGGTTAACTAGTTTATACGGACAACATCCGGAGGACATCAGATCTCCTACCACTTATGATAGCACCACGGGGTCAAGACTATCAGCCCAACAATACATTGCACGATCAATCTGGAGTATGTGCACACGCCCGTGAACGAGTTAAAAGAGTGTGGGGATAGAAGCAAAGACCCTCAGCCGGTCCAAAGAAGCAAAAAGAGCCCCGGAATGTCCGACTCGAATCTGGCTCAGCCGACTTCGGTTTGAATATCTGGCTCGCGGCCCGTCATGTCGCCCATAAGCTTGTCCTTCACCTTCTTCATCGCAAACGAAGCTTCGTGTTTGACGAAAGCGGCATTACGAGCTGGGCGCCATTGCATCACGCCACGATGCTTTCGCCATTCGCTGCGTCGGTTCTCCTTGTTGCCAATTCGTTCTCTCCTCTCCTCCGTTGTTTCGTGGCTTGATTCTGAGAGGACCCCGTCAACAAGTGCAGCGTCGGCGTTGTCATCGTTGTTGTCATTCTCGCCATGGCCATCTACCCTACCATCATCTAGATCATATTCATGAGAAGCCATAGCTCCACCAACGGTAGTCTCAGCTCCAGCTACTTCTCTTTCTCCGAGGGGTCTATCAACCGCTTCAGTAGTGGTAGGGCCGTCGGCGTAGTCCATCATCTGAGGATTATTGTGGCTTTCAGGCATGCCATCTCCGCCCACCGTCATGGGCGCTGGAACGGTTCTATTCGCAGTTACACCTGCATCTGCATTTGTGTTTGCGTTTGCATTTGCATTTGCACTCCCGGCTGTTGTTGGACGAGATTGATTCCTGCTCTGGTTCTCGTGTTGGCCTTCAGATGCTGCACTCCCCTCGATACGAGAGCTGGCGTTTCCTGTCATCGATTGTCGGATAATATCATCAATTGAGGATAAGTTGCTGTCCTTCGATCTAGGCCTTCGGAGTTTGGCGCTGGCTTGACGGAGGATATCCCGTTCCTGGACTAGGGACTTCTCATGTAACCTCTGCACCGTTGGAGGAACCTCTGAGCGGATCTCTCCCCGTACACCTTCAGATACACTCGCTTCCCACGTTTCAAAAGCTTCTCTGGAATCATTGTTATTGACCAGCTTCTCATGGGTCTGATGGAAACCAGGGGTGAAACGACAGCTGAACTGGATTCGTCCAACCATCTCAAGGTCTTCCAAACCAGGACTATTTTTGGCTTCCTCCCAGTTCTCTTCTGCCATGTAGTTCTGAACTAGTCGCCAGGAATTTTTAGCTGTCCAGACAGGTAAGTCGACGGGCGTTTCTTCGTTGTCAACAAGGTTCTGGAGCCATACAAGGGCGTGGGCGGTGCCGGAACTATGCTGAACTTCGAATATTATCGCAGACCGATAACGATGTTTGGTAGGCAATATGATCTCCTCCTTCAAGTCGGATGTGAGGTCGAAGAAACCTCCATTTTCCTCTATGGAATCCGGTTTCCACGCAGAACGGGGCACCGAATAATGAACTCCACTGGTCCTGATCTTCAACTTACCGCGAGACGCGCAGTTTTTCAGTATGATTTTGTTTGATGTGATGCTAAAGGTACCGACATCATATCCAAGTAGCTTCGGCGGGAGCCTAAGCTCAACACTGCGGAATAGGAGGGATATCCGAATACGTCCAAAGCCAATACCGCCATCAAGGGGATACCATCTAGTGACTTGAGAGCTGGCCTGGAGGATATCAGAGAGCTTAAGGGGCACAATACCCAGAATCGGATCATGTTCCCGGTTTCTTTGATCACGGACGGCAATGGTGACCATAGCTGATCTCCAATCCCGAACAAACCTCTCCGTTCCAGCGTTAAATATGGGCTTACTGGACACTGCCTTGGCTCGGGTGCGGAATATCTATAATAACAGTTAGATTATCTGACAGTCCTGTGAGATAACTTGCTACTTACCGGCTCATCGTTCAAGTGGACAGTGCAGTAGCTTGTTGGGAATTGCTTTCCTTCCTCACCAGTACTCTCTCCATAAGATCTAGCGGCCTCATATTCGTTGCCCTTTCGGTTTTTGAGAGTTCCTTTGATATCTTGAACTTGCAGGTTTACAACTTGATGGATGACGATTGTGCATATACCACTCGGCCAAAGAGGATCAGGAGGGGTGCACGTAACTGCCTCAGCATCATCCTCGGGCTCAGGAACATTGCCCTTCTCATCTTGGAGAGCAGGATGGTCTTTCAAGTCCTTAGGGAGTGTTTCATCCTTGCCATCAGTGCGAAGAGCATGTCGGAAATGTGGTTTGCGGAAGTATCCCACTTCCCAGAAAAGTTCTCCTGGCATCTCAGTGCCTGCATCCATACCCTGAAGCTTAGAAGTAATAGGGAACATCTTTCCGGGATGTTGAAGCAAGTTTTGCATAGACAGCTCAACCTTGCCCACGATATCATCGGCAGTATTCCTGTCAGAATCCCACAACTCGACGCTGAGCTTCTCGTCGGCCTTGATAAGCTCCGGGGTCACAAGAAGGGCCGCAGACTCTTCCCATTCTGGGTTGAGATCATCACAAATAACCCTAGTACAATACATCGGTTTCCCGTACTTTGAAAACGACAGGTTGATGTAAGGATCGCTGCCACCGCCCTTGCTTCCTCTCTTGTCCTGCTTGCTTAAGCCATTGGCACGGTGGATTCGCACCCAGAAAACGCCCAGTGCGCTGGTATCCTTTTGGATATCATCGCCTCCAAGCATCATACTAAGATCAAGTGACATTGATTTTGGTGCTACGTACATGCTCACTGCCGCTCTAATGGCATAGTTGACAAAGTTGGATATCAATGGGAGGTTCAAGATGTTGATTCCTCGTTTGATCATGGGAGTACAGCCTGCTCGGATATGTGGCATCCCCATCAAACTGAATGTCAAGCTCTTAGCAAATGGTGCTTCAGGAGAGAGTTGCAAACGAAGCCTGACAGTGCCGACGAGCTCCGACAATTCAACGAAAATAGGAAAGGGGACACCGAATAAACCCTTGACTCCGAGATAGAAAACCACCATCATGTGCATGTTTTGTGCTCTAGAAGAGGTGTTTTCACCAGGTTTAGCATGGTACGCAAATGTACATTCAAGGTTATAAGGTTGGCCACCTTCCTCCTCAGCGGCAGCTTGCTGTTCGTCTTTGTTCTCCAGATTATAGTTGCGTAGACCTTCTATTAAATCTGAACATTGGCCATCCGGCAACGACCTCAAGCTGATTATGCGCAAGGGGTTCGATCCCTGGTCTATTTCAGCTATTCTGACGTTCTCGATTATTCCAGGTAACGATGCATGCATGACATCCTCAATGGTGTCAGCAACGCTAGCAAACATATCTGGGTTGATCAAGCCCCAAAATATCTCGACAAACGAATTCAGCCATTCTGCGGACTCTGGAAGGAGATTTGCAGTTGCCTGGCCATGATGTCAATAATACTATTCTATGAAGAACCTTCGGCTAGTGTGTAGGATCTGGGACCAACATACTGTTTGTCCACGGAGCTTTTCCGAATGCCATTCAAATGTCCGCCCTCGACGGATAACATCATAAGTCCAGAGCCATACCCCCGTTGCAACACAACAGGCAAGCGGGAATATCCATTTCAATTCACCTCCCGCAAAGCGGCCAGCAACCAATATGGAGCCGAAGATAACAGAGCATAGGACACCAGCCCTTTTCTCCAATATTTTGAACATCGGCTCATAGCTGATTGAGGGGGTCGGGTGAAATAATATGTTGGTTCTTTCCCCATGAATGGGCACATCGCTCGTAGTTCCAGCCGCAATTGGCTCTGGCGGAGATACGATATCCTGAGTATGCTTGTACTCTTCTAGTTTTTGCGATGGTTTGGTTTGAACAGACTAAAACCAGGATTAGTGTTGATGATGCAGGCAAAACATATACAATTGGATTATGCTTACGGTTGGCAATCCAAGGTTTGCATTAGGAACAGATAACTAGCGGCACATTATCATCAGCATACCAAAACCTTCTCCTTAACTATCCGTGGATACAAAAAGAGGTAAAATCGTACCTGAGGGTCCCTGACAGCTTTCTTGAAGTTCTCATCTACATCGTCAATTTCGACCTCTGTGCCTGTAGTTGGATCAGTCACCACCCGGCCCTTGGCTTTGGTCTTTGGCACGGGCTTCCTATGCGGAACAGCTGCCCCTGTAGGTTGTTTCTGCGGCGTGGTTTTCTTGCGAGCCTCCTCATCAATTTGCCTGTCTCGCTCTGCCTTTCCAGCATCTAATTCAGCAATGAATTGCTGTATGGTAGGGACGGGATTGGCCTCGCTCCAGTAGCCTCCAGGCTTCTTTTGAGTCGTCATTGTAGGAATATTCCTTGCGGTCTGCCGATCATTTGAGGTAGATAGCTCTAAATCCTTTCTCGAGTAATGAATGGAATTGATCGATGACAGCAATTGAGTCGATGATGGGCCTTTAAGAGAAGGCAGAACCTGCTGAAGGCATACTTTCTTATCAACTCTAATTGAGCAATCGTTATATATAAGACCTTCCATATCCTTGATATTGATACTCGAAGGGAGGTCTGGGCTCTGACGTCATACGTGGCGAGCCATTGCCGTTCGTGTTATCCACGAGCCAAACAAACGGCCAAGGTTGGTATCTACTGGGCAAAGACTGCAGATGCCACATTTAGCGGATCCGGCAGATGGGCATGTCAAGGAGGCTGCTGATCTGGCCCCGAAAACCTGGCAGAGTGGCCTCGCGTCTACAACGCATTATGAAGTAATCCCTCCCAATCCCGGCTTTATGTGAGATCGATCGTCATTTTTTGGGATCAATTGCTGTGGCGGTGGTATCTGAGATGATTCTATCTAAGGTACGATCGAGAGTCAGTTAAATGTTCCGCATCGGACCATTTTCCATGTGAAGATATTCCCCTGACGTCTTCCAATCTGCTCCTATCGGCTTTTATATTGCGCTCGGACCTGCCCGCGGCTCAAGGTCAGTTTCGGGGTTATATTATCCCGAGCCGGCGTCAATTTGATGGTCACGTGGCACTTCTTTTGTCCAGCCCTAACTAACGTCACTCACAGTAAATAAAATAATAAAGGGTCTCAAAGGTGACAGTGACAGAGAGAAAAGCAGAGAGAAAAACAGAGAAGAAGCGTAACGATGGCTGAGGTAGAAGAAACGAAGACCCAGCGTGCAGCTCGCCTAAGGCGGGAGAAGCGAGCTGCGAAGATAGCGGCCACTGGAAATGCGCGATTAGACAAGATAACAGGTATCAGTGGCCGTTCAATGTCATGTATGTTGTTCCCAGCTTAATTACGCTCTTTGAAGCTTTGCTAATGGTGGTGGTTACAGTTCGTGAGGACTCCCCATCTGCTAGAAACACTCCAAGCCCTCCAAGATATGCCTCTCCTCCCGCACAATCGCCGCCACGGCAACAGCCGCCGTTGGGAACATCTCCTGGGCTAGGAATGCCCCCCAATACCGGAGATAGCTCCCCACAGTCTATCAAGGAGCAAGAGGAGTATATAAGGGCCCTTCTTCGATCTCAACAGCCGCCTCCCTCGGCAGGAGACAACGCAGATCCAACGACAAAACTTCTTAGCAATCTACTTGGTATGCCTCCACCCGGGGCTGGCATGACAACCCCAGGGGGAACACCTTCCTTTCAGCCCACGACTGGTGATGCTCCGGAGCTCTCTCCCAATGACATAGCTTCGGCCCTTGGAATCTCCCCTTCCATGGCCAATATATTTCTGCAAGCCAAAGCTGGGCCCGCCTCGCCGTCCGCCCAACGGAACAACTCGATATGGAAAGCCGCTCATATTGTCTTTGCAACGGCTACAAGTTTATATTTCTTGATGCTTCTGCAGTCAACTATTAATCTTTATGGTGGCGGCGATCGACTACCGCCTCCCGCAACCGTGCAGAACCCGTTTCTTATCCTCGTTATGGGCGAGTTGCTACTTATTGGAACACGAGAGATATTTATGAATAATGATGGCAATGGAGCCGGTAGTGGTGTTATCGGTGTGCTCAAGACGGGCAGACGCGTGCTGTCTGACCTTCTAAGGGACGGCAAGATAATGATTTTTATACTGGGCATCGGGTCCCTATGGATGAATAACTGGGGAAAGGTCAAAACAGAATAAGATTAGAGCGTAGTGATCATCGGCGGATAGGGCCTATGATTGATTGACTTATGATATATGATGATGATGCTCCATGAAATGTTTTCTGTGTATCAATTCGCCGTATGACAACCTCGAGGAATACCGCCTCGATGGGCCGAAACTGCCGCCAAGAAAGCTTGACTAGATTTAAGAAGTATTATGTAGGGATGCGGTAGATATTGTCTACCTTCAAGCCTTTATCAAAATATAACTTCACTCTCCTAACCACAGGAATGGGCTTATTCGTCTGGACCTAGTCAGCCTTGCATATAGAGGTAGGTTAACCTCTCCATGGAAGAGCACCAGCAATCCCTAAGAAACAGCCCCTTTTTGATACGTTCCCCTAGCTGGAGTTAGACCGTTGAAGAACCTGCATAAAAGCGCGAAATTTATCTTTCCACCTCTTCACCCTTTTAGCATAGTGGCATTTTAATAGAACTATAGGGGGGTTGACGAGTACTGTGGGGGGTATTAGTGTAGGGGCATGGTTTAGAAAATTACTTCTTTAATTTATTCACAGGAGGAGCAGGCGGGAATCACCTGAATCTTGCCAATAAGTATTCTTGTTCTGAGTTATATAACCATAGAAAAGGAGTTAGTATGCGGTATTGACTATGTAGAAGATTCCCACTATTTATCTTACTAGGAGTCTCTATACTCATGGATGTTTAACACGGCAGGAATAATGACAAGCCGGATGATTTTCTGCCCTCGCACTGCCGAATAACACCTGTGGGATAGGTGGTCAGGGCGTAGATATATCCACTGCTGTGGGCAACTAAGGCAGACTAAAGTTGGAGTTGTAGAGAGTATGCGGAATAAAATGCCGAGAGAGACACTGCAGCTTCAACTGACAGATCAACTGATAATGGGTTGCAGAAGGTTGCGGAGCGCCTAGCTGGATACTTCACAGAACCGTCCATCGTACTGAACAGGCATGTATGTAACCCTGCTGCATGCCGTGTTGCTACCTGGCCCCTCGGTGGCTTGCCTGTGTCACTGCAGCAAGGGGCCTCAAGCGTATCCCATTAATCTTCTGGTCTCGGCGCTTCCGTGTTTTTCGTCTTGTCTTCATCGTGATCAGTAAAAGCTGGACGGAGTAACTGCTCCGTGCTGCTCCGCGGTTATAATAGGCGTAGTATGATTCGACTTGAGTTGTTTCGGTTGAATGGAGGGACCCCGCATAGTTAACTAGTTAGCTAGCCGGCGAACTAGTAGGGAGCCGCTCTCGGGAAACCATCCTCAGGAGGTGACAGCGGGTGCCGAAGCAGGAGGATGGAGAAGGTATGCGGCATGGATCCCTGGCCTGCGAGATCCCTGGCGCTGCTGTGCGACTTATGTGGCTGGCGCTGTTTGGCGTGCGGAGGGTTAGTGAGATGGTGAAGTCAAGACGGAGTTTCGGGTATGATAAACTCAGCTCTGGAGAAGCCGGTCCATTTTTTTGGAGCCTTTTCTTCTTTCTCTTCTTCTTATTTATATTGGCCATCTCCCGTCTTCGCTTCGTTCCTCTCCTGTTTCTCCTCCTGAAGGCTTCGTCGTACTGCGCAAGGCCCTGTGTTCGCCTCTAGACGCCCTCTTGACACCGGCTTAGCTGTCTACACCCCGCTACCCCGCGATCATCTGTACCCCTGGTCGCACGCAAACAAGTCTGCGTTAGAAGACGATCATGGCAGAGGTAGACGCCGCTAAGGCCCCGGTGGTACGTTTATTATGTGTTATGCAAGCGAGAAAGCGAACAAAAGAGGGCGTAGCTAACTGGCGCATAGGTCGTGGAAGCCCACCAGGTCGAGACCGTTGGTGTACCTGCGGAGTACCACCAGCACTCCACCAAAACGCACTTGAAGAGCTTTGAGGAATACAAGACTCTTTATGAGGAGTCTATCGCGAGTCCAGATACCTTCTGGGCGCGGCTGGCGCGGGAATTAGTGACCTTTGACAAAGACTTCAACACGACGCACATCGGCTCCTTAAAGGGAGGTGATAATGCTTGGTTTGTTGGTGGGAGACTGAATGCTTCTTACAACTGTGTCGACCGCCATGCGCTCAAGAATCCGGATAAGGTTGCTATCATCTACGAGGCCGATGAACCTGGCGAAGGGCGCAGCATCACTTACGGCGAGCTGCTCAAGCAAGTCTCGAGCTTCGCATGGACTTTGAAGCAGCAGGGGGTGAAGAAGGGTGATACGGTGGCTATCTATTTGCCTATGATTCCAGAGGCTCTGGTTGCTTTCCTTGCTTGTTCTCGCATTGGTGCTGTGCACTCTGTCGTCTTTGCGGGCTTCTCGTCCGACTCGCTGCGTGATCGTATCAATGACGCCAACTCCAAGGTTGTCATTACCTCTGACGAGGGCAAGCGAGGCGGAAAACTCATTGGAACCAAGAAGATTGTCGACGAGGCTTTGAAGCAGTGTCCTGGAGTGACTAGCTGCATCGTGTTCAAGAGGACTGGAGCAGAGGTTCCATGGACTCAAGGACGCGATCTCTGGTGGCACGAGGAGGTTGAGAAGTACCCCAGCTACATTGCTCCTGAGTCCATGGATTCGGAAGATCCTCTGTTCCTCTTGTATACTTCAGGCTCAACCGGAAAGCCCAAGGGACTGATGCACACCACTGCTGGTTACCTGGTTGGCGCCGCTGCAACTGGTAAATACGTCTTTGATATCCACGAGGAAGACCGATTCTTCTGCGGTGGCGACGTTGGTTGGATTACCGGACATACCTATGTTGTCTATGCTCCACTACTTCTCGGTGCGACCACAGTCGTTTTCGAGAGTACTCCTGCCTATCCGAACTTCTCGAGATACTGGGACGTCATTGAAAAGAACAAGGTCACGCAGTTCTACGTTGCACCAACCGCACTCAGACTTCTCAAGCGTGCCGGTGACCAGCATATCCACCACGAGATGAAGGATCTCCGAGTGTTGGGAAGTGTTGGTGAGCCAATCGCAGCTGAGATCTGGAAATGGTACTATGAAGTTGTTGGCAAGAAGAAGGCCCAAGTTGTCGACGTAAGTATTGGATCCTTTTGTTTTCTAAAGCAGGCATCTAACATCAGTAAATACAGACATACTGGCAAACCGAGACTGGCTCTCACGTCATTACTCCCCTGGGTGGAATCACTCCTACCAAACCGGGAAGTGCTTCTCTGCCATTCTTCGGCATTGAGCCTGCCATCGTCGACCCAGTTACCGGTGAAGAACTGAAGGGTAACGATGTAGAGGGTGTGTTGGCATTTAAACAGCCGTGGCCAAGCATGGCTCGCACAGTATGGGGTGCCCACAAGCGATACATGGACACCTACTTCAATGTCTACCCAGGATTCTACGTGAGTAGATTGAATAAGCAAAGGCCAGTTTAGTCTCTTTCCATGCTAATTCCAGAAATAGTTCACTGGAGACGGTGCTGGCCGAGACCATGACGGATACTACTGGATCAGAGGAAGAGTTGACGACGTTGTGAACGTCTCCGGTCATCGTCTTTCTACTGCCGAAATAGAAGCTGCTCTCATCACACACTGTAAGTCTTCCATTTCTGTGGATGAGGGAGGTATAAAGTAGTTAAGCTGACAAATATGTAGCTTCCGTTGCCGAGGCTGCCGTCGTCGGTGTACACGATGAGCTCACCGGCCAGGCAGTCAACGCCTTCGTTGCCCTCAAGACAGGCAACGAAATCGGTGAGGAGATCCGCAAGGAGTTAGTAATGCAGGTTCGAAAATCTATCGGACCCTTTGCGGCTCCTAAGGCGGTCTACGTCGTTGAAGACCTGCCCAAGACTCGCAGCGGAAAGATCATGCGACGTATTCTCAGGAAGATCTTGAGCGGCGAAGCCGACAGCTTGGGTGATATCTCGACGGTAAGTAAACGTTTAGGCTTCTATAGACGTTGAGCTTGTCGGTGACTCGTGGCTGATGACTCTTTAGCTTTCGGATCCAACCGTGGTTCCCAAGATTATCGAGATGTATGAGGCAACAAAGAAAAAATGAGCTGGAATCTTCTTGATGTTGTTGTGGTAGGTATCGTCTTTTTCTTGCACTGCTGAGCCTTTTAAACCGTTATATAAATAGCGATACACTATGCAAATAGCCTGGGCAAGATTTACCCAAGAATATGAAGCCTTGTTGCTGTTTGTTGGTCCTTATCAAATGTTCAATATTGACGTTGTAGCTCAAGAGAATAGCCCCCTAAGCTCATTCAGCCAATCATATCATGGATATTTCAAATAGATTACCTCTCTATGATCAATAGTCAGTTGCCTAGTTAACTAAGTAGTTAACTAAACAACCGCGTCGTCTCACTGAAGCGCGTCTCCCACTTAACTAGTCAAAGCCGCGCTCTTAACTCCTTCTTGGCCCTAGGCTCCAGCGTCCTTTCTCGCAGTACTATGTACTCTAGGCTCCCCCATCCTGTATTCTTATTATACCCTCCCATTACTGCGATAAAGATCCCAGGATGCCACGATCCAGCTCCTCCAGAACTGGCCGCGGGCACAAAGACAAAAAGAGCCTAGGAGCAACGCCTAGGGAGAAGAAAATACCACCCCCCTGTGAAGCTCTGACACATTCCTTCGTTCCATGCAAAAACCGAGCGAATACCAAGGCTTCACGCAAGATTCCCGTCTGCTGGGCTCATCGGAAACAGGGGGAGACCGTAACTCGCTGCCAGGCAGTGCTCGAGAACAATCGCAAGTGCCTCAAAAAGATACCCTGGTCTGAAAGACGACAAGTTTGCACCAAACATGTGGATTCGCCTCTGCCATGCTTCATCATCCGTCTACCGATTGAACTCCGCCAACAGATATTCTCATATATTCTCAATGAGTACCAGAAAGAATATGTTCCACTCTATACGTACTTTAGTATCCTGCACATGGCACAAGTAAATCGCCAAATTTACCAGGACGCATGCGACCTCCTCCATCGAAAACTTGTATGCAACATTTCTTTACGGAACGAAAATATATCCATACTCAAAAAACACTGTCTGTCAGTACGACCTGGCTCGTGGCAACGTTTCAAACAATTTCACTTCCAGTTCTATGATGAAATGCAGAAGGCAACCATTAACAACCTTACGCTTATTGTAGCGCTGATTCGTGATACCTGCATGAAACTCTCTGTTGACCCTACTTATACGATATGGTGGCATAGTCATTATGGCCTCGAGCGGGCTATTGACGCCTTACCATCATACTTGGATATTTTTCGACAGTTGAGGGGAGTGAGGGAGGCCCGAGTGGAAATGTCCCCTAACTTAACTACTGCATTGAGTGTATACGGATGGAATTCACTGAATCCGGAGGCTGGAATGGCCATCAAGTCGAAGTGGGAAAGCTACTACAAACAATGGGTTAAAGACTTGGAGCGTGGGCATTCTGCGGAAAGAGATGATTCTTGGAATCATTTATTCTAATCACGGAACCACGAAAAAAAAAAAAATAAAAATAAAATAAAAATAAAAAAAAAATACGGCCTACAGGCAAAATCTTCTCGTCCATGATGCAAACTACACTCCTGATATTATTTAATATGCAGCAATTGCCATGATCATGTCAAACGATACACCTATTTCCACCCGGGACCCGGGCTCGGCTAGGTAGTAAGCTCGTGGAGAAGGAGAATAGAAGGGATATGAGGAGACGAATACTATATAGACTAGTCACAAAATCATGATCACATAGCTAGGTAAGGAAGAAATTCCATATTGAAAGGTTGTGAAAAGTTGCCAAGTATCATACCATATATTCGGAAGCATTGTTAGTGGCTGAAAAAGTGCATATTCGCCTCTCCTAGATCATCAGCCTGCAATTAAGAGCACAGTACTAGCTTCCAGAACGGTATTTCTACCCTGATGGAAAGATATAATCCTTCGTAGGAGTGCCATTTGTGATAAATGAGAAGGATTGGACAGTTATTTATCAATTAACCGCTCGATGAGTAGCTACCTGCACATGAATATTGACAACTCAGCACAGACTAAAGTTAGGACTTCATTCTTCGGTTTCTGTTAGTTGATTAAAACGGATCAAACCAATGTTATTTTAAATAAGAACCTGTTAAGTATAGGCGGTTGTCGAGAGTTTAAGGAGTCTGCTTGCTGATGTGGATGTGGCACCGGTGAGGCTCTGTCGAGAAGTTACCCGAAGACGGGAGCGGCAGAGCGACGATAGGAATGGCGCTTTACCTGATTCGGCTAGTGCCGCTATCGTATTTAAGTTTTGTTAGGCAGCAGCATGACTAATTGCATCACCTGACCAACACTCCCCTTTGGGCTAACTGTGTCGACTCTCTTCGAACCTCAACTTTTTTTCCTTAAGAGCAGCAACATCCGCGTTTTCTCAGCGTCCGCTGTGCAAACACCCTTCATTCTCTCTGTTTCTTCTTCTGAAGCACGGGAAAGCAGATAAGTTGCTCATATCTGTGAACAAATCCCGTTCGATCAGCCTCTTTGTCGGTTTCGCAAGCTCTTTTTGCCTCTGCACGTCGCGACCTCACCTGCCAGCCCAACCTCGCAGCAAGTTGACGGCGCCAACCACCCGCTTTCTCTACCCTTTCGGCCTCCCAGGCTGCGTTCGCATTTTTGGGACCTGCCCGTTCATGGCTCAATAATCCTATTTCGCTTTCGCTAGAAGTCTTAACAACGCGAGACGCGATGTCGGGATTCGGGACTGGCTCCTCTTTTGGGGGCTTTGGCTCCAACAATACTCAGCAGCAGAACACTGGATTCGGATCAACTGGGTTCGGAAACACTTCTGGAAACACTGGTAGGCCGTCTATATTTTTTCTCCATGATACCCTTCCCCTTCCCTTGATTCTTTACTTTGATTGTTTTTTATGGTTCGTGTTGTTTCCACCATGAGCTTGAAACGAGGAGATGCATTTCATCGGGGCATAAAAATCTTGTCTGCAAATACTGCCACGCCACGATTCAAAAAGAAGAAGATCAAAAGAAGACAAAAAAGGCGCAAACGATGAATAAAAACTGCGACTCTGGAACAAACTCAGCTGGGAACAATATCGACACCACGCGGACATAAAAGAAAGAGAACAACCCTCCTCTGACCAAGAATTTCTGCCTTTCCCTCTTTTCTTTGGTACATTTAGGCTTTGGATCGACTCCCCTTTTTGGAAGTACCTCGAACACTGGTAATACATTCGGAAGCTCTTCCGGTGGATTCGGGACTGGAGGAGGTACGTCAACGCAGACCTTGTTTTATCCTTGTCGCTTTTAAAAACGATGGAAAGGGAGTGGTTGAAATTGGCCATCTCGACATTTCTTTTCTTGGGACGGACTATTTCATCAACAATCTATTTGAATACAACTCTTTTCATTCTATCCGTGGATCCAAGGCAGCTGGTTGTATATGCGCCCTCCAGTCTCGCTCTTTTCTGGATCTCGCATTGCGGCATGGCTCGCAACTCTGATATATCTGGTTGAACTACTACCAGACAACCTCGAGATACGGAATCAATATTCCGGAGATTATTATCATCACTCTTGAGCCTGCGCTGCCAATGGACCCGAGATTTTTTTTTAAAAAAATTTTTTTTCTTCTTTATTTATCTATGCATGTTGAATACCTTAACATCTGCGGAAGTGCTAACCTTTTTTGACCTTTGATTAGGATTTGGGTCAAATACTAATACTTCGAACTCGTTGTTCGGCGGCCAAAATCGACCATTCGGTTCCACAAGCACCACTACTGGTGGTGGATTCGGTTCAAACACCCAAACATCCGCGTTCGGCTCATCCGGGTTTGGAACCGGTACAAGTGGCTTTGGCTCAACGTCAAACACCGGAACGGGTGGTGGAATTTTCGGCAGCAAACCGTCTGGCGGGTTTGGGTCAACAGGTAATCAAACCGGAAGTATATTTGGAGGCACTTCAACTTCTAGTCCAGCTACCAACACTGGAACAGGCTTTGGAGCTACTACGGCTGCCTCAGGATTCGGTGGCAGTGGAACTGCCCTCGCTGGTGAAGTCCCGCCCTCTCAGGGTACCGCCAACCCAACGTTTAGCCCGTTTACGGAAAAGGACCCTGGTTCCTCAAACACCAGCAACTACCAAAGCATAAGCTTTATGACCCCGTATCAGAAATACTCCTTCGAGGTAAGCCAATCATAATTGCCTTCAAATAACGATATAGCTAACCATGCATAGGAATTACGAGTTGCCGATTATGAACAAGGAAGACGGTATGGGAATGCTAGCGGCCAGCCTGGTGCATTTGGCTCCTTCTCTGGGTTTGGACAAGGATCCAGCGGGTTTGGTACTACCGCTGCCAGCTCATCTCCATTCGGTGGTTCCACCACGGCTACCTCCGGCTTTGGTACCCAAAATCAGACTCAGAACACTGGCTTTGGATCAAATACTTCTAACCCACTGTTTGGAGCAACAAAACCGGCTACTGGTATATTCGGCCAAACCGGTTCCACGCCCTCTACAGGCTTTGGAACCACTGGAACTACTGGGGGGTTTGGTACCTCGACTACCAATACGTTCGGAGGAGCCAATACTGGCGGTGGCTTGTTCGGCAATACCCAACAAAAGACGACTGGATTTGGTACCACCGCCACTCCGACCTTAGGAACTGGGTTCGGTACACAGACGAACACCACTAACTCTTCGCCTTTTGGCAATACCCAAACTTCGACCACTTTCGGCCAGCAGGGAAGCAGCGGATTCGGCACATTTGGCCAGAACCAAAACCAAGCCAAGCCGGCATTCGGGGGCTTTGGTCAAACTCAACCACAACAGCAGCAAACTGGCGGGGGTCTTTTTGGAAGTACCCCCGCTACTTCTGGGACCGGTAGTTCGTTGTTCGGCAATAATAACCAACAGCAAGGGTCATCCATCTTTGGTCAGCAGAATCAGCAGACCAATACCAGTGGTGGCCTCTTCGGCAATACCCAGCAAAACCAACAGCAGCAGAAGCCTGGAGGTCTGTTTGGTACTGGGCTAGGAACTAATACCTCTACAACAGGCACTTCTGGATTTGGGTTGGGCACTTCCCAGCCTGCGCAGCAAACTAGCTCACTGTTTGGGAATACGCAACAGAAGTCAGGTAGTTTGTTTGGCACGACTCCTACACAAGGTTCTTCATTGTTCGGAAACAATTCAGCCCCTGCATCCTCGAGCATTTTTGGCGTAGGAAATTCTACTCAGAATACACAACAACAGCAGACTGGTGGACTGGGAACTGGCGGAAACAGCTTATTTGGCCAATCCCAACAGCAACCACAGCAGCAACAGCCATCGCCATCTGGGTTCCAAGCGTCTCTCCTTGATGGTAACCCATATGGCAGCCAATCTATCTTCTCTGGCCTGCCTGCACCCAACACCCCATCTCCAGGTCCACTGGCCACCCCCCTGTCCGCTAGCATGAAACAAAAACAGCGCACACCACTACCTATGTATAAAATCTCCCCACTTGCCGCAAACCGTCTGGTTACTCCCCCTACTCGTCAAGGCTATGGATTTAGCTACTCCACTTCCAGTACTGCGAGCACCCCTGGAAGCAGCAGCATCTTTGGTGGAAGCCTGCGAAGCGGTGGCAGCCTTGGACGAAGTTTTGGCAAGAGCTTGACTGGTAGCAGTAGCCTTCGAAAGACCTGGGACCCAGAGACTGACAGCATTCTCTCCCCTGGAGCTTTCTCTGCCGGCAATTCTAGACAAAGTGGAAGCCTAAAGCGCTTGACCATTGACCGCAACCTTCGCACTGATTTGTTTTCCCGCTCGGCGTTGACCAATGGTGATGAGGCCGCACCACCATCTAGCAAACTGAAGAAGAAAGTCAGCTTTGATGACGCTGTCTCTCCAGGAGACTCTGCTGACAAGGCCAATGGGGCTATTGTCCGTGTCGAATCTGATACTTCTGAGCCGACTCCCGAAGAGCTCGGATTCTTAAGGTCCGCTCGTAAACAATCTTCTGCTAATTCTACTCCAACTGCACCCAAGAGCGTTGAGCTTCCTAACGGTGCTCCAAGCGCATCCTCGACCCCACAGATGGAACAAGTTAGAGGCAAAGAGCTAGCTACCGTCCCAGAAAATGGCGAGCAACCTGCCCTCACCACCCCAACCAATAAACCCCTCGTTATTGTTCCTAACGTGGACCCTAAGCCTGGTGAATATTGGATGAAGCCATCTCGTGCAGAGCTCAGCAAAATGTCTCGTGAAGAGCTGAAACAGGTCCCTAATTTCACAGTTGGCCGTGTTCGTTGTGGATCTGTTACATTTGACAGACCAGTTGACCTAACCACCGTCAACCTTGATGACATCTTTGACAAAATTGCCAAGATCACCATCCGTTCTATTACCGTTTACCCCGATGAGGCAACTAAGCCTCCTCGTGGCAAGGGCCTTAACATGCCATCTACCCTTCGCATTGAGAATTCCTGGCCTCGTGGGAGAGACAAGAGGAGCCCATCGCCATTCACTTCCGGGCCAACGTTCGAGAAGCATATCAAACGTCTTAAGGAAGTTACGAACACTGAATTCATTGACTATGAGAAGGAGACCGGTACTTGGGTCTTCACCGTCCCTCATTTTACGACGTATGGACTTGATTATGATGATGATGACGAGGATGAAGGTGAGAGCTTTAATCAAAGCACTTTAAGCGCTGCTCCTGACTCTGTCGCTTCAAATGATCAGACCCCCACGCAGTCGTCCGGAATCCGCAATTTTGATACCTCAATGAGTATTGAAAGCTCCCTTTTTGACGACTCTGTTAGCGGTTTGGAAGATGATACCTTTGAATTTAAGAAAAAGAAACCCGTTCCGGGGGCATATGCTCGCCAGGGGGTAAATGGAATGGGGGCGTTACCGGAAGACATGGAATCTGAAAATGAAGCCGACCAGGATTCTTTTTTAGAGGACGGCTCCGCGGGTTCAGTTACTAATGAGAGTGAGGAACAGCTGGAAAGCATGTCACCTTCTGCATCAGAACTTGAATCGGACAGGGACGAGGATATGGAAATGGCTGGTTCCTTCCCAGTCCCTGACCAAACCGTGGAGCTCACCTTGACTGGCCCCTTGAAGAAGAACAACTTATTTCAATCTATGCCTCGATTCGGCACTCCTACAAAGTCCGCGGACCTTAACCTTCAGGGTAACTGGGCTGAACAACTTCAACGAACTATCAGTCCACGAAAGCAAGATAGACAAGCTCTCCGGGAGGTCCAAGATAGGGCTTTTTTAGACAGAGACGAAGATGAGAGCCCAACCGCAACGTCGAAAGCAACTGAAGAGCGCCCAACGCAGTTCACTACTAGTATCGATCTTATGAACTCACTATTCCGACAACCCAAACGGCAAGGGACGTCTCCTGCTCCTGCTCAATCATTGAAAGCCAAAAGTGGATTAGAGGTTTGATTCCCCAGTTCCCCGTTTCTACTCAATCAATCTCAATCGTTTTTCATGTCATGCAATCCCAGATGTATTTAAATTGCGTTTTACATGCTTTCTGTATACCTAAGCAAGAATGCAGATGAAACTATACTAAATTTTTCTACTCTAGTGGCCTTATCCAAAGAAACCCAAGACTTTTGCGGGAAAATCAAGCGAAATGGCGGAAATTGAGGCCTCATTTCATCACTCGACCAAGGCACGATGGGGTGTCCTTGACGAGGTTGTGCTTCCAAACAATAGACCCGAGGTACCTGTTTATGGAGAGAAAAGATTGGTGAACGTTAGTAAATTTGATCATGAAACTGCTGAGGTACGACTTTTCCGCTATGTTTAACTATGGCCACGTTTACTAACTTGTGATGTTTTCAAGGCCCAAAACCCTCTACAATTGCAGAAAACAAAATCAATTGTTCGCCTAGTCGACAATGTGCCTTTTGCATCCTTGGCCCTTCCCAACTTTGGAGCCTTAGCAGAGGCTGTTATTGACACTACCAAAGCGGCGGACACTGAGAGGTGGCTGTGGCAACTGGCTAACATCTTGTTCAATGATGATTTGGAAGACGATATTTCTGAGGGTGTCCCTGCTGGACTGCTTGATAACTATAAACATCGTATCAAGAAAGACCGCCTTAGTCGATTGTGGGAAACAATGATCCGTACCCATCATCCCAACGAGACTGGAGATCTCAAAACAGCGGAAGAACGCGCCTTTTCCTACCTGTGCGCCCATCGTGTTGAGGAAGCATGCAAGTTACTTATTGATTCTGGGAACCCGCACTTAGCGTCTCTCGTTTCGCAGATAGGCCGTGATGAAGATACCAGGAAAGCTATGCAAGACCAGATAGAATCATGGCGCAAGGCCGGTATCTCTTGTGAAATTAGTGAGCCTATTCGGGCCATCTATGAGCTGCTTGCAGGTAACTGCCTACGCAGTGAAGGAAAACCAAGCGGGCCTCCAGAGGAGCGAATCTCAACCTTCAATATGTCAGACCGTTTTGAACTTGATTGGTTCCAGGCATTTGGCCTCCGGCTATGGTATGGAATCTCAGACGACGATCCAATTGAGGACGCTGTGACCTTATTCCATCATGATGTATACCATGAAGGTGAACCTCAGCATCCACTCGCTGTCGCTACTAAAGACTCCAACCAAAAGCCGGGTGACGACCCTGTTGGTCGCGAGTCTCCCTTCTGGATTTTGTTGAAAACTTATACCCTCGCCGTTAACGATGGTACTCACCCAGAAATCGCCCCAATTCAGATGCCAGCTGCTATTACTCCAGTTGCAGTTTCCGGCCACATGTTGCACAATCGTCTATCATTCCAACTATTCCACCATCTATCTAAAGTGGTTGGACATCACGACGTTTTTGCAGTGGACCAATCTCGAGCAGATCAACTTGCTTTGGACCTTTCTTGGGAGCTCACTACTGCCGAACAATATGCACCCGCTTTGTTTGTCCTCCTACATCTTTCCCGCCCTTCAGACCGGGAGCGGAGTGTAAAGGAGATTTTAAGTCGTTTTGCTTCTTTGATTCCTTCTCCAACAGCTGAGAATGGAACTCCAAGTTCTCTATGGACATATCTTACTGTGGAACTTCAGGTCCCACCAGATTGGCTTTGGATTTCTAAGGCGCTACACTCCCGAGCTATTGGCGATATTGCTAGCGAAGTAGAGTGTCTCATCCATGCCAAACACTGGAACGAGGCTCATGGAACCTTCTACCGCATTGTTGCCCCTAAGGCAGTTATTGAAAGAGATTATGATACGCTTGCCTCGCTGCTCAGTGGATTTGGGGAAAGCCCAGAACGAAGAGTTAGAGACTGGGCGGATGGTGGTGCCGTGTACCAGGATTTCCTCCAGCTAGTGAATGCAAAGGGAGGATGGAGAGACCCAGCTCCGCTAAAACGATTGCTCAAGGCACTTGCACACCTTGGTGGAAAAGTTGAAAAGTCAGCAACTTCTAGCTTGTATGAGCGCATTGCTTTTAGGGAAATGAGCCGTTTGGTTGCGGGATGGGCTACAAAAGATGTTGGAAACGTAAGTCTTGCCGTGCCTCGGATGAATTATCATATCAACAAACAAAATCTAACATATCAACCAGAATATCGAGTCCTCCACAATTCTTAACCTCCCATTGACTCGGGACGCTCGACTCACGCACACTGCGGAAGTCAGCCGACGTTACTATAACGCGATCATGGCCGGCGGAAGCACTTGAGCGAGTCATCGTTTCCCTGTGTTGGCCAATGTCCCTCTGAAGTTTTCAGATTATCATGATGACTTACTTCGGCATTCCCTTTGTTCTTTTGATCCTTGTGGGCGTTTTATGCTACTTGTTCCTAATTTCTAAACCCTTTCCACCCTTTCCATTTCCTGTTTTATTATCACTGATCACCATCTCATTATGCCCCTTACACTGTTTTATTAAAATCCCCCCCCCCCCCCCCCCGTCTATCCCCGACCCGACACCCTGATTTGACCATAGCCACCAAAACCTACGAATTTTCTTAGATAGATTAGCTAGCTATTGAATCAAAGAATGAATCCCCAAACAAGTACTTCTCTAGGCTTTCAGTGATTTGAATACATACGATATGTAGACAGGAAGTTTTCTAAAGTGTAAAAAGGTGAATATTGCCTTATAAGTCCATACATAAAACATATGAAACGCAAAAAAGAGAGCAAACCACAAATATTTTGAACATGCGAATTAGGATGGATGACAAAAACAGATGACACGATGGGAATCAAGCGTTGCCACCATCCGCAATATACAGGGCTCTAGGAGAGCAAGAGTGAAAATGCGTGGTCTTCTTGTAATGATTAATACATATTCTAAAAAGACAGATTTACCCTTTGCCCCCAAAACCAGTTCGAGCTGAGGGTCCATTTCCCGTCTACTGTCCAGGAGCAATCAACTTGCCCTCTTGACGGGTGTTGGGAGCCCAACCACCGGCAAAGACCTCCTTTCCTCCATTTGCCTGCGCGTTCTGACGTATTCTGGCTTCAAGTTCTGGTCTGAAGTGGCGGATCAAGCCCTGGATAGGCCAAGCAAAAGCCTCACCTAAAGCGCAAATGGTGTGGCCTTCAACTTGTTTAGTAAGTTCCTGAAGCATATCAATTTCACGTTCACGGGCCTGGCCACGTTCGAATCGCTCCATCATTTGCAAGGTCCATTTGCTTCCTTCACGGCAAGGGGTACATTGTCCACAACTTTCGTGGCGGTAGAAAGCAGAGAGCCGGGAGATCGCGCGAACGATATCGGTAGACTTGTCCATGACTATAACGGCAGCAGTACCGAGACCGGATTGAGAATCTTTAAGAGCATCAAAGTCCATCATCTGGTCGTCACAGATGTGCTTGGGAAGCACGGGAGTAGAGGAGCCGCCGGGAATAACGGCAAGGAGGTTGTCCCAACCACCTCGAACTCCGCCACAGTGACGGTCAATCAGTTCGCGGAGAGGAATAGACATCTCTTCCTCAACGGTGCAGGGGTTGTTGACATGGCCAGAGATACAGAACAGCTTGGTTCCCTGGTTTCTCTCACGGCCAAAGCCAGCAAACCATTTACCACCACGACGGCAGATTGTGGGAGCGACAGCAACGGTTTCGACGTTAGTGACAGTGCTGGGACAACCGAAGAGACCGACGGCAGCAGGGAACGGAGGCTTTAGACGGGGCTTTCCGGCCTTGCCTTCAATTGACTCAATTAAAGCAGTTTCTTCACCACAGATATAAGCGCCCATTCCACGGTGAATGTAGACGTCGAAGTCATATCCGGAACCGCAGGCATTCTTTCCAATGAGGCCCGCAGCGTAGGCTTCGTTGATCGCCTTTTGTAAAACAGTGGCCTCCTCGTAGAATTCACCTCGGATATAGATGTATGCTGCAGTTGCGTTCATGGCACGCCCGGAGACGAGACATCCTTCGATGAGCTTGTGGGGGTCCTTGCGCATAATCTCACGGTCCTTGCAGGTACCGGGTTCACCCTCATCAGCGTTCACGACGAGGTATCTGGGCTTGGTATCCTTGTCCCAATCTTTGAAGTTCATGAAAGACTGTACCGAATAGAACTGTTAGATAAAAGGTAATCGAGACATGCTGTAAAGTACTCTCCAAAATATACATTTCGGGGGTCCTTGAACAGGTTGTAGCGACGAAATTGAGAATTAAACATACCCATTTCAAACCAGATGGGAATCCAGCACCACCTCGGCCTCTAAGTCCGGATGTTTTGATCTCAGAAATGATCTATCGAAAGACATTAGTTAGCGGTGTTCGCTCCGAGCATCACATATCTGAAACCAGGCATTCTGAACGACGTGAACTCACCCAGTCGTGGCCCTTGAGAATAATCTCCTTCGTCTTGTACCAATCTCCACATTTCATGGCATGCTTTAGGTCCGGAGGATGTCGTCCGTACAAGTTCTGAAATATTCTGTCCTGGTCCTTCAATCCACCGTATACCCGTGGTGGGTGCGCAGCAGTGCCATCTTGAACGGTAGCAAAGCCTCGTCGCTGTGCTTGCGGCTGCTGCTGTGCTAATTGCTGTGACTGCTGCTGGTTTTGTGGTGCGGGCGACTGTTTAACGGCTGGCTGTGCAGATGTCAAGCGAGGGAGAGATGCGGCGGCCGCGGAGGTCAGGGCGCGAGACGAGACATAGGGAATGGCGTGGGCTGGCGGAGCCACAGCAGCTCTGGAGATCATGATGGGCAGGTCACCCTTCGTTGCTCGACTCCAATTGAGCCCAATAGAAGATGCGGATTTGAAGCTGGTGATGCTGCGACTTTTGCGGCCTTCGTGAGGTTGATGTTGGTCAAAGTCGTTTCTTTACGCAGCGTCTGATTGGTTGGATCACGTGATGCATTTCACAGGCGCCAGGCGCCAGACGCCAAACGACAGACGACATAGAACGACTTGAGGAAGCAATGAGGATGGTGATATCGGCAGGAATTCATGGTTAGAAATACATTTCTCTTTGCATATAGTATTATAATAATCCCTTATACCGATAGAATAATTTATTAAACGATGATTTTTAAGTATCGGGATACCGAACCGCCTAAACTAAGCGAAGTGACGGTTTAAATAAATTCTCACGTTTGCATACTTTTGACAGAAATCATGGACAACCGAGGGTGAACAGTTGTTACTAACAATACAGCTTATGTCTTTTCGGAACAATAGTGGAGCATTTTGCGTCCATTGCATGCATTATGGCAGACGACAGGTATTACCTAGGCATTTCTGAAGGAGATGTATGTATCGTAAACTGATCATCAGTTAGATTCAAATTTGACAGCCCTCCTGCTTCGTTATCTGAAAAGTTGCAAGCCGACCAAGAATTGGTCAATTGGATTACAACTCTCGGGGGAGGGCTAAATCCAGCTGTTGAAATCCATAGAGACGATAAGCAAGGATCATGCCTTCGTGTCCGAAGCAACGAAGCTCTGGCTGCTTCAACAGTTGTGGCAAGATGTCCAATTTCTGCAACTATGTCGATAATCAATGTGAAGAATTTGGATCCCAATCTTCCACCTCACGACTTCCACTATTCTGATATATTGTCTCAGAGAGTCAGGAAGTCCATCATTCTGGCATTTTTCATGGTGCATGAACAGCTGAAGGGAAGGGACTCCCATTGGTGGCCATACCTGGCAACACTTCCAAGAGCTAGTGAATTGACGTCTGCTCTCTTCTACCAAGATAATGATCTTGAATGGCTACAAGGTACCAACTTGTACCAAACCCACCAGGCATACAGAAACGCAGTAAAAGAGGAGTATGATTCAGCAATATCCATCTTACGAGATGAAGGCTTTTTGGCTGTCGAATCATACAGATGGTAAGAGAATACCGTCTGCCTATAACTAAAAGAATCGTGTACTAATCATCGATGTGCCTCAGGGACATCTTTTGTTGGGCATATACTCTAATAGCTTCTCGTGCATTCACATCAAGAGTTCTGGATGCGTATTTCTCCAACCACCCAACTCTCAAACAGGACGAGGAGTTTCAGATCATGCTTCCTTTAGTTGATTCTTCAAACCACAAGCCACTGGCAAAGATTGAATGGCGAGCAGAAGCCACCGAGATAGGCCTGAAAGTCATAGAGCCTACTTTTAGTGGAGAGGAAGTTCATAATAACTACGGATCACTTAATAATCAGCAATGTACGTGTCATTCCCCTGGGATATCAAGTTTAGCTAACATACAGCAGTAATGACGACGTATGGATTCTGTATCGTTGATAATCCGTGTGATTTCCGAGATTTGAATGTGAATGCTCCTCCAGGGACCCCCCTGGCAAATGCTCGTCAGTTTCGATACCAAGAATTTCACGAGCCTCACGGAAAATCACTCGACAACAAATGCTTCCTATTTAACATATTCTATCCCTTCTCCAGCGAAACATCCACAGTAGAAGAACGCATATTTTCCCGGGATTTGCTTGATGCTCTCGGCTTGACCCGCCTAAATACCCGGGAGTCTCAGAATATCGAGGTAACTGAAGAACGTACCTACGCAAATTTCTACGATTCAGGATCTCGTGTTGTTCTCAATGCATTGTGTCAAGGCTCAATCGAGCTGGCGTTTCGGATTATCAAAATTGGACGTGGAGGTTACCTTCAGAAACAGCCATCAAATCATAAACAGAAACTCGCCCAGACATACCGAGAAACCGAGTGGCTAATTTATATGACTGGCCTGGTAGTGTGTGAATGGGCGATTGCTCGAGCTAGGACATCAGACTCTAAGGAATTGGGCACAATACTTGAAAAATACCTTTCTTATATCCCATCACCTACGGTTCTTGAGCGTCTTGACCATGTTATCAAGGGGTCTAAGTCCATAGTCTGCCAGCCAGGTGAACTATTTCTAGGGATTGAGATATTAGAACTCTTGGAGTCATCAGATGTGAAGACGCTTGCCCAAGAATTTATCAACGGTATATCCAGCGCCGTTGACAGCCTTGTTGACCCTTCAGACCGACTTCTAAGCTCAAATACTGTGACATACATACTATTCCTCCTTATTTGTCTTAGGGCAAGCAAGGCGGGTGTTGATGTCTTAAATTCTCCTGAGCCGTTTCACAAAACTCTAACAGATGTCTTTTCTAGGCGTCTTGATGAATATGTTGTTCAGCTTGTTGATTGGTATCCCTTGGACGATAAGCAAACCCTCTTCGAAAATATGGATGACGAAGTGGAAAAGGAGACAGCTGCAATTTTTGAGGCAACAAAGGAGGAGAAATCCCGACAATCTTATAATCTTTTACTTGGGGCGTCTGATGAATGGCTATCTGCAGATGTACTGAGATGGGCAGTATATGTGGTGCAGGAGGAGCAGCTTACGGTCCTAAGAAATCCGTTAGAGATGATCTCAAGGGAACCTTCCGATGGACCTGTTCACATGGCCACTGATAGTTATTTCTACGTTCCACAGCTCCCTGCTAGCTAGTTAGCCAACCAGGTCTGAACTAGATATACAAGCCTTGTGACGCTTCTTAGATTAAGACCATTTTTCAATTAAAAATGCAAGTACCTTTCAACATTATATTCAAACACAGGCACGACTTCAGCTCAAGATAACCAGTACCTCGATCTCCTAATGATTTGATGCACGCATATGCTCCGTAGAATCACCACTTATTTTAGGTTATTGGGCGGAATAAGACAACTAGATGGGTAGCAAAGCAAAGCAGAGCATTGAACGAACAAAACGCAACAACGATGTGGGTTAGTATGCACAGCAGGAATAGCAAAAAGAATACTCAAAAAGAGTATTTGCAGGGGTATAAATATTGTACAGAGAAGGGGGTGACGAATTAACACAGACGTTTTTGAGGAATATACCCCAGGAAATGATTGGGGGTGTATGACTGGAAATCCATATATGAGTTCAGATGATATAGACGCCTCGCAAGATGATATTCGCCAAAGCGTTCAAAATGAAGGTAAATGACGGATAGCAAGTGAGCTGAAGCTTATTTTGTCACTGATCTCTTCCCAGGTACCAATATCTCAACGAGTCCGTCATCTTCCCCGTCACTGTTATCTTGACTTCTTGCTGAGTCCGGGGTAAGTTCTCTCTCCTCTGGGTACACTGAGCCATCGAGTCCGTGGTGATCTGAATCTAAGAAAGTTGAGTACCCTAACGCTTCCTGTATTATGGTCTCATCATCTTCGTCCGAGTAAGAAGTCGAAGGCCCAACCATATCACCCATTTCGTCATCATCGTCAAACGCATCCACTGGTAGCCGGAATTTCCTTTCTACGCTTTCCATAGGGAGACTACCGTCCTCATCAGATGAGCTGTCTGAATACCCGCTCACGTCCTGGAAACCAGAGAAAGATGAGGATTGGTGATCTAAATCTCCGGTGGTGTCTGCGTCATGCATGGCGTTCCCAGAGCTGTCCTCGGTCTCTCCTTTTGCGAACACTGTATTTAAAACATGATCAGCGGTGGAAAAACTTCGATTATTACCAAAATTTAAGAGCGGATTCTTACCATCCTCCTCCGAGCCCTCGTTATTAGCAGCAGCAGCGTCGAGAGCTTGTTGCTTCTGGAGAGCAAGTCGAGCCGCAAGTTGACGTCGAGCTCGTGACGGCCCGGTACTCAATGGTGCGGGGGGAGGTGGTAGAATTGGAATAGGCTGGGTTTCTGAATTGTCAAATATGCTTGCCTGTGTTTAGTAGGCTCTTGTTAGTTCATGGGGGCAAAGAACAGGCTGATATATGTATAGATGAGAAAAATAATGCTGAAAAATAGAAAAAAGTGTATAACATGAAGGTGGGACATGCAGGGAGACATTATCCAATGTAGTATATCTGAGGCCATAGAGATCGGACACAACTATCCACAAAAAAGGAAAAAGACTGGCAGGAAACTAGAACCCAAGTCAAGTCATAGAAACCCCCAGAAGACATAACATAATATCTCTAAATAGCCTCGTGATATATTGGTATATATATATCAGAAAAGGGAAGTGAATAATTGTGGGGAGCGTTTCACGTATATAGAGGGCACTACGCAATAAGCGAGGCCTCTACTATTCGTCACTCATATCAATATCTTCGAACGAATCGTCATCACCATATTTTGGACTTACAAGGCCTGATCCAATTGATTGAGAGTCACGGTTATCCGTTCGGTCTTCCATGTCTTCGTCATCATCATCACTTGAGCTTCCAAAGCCGCTGAATAAAGATACACCTGTTCCGGTTCCGGTCCCTGTTCCGAGGTTGCTATTGAAGCCAAAGGCGCCGCCGGATGCGGAAGACTGGTTATCAAAAGTGAGATTGCTCAGGGAAAAGCCACTAGAGAAACCTCCATTGAGACCTGCGTCGGCTAAAGCAGAAGATGTCCCTTGAAGGCCAGTGGGGGCGCTAATTGCGTTTAGGACAGCCTGGCGGTGGCTCATGGTGATATCGGGCTTCACACCACCTAGGATAGCGTTCTCGCGTTCTCTAGTATCTGAAAGGGCATGTTCGACGTAGTCAATCCAATCGGGGTGCGTTAATTTGTCCATAACCTGCGGTGAAAGAACTTCACGTGGGTGACGTTCACTAAACTTCACTACCTCTTCAGCAATTAGAGTAAGATGGCCCATGTTACCGAGACGCATCTTATGCTTAGCTTCGGATTCTTCACTGCGTCGTTGAGCCTCAATGATTTGTGTAGTTATTTCGGCACTTTCGAACAAATCAATGACTAGTGCTCTGTTGAATCCTTGCTCCATCGAACCGTTAAGAAGCTGTTGCACGATATCGTAAACCACATTATGAAGGAAGTTGTTCCAGGGGAAACGGAAGAAATAAGACTATTTGTAGCTGTTAGTTAAGAAACCTAGAGATTACTAGCGTGGCAGGACACTTACCAATACCGTTGGCACGACTTTGTGCTCGTGGAACATGATCTTCATATAATCACCGACAACAGGTTTCCCATCAGGCTCCCTTTGAATAAATGGATCAGATTCATACTTGGATTCTTCGAATGTGGGCTCCTCTGTGTGAGAAGGCTGTGGATGTTCTTCCTCTGAGAGTGTCGGGGTGGTTTCTGGGGTTGTTAAGGCAGAGGATGTTGGTATTGTTTCCGAGGTAGTCGGCTGCTCAGCAGTCTGTGCAGATACAGGAGAGTCTGATGGCTTGGAATCCGCTTCTGGTTCCTTTGTATCCTCTTCCTTTTTGTCGAGGTGTATTTCATCAACTTTTTCGGTCAAATCGGACTGTATCGCAGAAGAAACGGACTCTTTGGCGGTAGATTCGTCCTCAGTCGTTGAAGAATCATTTTTGGAAGTATTTAACTTCGGGGGTGTCAATGGTTCATCTACAAAGTCGTCTCCCTGTCCTAACTTTGGAGCGCTTGAAAGCGTATTGTCGGCGGCAGGTTTGGTATCGCATTCAGCAGGGCTTTCAGAGTCCTTGACTCTATCAACTAGAACACCAGAAGATGTGATCTCTTCGAATGGTTCATCTTCACCAGTATTAGCTTGTTCTCTTCTGAATTCTTCATGAGATGTAGCCTCCATCCTCGAATCCGAGATGCCGTTGGTACTGTCCGCGTATACAAACCCGTCCTCCGTATGCTGTGGAAATCCTGAGGCTCGTAGTCGTTCCCTTTCCAAGTCTCGTGCCAGCATATCCCCATGACTACCAGATTCATTATGCAGACACATATTGCTACAATGGAGTAGTTCAGCCATAAGTTCACAAGTCTTGAATCTATCAAAGCCAAGGGGCTCAATAGTTTCTCCCCAGGCAGTGTCAAGCTTAGAATCATCAGATCTGCTTCTCTGGTTCATTAATTCCATGAATTGAGGAACATGGCTTGCAAATTCCTTTAGCATGGTGCCAAGGTATATAGGGTCATGGGTGGTTGGGGTAGAATTGCGGTTCTCAGTCATCTCAGGATCATAATCAGGATTGTTTTTCCGGATGATATCAATAATGATGCCGACTCCAACTGTAAGGGGGTTTCCGCCTTGAACCATGGCAGATATTAGCGTCTTTATGCAGGGTTCTGATACTAGCTGTCGAGTTAAGCTATTGGGTCCAATACAGGGCTGTTCGTTCTGGGCGGCATTAGCGGAGATGGTGACAATGGCCTTCAGCAAATCACCAGCAGCCGTCTGAGTCTCGGGCGGGTGATCATTTGAGATGTACGATAGGAAAGTGGGGATGAGGTTCTGGGATTGGAGCCACTGTCTCAAATTAGAATTAAGCAGGAAATAACAAGATGACGGGGTGTATGTGCATACCTCAGTTACATTCTGTTCTTCGATCTTGTCCAGAGTGATAATTTTTAAGACGAGATCCATAACTAAGGGATTGTCGACGTGCTGCAGCAACATTGGTATGATGTTATCCAGACGCATAATAAACGCGATCATGGCGTCCGTCTTCTGATCCAACAACACCTCATTGACCTTTACAAAGTAGCTTGTTTGCACAGAGTCCAACTCCCCAGTTCTGTACATATACTGCCAAAAGCTTCGTAGGGCATCCTCGTTTTCCACCATGGCCTCAATGACAGACCAGGAAGGCGACGACAACACCTCAGAGGCGATATAAGCATATTTCAGCCTATTCTTCTCAGCCTCATCTAGGTCTTTGGGTTCACGGCTTGTTTTTGGCGATATCCTTGGAAACTCCGAGAGCTGGATCTGGCCTTCGTCGGTTGATTCGGGAGATTCGGGTTCTTTCTTGTCATCGGTCGTCTCGTCATGTCCACCTTCATTATTGTCATAATCATCGTGTTCGCGGTCGTCATCATGATGGATGATAAGAGTGGGAGAGATGATAAGATCGAACAGTCTCCTCAGAACATGGTCGTCACGCAAGTACTCTATCAATCGCGTATTATGCTGTTTTATCTCCTGCATTAAGTCGGACTCATCAAGGATCTCCTCCACCTTGACATCGGCTTTGTCAAGCAGCGAGTTGATGGGTGACACATTCGCGTAACCGCCATATTTCCAGAACATGATGAAATTTTGTAATGCCGGTAGAAAATAGGGAAATCGTTATGCATCGAAAAGCAATATTGGATGTCGTGGAAAATGAAGTTGGCCCTTGTTTGTTTGTAGCGTTGGCTCGGTTAACAGAAAGAAGGAAAAAAAAAAAAAAAAAAGAGAGGCAATCCAGAACCGGGATCGTAATATAGCAAAGAGTCTATGCAGGATGGTGAAAATCGGCGTTACAATATTCTAGAATTGATAACTGACGGGAGGCGGCCGGAGGATTTGAAAGACGGTCCAAGATGCTCCGGAGGTTCGCATTGATTGAGGATGGAGGGGCAGGGAAGGGAAGACAACAACGTAGTCAACTCGAGGCGTGGCCTAGAGCAGGATTGTTAGCAACAGAACGCTGTGCTCCGTCCAGTCTGGTGCGTTAAGACGGGGTTGTGTGAGTGTGTTCTTCGAGACGGGAGGCCAGCGAGAGAAAGAGGCTGATGACTGAAACGGGTACCGTAACTAATATGACGTACCCGGCAAGCAGAAAGGGGCCCTGATACTCAAACAACACCGGACAACAGGCACCCGAACCTGACCTGGGCTTCTTGCTTCCTTTTTGCTTCCCACTGCGGGCTCTGTTTCTCGTCCAAGGGGCAAGATCTTCAAGCTTCCGGTTCTCGCGTTCCGGTTGGTGTGGTAGTGCTTGGTTCGCTGGTTCTATCGAGATGTGAACTGCTCGTTGTCGGGGAAATAGATCGCACGATTCCGGCGCTAGCTGCGTCTGCGGGCGAAATGCGCAAAAGGAACGCCGGGGCAAGACACGTCACGCTGGCAATCCGGGGCAACAAGACGCTCTCTAAGCCGAAGACGAGGCAGAGATGAGGAGCAGAAGTGCGTTAAACTGCGGGCGGCTTCATCGCCTTTTGCTTTCTTTTCGACGTTTCGAAGTTTTTCGATCGCGAAGTTTTTGCGCCCCACAAGAGAGAAGGACGAGTCACGTGGGGTTATCAGATTCGCCTCTAAAAAAATACGTCAACAAGAGAGCGACAGGCAAGACAGCAACCTAGAGGACGGCAGGACGAAGCAGAAGAGGCCAGGAGAAGAGACTAAGAGTGCTTATAGGAAGAGAGACTAATAAGATGAATCGCCTGTTTGGCACGAAGAATACAGCTCCAAAGCCGACGCTGGAGGGCGCGATATCAAGTGTATGTTGCTGCTGCCTGGAGTGGACGCCCAAGTGGAAGCACAGTGGAAGCTGACTAGCAGCAGGTCGATGCCCGGATATCAAGTATAGACGTCAAGCTGGCCGCGCTGAACGCGGAGCTGACGGCTTACCAGAGCAAGATGTCCAAGATGCGCGACGGGCCCGGCAAGATGGCCATCCGCCAAAAGGCACTCAAGGTCCTCCAGCAACGGAAACGCTACGAGGGCCAGCGAGACCAGCTCTCGCAGCAGTCCTGGAACATGGAGCAGGCGGGCATGATGCAGGACAATCTACGCAACGTCATGACGACTGTGGATGCTATGAAGACTACAACAAAGTCGCTCAAGCAGCAGTACGGCAAGGTGGACATCGACCAGATCGAGCGTATGCAGGACGAGATGCAGGACCTGATGGATATGGGCAATGAAATCCAGGACAGCATCAGTCGTGCATACGACGTGCCCGAGGACGTGGACGAGGCTGACCTCGACGCCGAACTGGAGGCTCTGGGAGAAGAAGCCATGTTCGAGCAAGCCATGGGCGGAGAGGAGAGCGTACCGTCCTTTATGCAGGATGAAGTTGCTCCTCCGCAGTTCATTGATGAGCCGCCCGAGCAGAATAAGATGAAGGAGGTTGCAGGTGGATGATCTGCGAGGCCGCTATGACAAGATGCAAGCCTTACCTCCGACAAGACGTTCAGACCAACGTATCCTGCATACGGTTGCTTTCCCCCCCTGCAGCTTGTCTCTTCAATTTAACAATATAGTTATGGCGTTGGACAAGGTTGTTCTCTTTCTTCTTTTTCGTTTCTTTTCGTTTCGTTTGTAGCGCTTTGTGTCCATAGCTTGAACCCTCCTTTTTACGGCCAAAATGTAACATCTAGAGGGGCATCGCTTCCGTACATAACTAGTTAATGCTTGCCAGCTAATGTCTTCCAGCCACGCCCTGTCTTTATGCTCTGTCTGTCCTGTCATCTCCCTCTGGTTCGGCGTGTCTGCCACGAACCGGCCATTCGCTGTTACACACTGTCAGACCGACAGCCCATCGAAAAGTAAACAAAGGCTGGAGACTGGAGACCGATTCCCTGTAAACAAAAATAAATATCTGACATAGTAATGAAGAGAGATCCGTGTATATATCTCCCTTGCTATCGGCATTAAATATAACGGTCTTGCAGGAAATCGCCAGCGCTTACATGATCCCGGCCTTCTGATACTCCCGCACCAAACAACACCCGCAGCCCCGTTGCTGTGACAACCACCTTCGACGACGCCGCGACGCAGAACCGAAGTGAAGCGGTCCATGATGATTTGCGGATGACCTTCAAGCGTGCATTTTTCTCTCTGCTCTCCTCTTCTTTTCTGGATCTGTATTTATACGCCTCTCCTCCACCCTCGATCCTACTTACATCGCCAGTTGTTTACCTCCTCACCGGGACGACATAAACACCGCCAGTCACCCAGCCTTGGAGCTCTCTCCCCTCGAACAACCACGAAGAGCGAGAGAGAGAGAGAAAGCCAAGCCGAGATCTTGTTCTGGTTGTTTATCTGCTTTTTCTTTTCTTTGTCGATTCAATTGAGAGACTGTTTTCGTCAGAGTGTGGTTGGTTTATTGTGACGTCCGTCCTACTGTGATTTATCTAGATGCTGACCACAACAATAGACAATCCCTTAGCAACCACCATGACCCCGTCGATTTTTAGCGATTCACGCCCTCAATCCTCCAAGGTGTCGGCTCTTAGATCAATTCTCCCGTCTGGTGGACACAAGAGAAGCAAATCTGCCTTTGAAGCAGCCGTTCGAGGTGGCCCTGTTCACCATAATAACCCTTTGGCTGCCAGTTGTCTCCTCCCAGCGGACCACCCCCACTATCGTCCGCAACAGCACAACCAGCAGCCTTACCCGGATCGTGAGGCAAATAGGAATGCCTCAAACTCCCGTGCTCCGCTGCAGGATAACTCAAATCCCCCCGGAAAGGCTCTCCATAAGAGGTCCAAGAGTACTTTGTCTCTCAAGTCTCTCTTAAAGGATAAAAACTCCAAGGACAAGGATCAGGCCCAAAAGGAGCCGGTAAAGCATGAACCAGCTCCTAGACGGAATAAGCCAAAGAGGACAAAGTCGTCTACTAGCCTGTCTTCTCTCTTCCGGAAGCACCAGCCTCGCCAAAAGGATGACGACTCCGGATCCAGAGATAAGGAGAATTTCTCCCCTACCGATATCTTCGATGATTCTGCTTCTACTGCCCCCAGCGTTTATACTGCACACTTGCCCCCGGATAATGGCTCTGGATCTCGTTACGTTCCAGAGAACAGGCGGACAGTGGCTGAGGAAATGTCACTCTACACTCCCCAGGGATATTCGCCGTCAAAGCAAAGGAACTTCCACGACCACCACAAGCCAAGTCTTACCCGTGCGGACAAGGCAAGGCGTAAATCTGATTCTATTCCTTCAACTTCTGCTGGCGTTAGGGAAATGCTGGCAACGGGCCGCAAGCCAAGTCCCTTAGGTCCCCACAACTCTAATCTTCCCGAGCGGAAGATCAGCTCCAGCAGCAACTCTCAAGCTTCAACCAAGTCTAATGAGGCTCCAGCGAAACGAAGAGTCTCAAATGGCCGTCGAAGCTCCCGGGTTATGGCCGCAATTGCAGCCTTCAATGCAAAGGACCAACAAGCGGCTAGTTCTAAGCAAAATGACCCAAAAGATACTGCCATTGAAAATGCATTTGAACAGCTTCTGGTTAGTTTATTTGGTTTTGGATCCTTTCCGCACGAACAAATTACTCATTGGTATTCTAGGAATCTCGAAACATCCCTCTCAACATGCGTGATAAAATGAGGGCTTTGGACACTAATATCAAAGCAGACTTCGTGAACAAGCATGAAATGACGCCAACTACCCCGTCTGGCACCAGCCAGAAGAAGTTCGGGTTTTTCAGCAGCGATAAAGAGGCCGACAAGGGCTCTGAGAATGGGTCTCGCAAATCTGCGACCAAGACTCGGGCTCGGAGCCGTACTTTCACTAAGAATGATTCATCTAACTCGAAAAAGGGTAAAGGTGAAACCACGCCTTCCAAGCGGCCGAAGTCCGTCGACTTTTCTAGACCATCCAGTTCCTCTTCCCGAGGCATATCTGCTTCTGTTCTGAGCTCTCTTCAGTATATCCGCACTCCAAAGGATGCAGACGAACCGTCGGATTTTGTCCACTATCTTAAGGAAGTTCAGAAGCCGGAAATAGTCGAAATTTCCAAACTACACAAGCTTCGTATTTTGTTACGGAATGAAACTGTGGCCTGGGTCACTGAATTCATGTCCTGTGGAGGCATGGATGAGCTCATTCAACTGCTCTACAGAATCATCAAAGTAGAATGGAGGTGAGTTTTACACGGATGCCTATTACTCATGCAACGAAGACTAATATTATTGCATCATAGGGAGGAGCATGAAGATACCCTCATGCACGAAGTTCTACTCTGTCTCAAGGCACTATGCACAACTACTACTGCTCTCAACCATATTCGCTCCATAGAGAGCCATCTTTTCCCTACATTACTAAACATGCTTTTCGATGATGAAAAGAAAGGCCCTAGCGAATTCAGCACTCGTGCGATAATCATCAGTTTGCTATTCACTCTCTTATCGAATGCTGGCCCTGGAGAACGCATGTCTCGCGCCCATACTATACTTTCTTATATGCGCGATCCAGCACCACCAGAGACAGCTCAACCACTGTCGTTCATTGCAGATATCTATCAGCCTCGACCATATCGAGTCTGGTGCAAAGAAGTGACCAACGTTACTAAAGAAGTTTTCTGGATGTTCCTACACCACTACAACGTTGTTCCGGTCACTACATCAGAGGATGGCTCCGTTGACCCATCTCAGCCCTACTCGGAACGCCACTTCCCTCCACCACACCCCCCTGTCCCTGCAGCCCCATATATCGGAGGTGTTGAATGGGAAGCCACAAGCTACCTTGCGATCCATCTAGATCTTATGAACGGGATCATTGCATCGATGCCAACGACTGAGGACCGCAACAAGCTCAGAACTGACCTCAAAGCATCGGGCTTCGAAAAGGTCATGGGCAGAAGCCTCCGCACGTGCAAGGAGCAATTCTATCCCGCTCTCCACGCTGGCTTGAAGGTTTGGGTTGCTGCAGCAGCAGAGGATGGCTGGGACTATCAGTTTGTCCGTGAAGGCCCTCCAAGGGATGCACCTCCAAGCAGCCCCATCAAGACAGCTGGTAACCAGAGCCCGAAAAAGAGGCCAGGGATTGTGAGCGAAGCTCCCCCACGCCTAGACTTGAACGTTGGTGTTGCAAGTTCCGATCAGAGAAAGTCAAGCGGTGATTGGCTATGACGTCCTATCTTCAATTTTCTCCTATTTTCCTTTTCCCTTACTTTTTCCTTGTTGTCCAGGCACATTATCTCCTCGGAACGCTACACAACGGCGTTCTCTCCTAACCCCAAGTATATTTTGCAACTGCATATTGTGCCCTCCTTCCTGTGCTAGTCATTTCAAGGCTATGCTTAGCCTACATGGACAACATTTTGATGTGGTGTTTTGGACGAGCCCATCAAAACAAACGTCAGATGGATATGATTAACGACCACCAATCCTTCCCTCCTTCATTGGAACGACTTTATGACCCTTTTTTCCTTTTTTTCTATTTCTTTTCCTCTTGATACTGTTTTGGTATATGTTCTATGGCTCTGGAGTTATCTTTTCCTTGCAAGATTGGACTGCACCTCGCATAGTGCTTGTTGTTTAGCATTTCTGCCCATAGCCTTATATTACTCTCCAGATTATTATTCTATTATTATTAATGAATAAAATCGAAGAACCTATCTAATTACCTTTTGCTCACTGCGCCATCGCAGCTGAAGCCACGTGATAAGGTATCCGTTACGGTCAACAGGGCTCCTTTAGGCACCCGATTCGTTGCAATCCTCTTTCGAGAGGGCACACAGTGCTACATGACCTTCTCATATTTGTGTCGATAGGCCAGTGAGTAGGCAGGGTACATGGCCCAGCTACAATGTGTGCCAAGTTCGAAGAACATTTGCTGTATCAGTATGATGACGAGACCCTTGTCCACCATATTCATGGATCCAAAATATGCCCAGGGTCATCTAGCCTGTTCTTCCTCTCACAAAACCTGGTCGCTAAACGGTACTCTCGCGGTGAGGAGAGTGGTCCCCTTATAGCAATAAGGCGAGCAAGACAATTGGGAATCCCAGTACCGAGTATTCAACGAGTTGTCGAAAGTCATGACCGCCATAATATCTATGTCATATCGGACAGGATCAGGGGCCGCACCCTAGAAGACGCTTGGATCTCCTTAAGCTGGCTCAGGTCATTGCTACTCGCCATACAATTACGGCGGTTTGTTCGGAAGATGCGAAGCTTGACCTCAAAAACTGCTGGATCCCTTTCAGACGGAAAATGCAGGTCTATGTGGTTGGGTACCTACTATGGCCTCCCACCTCACGCGAGCTCCGAAACCATCACGGCATTTGTACGATATTGGTATAACGTATCTCCTTCTCCTTCACGGAAACGCAGAGCGGCAGCATACAGAGCGCTGTCATTATCAGCATCGACCAACACGGCGGTACCCTTCGAACCAGACCGGTATTCCCCCCTGACCTTCTCGCACCAAGACCTCGCACCCAGAAATATCATTGTCGATGAAAAATTTCGGCTTTGGCTTCTTGACTGGGACCAATCCGGCTGGTATCCTATATATTTCGAGTACGTGTGTATGCAGAATTTCAGCATTCCATTTAGCTGGGGGTTGCTAGCCAAATTCCGTTGGTGGATGTTCTGTTGGGTCTCAGTTGGGATATACTCCAAGGAGCAAGAAATTTTTCATCAAGCCTTGATGAACTTTACTCGGTTCGCGGTAGACCGAGATGGTATCCCAATGCAAGGAAAGGCAATGCGTCTTCCAACGCAGCCTAGATAACGAATGGGCAAAGCGGTAGGAGGGGGGCTGCTTCACGCCCGGCTGCTAATATAGAGCTTAGAGAATCATCATATTCAATACGGCATGAATAGATAGATGGTTCGGAAAACAAAAATAGAGACATCACGATAAAACTCATAGCGACTGTTCATACCCAGTCTTCATTATCATCTGGAAAATCTTGATATCCGCCACCGCATCCGTTGCTGTTGTCTTGATAATCTTATTTTCATTCACCACAGCTTCGTATAATTCCTTCATCTCCAGAGTGAACGGATCCTCGTACGTCTTTCGAACGGTGGACTCTATGTACTCACCGTTGGGACCCAGTTGACGAACAACCATGGTTGTCGGCAGCCCCTTGACATATGGGGTGTCATAGCAGATCTTCACGGTCTTTGTCCTCCCAAACACTTCGATACTCGCATCGAACCGTGGTATCTCATCCCATCCCGACTCATAAGAGACAGCAAAACCTGGATATTTGAACAGAGCACTACAATTTGTTAGGTATCTAGCTGTATTAAGGGGCTCTCGATTTTCTCTGGACATGATTAGCTGAAGAACAACGGCATAGCTTACCTCCAGAACTGGGGACCTGTATCTGAACAAATAGAAGCACCAAGCACCCTGTTAGGAACACCTAAACACTCTCTCATGGCACTCAGGTCGTGGGAAGCCAGCCCCGACAAGTGTTTCCACATGTTGGCAGTGGTTGGGTTAACTGGAATACCAAGCTCAACGGATAATGCTTGTTCCAGGGCCTGGCTTGTCATCGTGGCAAGCTCTACTGCATCATTTTCATTGTGATCCGAGAACTTCTTAGGAAAAGTGCCTGACTGTGCAATAAAACATGAGTTGGGGCCGAGGATGTCCCTGACTGTTGCATGAGTGACGCCGCCAATGCCACCTATTTCGTTGATGGCGTCGACAAAGGCCCCTGCATACCGCCTCATATACCCAACCATCACCCTACCAGACGAAAGCTTTTCAGCCTCCAAGACCGCTTCCGCGTCCTTTAACGATAGAGCCATTGGCTTCTCGCAAAAGACAAACTTGTTGTATTTCAGGGCGAGCAAGGTATGCGGAACATGGTACGCGTCATTACTCGCAACAAGAACGACCTCCACTTCCTGAGACTGGCATAACTCTTCCGCATTCTTGGTGGTCTGAAGGTGCGGGTTGGAGATTTTGCTCTTGCAATGCTCCAGGGCCATAGCAGAAATATCACACAGGTAAGTGACGATGAATATGTCCGAGAGGTGTAGGAAATTTGGTATATGTATCACCTGTGACACCTCTCCGCAACTACGAAATGAATATAAATAGAATGAGGTGGTCAGCGAAGGGCCGAATATATTGGAGGAACATGGACGTTCCACGACATGGATTGTGACGTACCCAATGATTCCGACCTTTACTTTGCGAAAGGCCATCTTTAAACAAATGTGTGATAGTTTCAATTCTGGATTGAGAGAGTGATACTGGTTATTTTGAGGATGGTAGGGAGGTTTGCTGGCCAGCTTGTTAGCAGAAGGAGATGATCGCGTCCCTGAGTTGAGATGAAGCTGGAATGAAGCTGGAGCTGAAAGTTGCGGCTGTAACTGATACCTGTGACCCCGCATAAATAAACCAAATAACTAATAGGGTTGCTTACCTTAAAATTGTTCCGGGGCAAAGAAATGTTAAATCGGCTTTCTGCACACTGGAAGAATGATCCCAAGCCGATAGGCTGACTATCGATTTGATAGTTAAAGGCGTGTTATGATGATGGCGTTGTTCTAAGGTGTTGGCAGTGGTCTATATATAGTTCAGTTGTCCACATCGCTGGGCCAGGGGTCTACAAACGGCCAGTAGTAAGTAAAGGAGAATAATATACATTCTATATTCTTATTATACAAAGTGTTGCCATCATAGATGAAGAATTAGATATTTGGATCATCTCTCTAGAACCATTGGAAGAGAGATGGGATTCTATGGAGACAGTACAATAGGGAAAATGCCGCTAATAACACAGACATAAAAAGAAACCGACGTGATATTCGTACAAAACACCAGGACCAGTTACTGGTTTCCGGTCTTCTCTACGGGGGAAGTAGATTCGCTTCGAAGCGCAGGTCGACGTCCTGACAATACTGAATCATCAAGTAGCCCCTTGAGATAATCCCGGAACTATTATTCACAATTAGCCGTTAAAATTCTCATTTTCACCAATATATGGAGATTTATACTTACTCCTTGGAATGGATTAGGTCCAGCATCTTTCATTTCCATAAAGAGGACCGAATATACCAATACGACTAGAGGGTGTAGACGTTAGCTTCCCTTATGCCGTAAAGACAATACTAAAAGCCAATTAATCCAGGACAATATCAAACACATACATCCAATTAACCCCCATTGAACCAACTTTGTCCATTTTGTCCACGTTGGTCTTGCCCATTTTTGTTTCGACCGGCGCCTGTATTTGCGCTCTAGTCTAAACTGTTGTTTGGGTGATAGTTTGCTCATGTCCGGTGGCCATTTCCTCTTTGCCTTGTATGGGTTGACGTATTCTTCCCCGGACGGCTCGGTAGGAGGGGAAGAAGCCGCATTGCGACTAGAGGAGGTGAAGGAGCGGTATACTACCCCTGCCGGCGGCTGCCCTAGGTTCGAGAAAGCGCGGAAGGACGATAAAGAGGGCAATTGTTGTGTGGCAGACGCATGATGGAGAGCCCGCGACCTCGATAGCACAGTGGAAACGTTGCGGCCGAAGGATAAGAGGGGTGATCCTGCCTGATACTCTGTTAGTCTGATATATTGGAAAGACTAGAGAGTGTGATAGCTACCGTTTCAATATTTATGCGCGAAGCTATACTGAGCCGACTATGCGCACATCGCACCCCCTTGCCCGACACCAACGATCTGGGAGCAAACGACATCTTGTGTAGCCCTTGCGGTCTATAACAAACCTATATATTCCTCCCGCGACGCCGTCGAATCTTCACATGGTCTTTTCTCTCCAAAAAGCATCAAAGCCAACGAGAAGCTTCACGTGATGGAAACTCGGTCGATTATATAATCACGGAAGGGTAAATATATGTTCCGTATGCCTCGGCAACTTTTTGCGAACCTTAAAGATCGTCCCTTAATCAGATGTTCGGCGGACGAAAAGTAGCAGCATATAAAGCGCAACACCCGAGATATCCAACTCCTTCTGCTCCTTTCTTCTCCTCATATTTCTTGCATATAGCCGCCTCTAGAGACTCTCTTTACACCGTCCTGTCTGCATACACCTTCACTTCATCCATCATGTCTGCCAGTGAGTGCTATCCCAAGCTACGTCATAGAAGGTACCATCTACTAACATGTGATATTTTCCTCCAGCATACCAGCGTCTCGCTCAGATCTCTAAGCAAGTGACCCCAGGCAAGAGCGGAAGCTCTGCTATTCTCGAAAAGAACCCAGATGATATTGTTGTAACATGTGCTCTTCGAACTGCCATAACGAAGGGCGGCAAGGGTGGCTTCAAGGACACCGCTGCTGCTGACCTCCTGGTCGGTGCCTTCAAGGCTCTGATCGAGAGATCTAAGATCGACCCCTCGCTCGTTGAGGATATTGCTGTTGGATCAGTTCTGCCTCCCGGTGGTGGTGCCACTGAGTTCCGTGCTGCTGCTTTGGCCGCTGGTTTCCCTGAGACTTCTGCCGTCAAGGCTTTGAACAGACAGTGCTCCAGTGGTCTGCAGGCTATCGTCGATGTTGCCAATGCCATAAAGGCCGGTGTCATCGATGTTGGTATCGGAGCTGGTGTTGAGAGCATGTCTTCTCAATACGGGTATGTTCTGCCCCAGCTACTTTGCTATTTGTATGATCACATACTAATCATTGATTTAGTCCCGGAGCCGTCACAGAGTTCTCTGAGCTCCTCGAGAACCATATGGAGGCTGCCAACTGCAAGGTTCCCATGGGAATCCTCTCCGAAGACATGGCCAAGGACCTCAAGATCTCCCGCAAGGACCAGGATGTCTTCGCTGCCTCCTCCTACCAGAAGGCTATCAAGGCTCAGGAAGCCGGCCTTTTCAACGAGGAGATTGCCCCTCTCACCGTCAAGTTTGTTGACCCCAAGACTCAGGAAGAGAAGACCATCACAGTCAACCGCGATGATGGTGTCCGACCTGGCATCACCCCTGAGTCCCTCTCTAAGATCCGACCTGCCTTCGCCGCGGATGGCTCCATCCATGCTGGAAACTCCTCTCAGATCTCTGATGGTGCTGCCGCTGTCCTCCTTATGAAGCGTTCTACTGCTGAGAAGCTCGGACAGAAGATCATTGGCAAGTACGTTACTGCCAGCATTGTCGGTGTCAAGCCTCTTCTCATGGGCCAGGGACCATGGAAAGCCATACCTGCTGCATTGGAGAAGGCCGGTATTTCCAAGGGAGACGTCGACATTTATGAAATCAACGAGGCTTTTGCCTCCCAGGCTCTCTGGTGCACCAAGGAGCTTGGTCTTCCCTTCGAAAAGGTTAACCCTAAGGGTGGTGCCATTGCCTTTGGCCATCCTCTTGGATGCACTGGCTCCCGCCAGGTCAGCACATTGTTGACTGAGCTGAAGCGAACAAACAAGAAGATTGGCGTTACTAGTATGTGCGTTGGAACTGGAATGGGCATGGCCGCTGTCTGGGTTGCCGAGTAGATGTTGAAACTCCCTACAGCGAGCATTTAGATGGTAATATGTTTTCCTTTTTCCCTTTTTTTTTTTGCCCCTATAGTTATAATGACATGTTGTGAGGATAAAAGCGACTTGTCCCGTGAGATGATTCAACTGTATTTTATATCAATTATATAGCACTGCCTTTTCTTGCTTTCCCATATATATCAAGTATATATCAGTTATATCAGGTTGAATCTCGCCGTCTGTACAAAGTAAGTGTAGGAACTTTAGCTGCCTCTGTGATTCTTGAAGGCTTCGAAAACAGTTGATCCATTCAACACGTCTGCCTTTACCTTATCATCCGCAGCAATGAGCTTGGGCATCAGTTCCAAGACATCGTGAATCAATCCATTTGGTATCCTTACGACGCCCTCAAGAGGGTCACAGAACAGTACATCACCCTGCAAACCCATCAATTAATGACTCTTGAAATTGAATAAACAACCAGAATCAAGACCACTTACCGGGCAGACGGTTACTCCATCAATGGAAATTGGCACGTTCCGCATCGCAGCTTTAGCCTCTGCACCGGTTCCCACTGTCGAAGTGTCCTTGGCCCATACCTATAAGCCAACACTTAATCTCCAACCGTATGCGGGGTATATAGCACAAATCTGAAGCAATGATGGTACTCACTGGAAACCCAAGGCTTCGTAGCTCAGCTAGATCTCTCACCCGACCATTGACTACGGCCCCCTTTGCACCTCTCACTTTCATCCGTGAGGCCATAATTCCTCCTAGAATAGCGCATTTCTGACCCTCTGGCTGATCAAGCAGCACAATGGTACTTGCATTCGTATGATCTACCCAATGTGTCCCAGCCTTAAACCCATGTTTTTCATCTTGAGACTCAGTAGGTACTGGGTCATCCTTGGGTATAAATTTTACCGTGGATGCATAACCAATTATCTTTGGCACATTCTCAACATCTCTAGACGGTGAAAACGGCACTTTTCACTTGAATGTTAGGCTAAACATATTCCAAAGGGATGCGTATCTGTCATTATGAAGTTACAGCGTACCGATGTCAGCTATGAATCCGGCATATTTGGTTGCACCTTTCGGGACTTTCTCCAGCTTCAACAGTGCATCTGATATCTGACGCTGCGTATTAGTATCACCCACGAAAAGATAGGATGAGAATTGTCCGTACATCACACGCAGAATACTCCTCCAGAGCTGCGAATATCTCCTCGTCTGTTCTCGCCATGGGGTTATTCAATGTTAGTAGGGATCTATCATGTATGGCCACGTCAGATATGTTAACACCGATGATGGCATCTCGACGGGACCTCAAGGACCGTCAGGCCATTATTAATCTAGTCTCAATAACTAGTTATCCACTTCATGCAGGTGGTTAGTTATTCGGAACTTTGCCGGCATCAACAATTCCTCTGAAATATCATCAAGCCAGCCATCTTGGCAGCTCGTATGGTTAACCACATGATCCAAAGTCGACCTACAGGTATTGCTGAAGCAAAGGGCCTAGAACTGCGTATGATATTGATAAGCAAGCGTCTATCATAATCCTGTTTCTCGTATGACTCGTGACGGGCCAAAAGAGCCGCTGTGCTAACCATTAAGGTCGCTGTATGATATAAATAACTAGCTGCTGCCTGGGGGCATATTTTCTAGCTATTCCTAGTTGCTCTTTCGATAACCACTTGCTATTAAATCAATCTCAGTTAAGGACAGGACATTTTTAAAGACACAATGGCAGATGTATCTACAACGACATGTCAGCCAACCTTTTCTAGGGAGCAATTGGTTGAGTACTTTAGCCGGCTCTATCAATGCAAGCCCGGCGACGGAGAGAAGAAGCTGAAAGACGTTGAACTGCTAGTCATTTCTGATCCTCGAGAAGCACTGTTCACTCTCCAGCGTCGGCATTTGGTGACGTTCCCATTCTCAAACTTGGTCCTACATTATTCTCAACACCATTCAATATCGCTCGATCCAGATGTGCTGTACCATAAGATAGTGGAAAGAGGACTTGGTGGTTACTGTGTGGAAAACACCGGGCTTTTTTCAATCGTGCTTCGGACCCTTGGGTTCAAGTTCTACCCTGGAGGAGCAAGGGTTTCAAAGAGTCTATCTCCTGGACCTGCGAATGCCGAGTTTCATGGATTGTGAGTGGTGTTCTCTAAATGTGACTCGACATTGGGTATTAGGCTAACATTGGTGCTGGATAAGTGGCCACCAGGTATTGATAGTTACTATAGACGATGTCAAGTACATGGTGAGTCTGGTTACACCATAAACCACGAACCGTGGAGTGAAGATATACTAAGCGGAGAACAAAGGTGGATGTTGGATTTGGGCCCCAGGGACCTACGCAGCCTTTGCTGCTGAAAGAAGAGCAACCAGTTCTACCTGGTGTTGTCCAGATGAGCTTGATTCGAAAGAATCTGAGTATAAACACTGATCCAGACCAGCAGCCATGGCTATATCGATTCCGCAAGGACTCTGACAGCGAGTGGGTGATGGCTTATTGTTTCTACGAAATCGAGTTCACACCTGAAGACTATGAGATCATGAATTATTGGACCAGCGTGCATCCAGCAAGTGGCTTTACCCAGGGGATCATCTTTACGAAATTCACCCTCAACGAAGCAGAGGATGGTATCGACGGAGCCTTGATGCTCCTTAAGAACATAGTCAAGAGAAACCAAAAGGGAAACGTTGAAATTCTGAAAACTCTAGAAAGCGAGGAGGAACGCGTTGCTGCGCTGAAAGATTTCTTTAATGTACATCTCCTGCCGATGGAGATCCGCGGCATTCGCGGAAGGAGCACCGAGATCAAACAAGTCTCCGATGATTGAATGATGATGGATGTATGTCATAGATAATTTCCGGAATTATGATAGACCTTTGAATAGACATATAGATAAACTAGTTGATTCTTGGCTCCAGCTACATTGAGACGGGATGTTAGCGCTCCTGATAATATTTGGCGGAATCAGTGGGGTATCGTAATGCATCCGGGCATACCTTCCATGGGTTGCTGTATGCGAAGCCTGGGGGTGCGATGTGATTGCTTGTCTGTCCTCTCCTCTGACCTGTAAGCCGTAGATCTCGTTCCATCACTGAAGGATTGAACAATTATGTCAGTAATCTAATCGTCGTGGTCGGTCTGAAACGTAACAGGTTCGCAAACCAATGCTGCAACTTACTTTGCTATAGAAGAGTTAGTCAAAGACCGGGCCCAATTGAAAGGTTGAACGGGAAGTAGCTCCGCAACTTACCTGATCCCACGCATCAATTCCTCTTCTTGGGTTCTTGCGGCCGTTTGAATAGTACTTGAGAGTCGAAAGACCAACACCAGTCACACCGAACAACTGCGGGCAAAGCGGTTCACATCAACATTTGCTCACTCCCACTCCCCGGAAACGGTCCACACTTACACCGATGATGATCCCATAAGGGAGCAAAGCCTCGAAGGGAACTCCCATTTCCGCGACGCAACGAGTATCCTGCTGTTCTGCTTTTTCTTGTCCGTAATCTCACTGGCGACGGCGTCCCAGGGCAAAAAGTCGACAGACGTCGGAGAAAGCAACGAGAGCAGGGCCACTAGAGGCCCGATGTAGACTAGCGCGATATAAAGCTTGGCGTTGATAAGTCAGCAATTTTCGCTGAATGGCTCGAACTTCAAGTCAAAGAAGGGAGGGGATGCGAGCAAGAAACGGCGTAAAAAGAGTCGTCGGCCCTTGATAAGACCGGGGTTTCCTTCGATTTACGCGTTGCAGCAGAGGAACTTACCGGTTAGTTGTCCTTTGTGTTCTCCAGGTGCGGCCGGTGGCGAGCTGGCGGTGGTCGCGTCCGCATGGTTTTAAAGAAAACGCCTCCCGAGAGCTCTCCAGGAAAAGACTTGCATAGCTAACTCTTTCTACGCCCAGTGAATATCTCGGCGTGGACACATCTGCGCAAAGTTACACCTCCGTGTATTACGGGGAGACCTTTTCAATGACTGTGGTCTGTCGATATTGAGCTTTGAGCCGCCGAAAGCCCGATTCCTAAGAAAGCCGAGACGAGTCTACGTGTTTGAATTTGCTATCGACTAAGGAGAAGCAAAGAGACAAAAGAAGACGAAGAAGGGAGATAGAAAAGGGGGATTCCGGATGGTGCAAACAGCTCGCCAATCTGGCGACTGTAGTGGCTCATACCATGGCGGCAACCCCACTGGCCGCTTACGATAACAACTATCCCGAACAAGAACCAGAAATAGATAGCGAACAAGACGCTGAAGGGGACGAGGACCCTGAGTTTTATGATGCGACTGCGCAGGCTGGGATAGTCACGACGTATGAAAACTCGACTGTGACGGTTGATGGGACATACCATGGAAAAGGGGAAACTGATGAAGGAGGTGCTGTGGACGAAAATAATGTCAACCACGAAAAGGAACCCAGCCTTATAGATGATGATTCTAAGGAGAAGGTGGATCAGGATGCTGCAGTTATAGGAAGTGCTAGCGAGGATGGCAAATCGGCGAGTGAAGCAGATGAACTGGATGCTGAATTCGAAGAGCTTTCAAATGAGAGTAATGCAGTTGCCAGCGAAGCGTCCTCTGAATCTGACTCCGAAGCTGAAGAGGAATGGGAAGCTGAAAGCAACGAACAAGAGGATGCTGATACAGAACCCCCTGTTGAGAACAATTGCATGTGAGTCTTGATCGTGTTTGGATTGATCGTCATGCATATGTTCCACTTCTTACTAACTGGAGTTTTCTTCCTTCAGTGTTTGTAAAGAGGATGAAGAGCACGATCCAAGTGAGGTCTTTGAAGAGCCATTAATATGCGACACATGTAGTGTTCATTGTAAGTTCTGCAGGGACAGGCTTGGCTTGAACTATGACAGGGGGCTTAGCTAACGGTTCCACAGGTCATAGGGAATGCGGCCGCGAGGAAGGCATATTTAACGACGATGAGGGTATGCGGAACCCCTGCCACTATGCATGAGAGCCTAGTTCGGATCCTGATCAACTAACTTATAATTTTAGATGCCGGTAAATGGAAGTGTCCGTTATGTAAACATTTGCACTCCCAACCGGACACAAGGAACTCCTCCACCGCTCGACAAAAATCTACTGTCTCTAGTGTTACGAAAGATCTGCTCCCTGCGGACAATGATACCCAAGATCCAAATTCTCATTCCGTATTTAACTCATTAATCATCGAAGACGATCCATTGGATGGCTCCCGCTCTTTGCGAAAAAGGAAATCATCATCCTATGAGGCTGAAAATAGACGCTCGACCACACGGAAACGACGGAAAGTCACTCCTCCGCACGGACAAGCGTTACCGACAACGAGGGCCAGCGGGAGTCGCTCGCGTGCCCCGAGCCAGAACCAACTTGCAGAAAATGATGTTACAACTGTGCACGAAAACCGAGCACCTCGCCAGAGGAGAACGAGAAATGCCCAAAAGTATTACTGCAGCATTGTGCAGAAACAAGAAGGGCGGTTAATACTGTCATTCAATCTTGACCAGGAAAAGATTCAAAAGATACTGAACAGTAAACCAAGGCCGAGGAGCCAACGGCGAAGACCATTACCTAAACCCCCAACTATACCTGAGCCTCCGCCGGTATCACACTTTGCACCGACAAACCCAACTCCATATGCTGCACCTTTCTACTCCTTCCACGACCGAGAAAACGATGAACTCAAGTCAAAGCCTTATGGTGGAATTTTATCCGAGGCCGAAGCTGATACGTCGCGAACTGTACCTCTGTCGACAGATAGGGATAAGTTTGAGGCAGCTCGTCAAAAGGCAGAAGAAGAATGGCGGAAGAAAATGATGGCAAATGAGGAAGACTCGGATAATGCTCTCCTCTCTTCTCAAAAGCTGTCTGGGCCACCAAGCAAAATCAAGTATATCAACTTTGGCGGTTATGAGATTGAGACTTGGTATGCTGCACCATATCCTGAAGAATACAGTCGCAATCGGGTTTTATACATTTGCGAATTTTGCCTCAAGTATATGAACTCCGATTTCGTTGCATGGCGACATAAACTCAAATGCCCTGCAAAGCATCCTCCGGGCGATGAGATCTATCGGGAAGGGTCTGTTTCTATATTTGAAGTGGACGGGCGGAAAAATCCCGTCTATTGCCAAAATCTCTGTTTACTGGCCAAGCTCTTTCTGGGTTCAAAGACACTCTATTATGACGTGGAACCTTTCTTATTCTACGTCATGACAGAATATGATGAATGGGGCTGTCATTTTGTTGGATATTTCAGCAAAGAGAAGCGGCCGAGTTCCTCGAATAATGTCTCTTGTATCCTGACCCTTCCAATCCACCAGAGAAAGGGTTATGGAAATCTCCTGATTGATTTCTCTTATCTTCTCACCCGACTAGAAGGAAGAACAGGTTCTCCGGAAAAACCATTATCTGATATGGGCCTGGTTTCCTATCGCAATTACTGGCGTCTTGTTCTATGTTATAAGTTTCGGGATAAAAAATCACCGACAAGCATTACAGCGATATCCGAACAGACCGGTATGACTCCCGATGATGTTATATCCGCGTTAGAAGGCCTGAGTGCTCTCGTCCGTGATCCTGTCACTAAGACTTATGCGCTCCGCTTGGACTACGATTTTTTTGAAAGGTACATAGAGTCTTGGGAGAAAAAGGGCTACGTCAAGTTGAATCCCAATTCTCTGGTGTGGACGCCGTATATAATGGGCCGCAGTAACAAGTCCCACTATGACCATGCGCCCATTCATACTGTTGCTCCTCGTGAAGAGATTGATGCCGATGAGCCAACTGCGGCAACCAATTCCATACCCACCAACTCATATGGCCTCGGCATTAGCGCAAGCGACGCTGATACAGCAAACAGCGTTGCAGGAAGTGGTGTTGAAACTGTCAATACCAATGGAAAGGGCTTCTCTGAAGCTTCGCCTTCATTGTTCGACGCTCCAGGACCGCCTTCCACCAGCGCTCTGTCATTCGCTGATGTCATGGCCAAACAAGCTCCTAGCACCAATGGTCGTCAATCGTCATCTACTCCTTCAAACCCTGCTTTTGGCATTCCCCCAACGAGGTTCGAGATCTTTCCTCCACCTCAAGGTGCCAGTACCAGTACTCCTACCGTTAAGCGACGACCAGGTCGGCCATTTGGAACTCGGAAAAAGGTTCGCTCCACCGCACAATCTCCAGCAAGAACGAGTGGACATAGTACGCCCAAAAAGAGCAAACCTTTACGCCTGGGTACTCCTTCCACAGCAACAAGACCCCTGCGCTTCAGCGTTCGACGGGCGAGAAGTAGCATGCTAGGTGACAACCCGGACACAAAACACGACACTGATCCTGAAAGTCCCGGCGGAACCAAGCGGTTTGACTATCCTAACTCATTTCCATCGACATCCAATGGTCCCACTGATCAACCCGAAGCAAATGGCTCCCCTGAAACTGATAAAAATGACGAGGAGACTCATATCAATAAAATACCAGAGTCGATGGAAATTGACCGGCAATTGCTTAATGGTATTGAAGACCACACGCGCAATCACCAACCGCAGCTAGTTGATGGTACGAATAAGAACGAAACTGAACTTACGAATGGTTTAACGAAGCCGATGGATGATACCTCTCAAAGTATCGCCACACAGGTGGACAACCCTGGTGAAAACGGAGCTTCCGATGCTCCTTCGGAAAAAAAGATTCCACTACAATGTTCATGAAGTGGTCCTGGGATAAATTCTCATTTCTATACGCATCTATGTGCCACGCCTCAAGGGGCATATATCCATTTCCACATCCACAGTCTCCCTCCCTCATGTACCATGTCCTCTCATCGTTTCCCATCATTTTTACTTCCTAGACAGCTTTTTTCTTTCTTCCTATTGGCTTACTTTTTTGCTCTTCTCAGATTGGTGGGAGAATGATCCGATATCTTTGCTCGGCGCATACGGTTGAAGAACTTATTATCTGTTATCCTTCTCTTTTCACCCTTACGTGTTATTATTATACCTGCTCGATGGTTCTCATTTTCGTTCTCAGTATTTCCTGACCCTCCTCCGATTGCCCCCTTATATCATTCTAGTCACTACCACTATAACTATGTAAACTTATTGGCGTTTACATACCCCTTCTATCTAACGGCTCTCAAACCAATAAATAATGCCAGCTCTTTCGAATGCCCGGATCAGCGTAAATCCTTCATTTGCCACATGTGCAGAGCTCTAGTAACTATGCCTTTCTGCACCCTCTTACTACATATCGCCACACTATTAACAATGCATGCAACTTTGTTGTACCCTTCAAGGTAGCATTCGAGAAGAGATTGGCCTCTTCGCCAGTTCTGAAGAAGCATTGGCTCTCACTTTTGCAAATTATATTCCCGGGATAACTAACTAGTTAGTTGGCCCTTGAGTGACCAGAATGACTATCTTTCTTTGTTCACAAAAATAAAGCCACGCTTCCTATCAGCACTAACTAAATACCTGGTCGAACGCGATATCAAGCCAAGGAGCTACGAGAAGCATATTCCTTCTTCTTCCTCCTTCGTATTGTGCCTTCGATGCTTTTTCTTTCGATTTCTTCTCCCGTTTCGTTAGTTATCCCACGCAATGACCTCGCAAGCTAGCCCGGTGGTCGCAGCGTCAAGCAAACCAGCCAAACGGCCGAGTCAGTTACTTGATTGGAGTCAGAGAGACGGGCAACCGAGCCACTTTTTGCGCCTGACTTAACCCATAACGGTCAGTCGTTCACTTGCAAGAAAGGTGATATATCAGATTTTGGGCCCAAGAGCAAGAAAGGGGGACAAGGCAGATGAGGATGCACACAATGCATATCGACGCCATGTTTGCTTGCCTGTGAAATCTCATCATACAGCAGGAACTTGGTGTCATATGGAGGTCATGCAAAATCGCATTTCTTCCCGTTATACGGAGTAGTTATGCATCTGATCTGACGATTTGCAAGAGGACCGCTGAAGTGTTTTGACTCTGGCCGAATTGGAAATTTATAGAGCCATATTGCAAGACAGATGTCTGCAGTTGATGTTATTTAGTTATCTGCCGCAGAAATACACTTCATACATAAGTCTAATTCCCCTTGAAAAGCAGAACCAGCCGTCAGTGATTAAATTAAGCTATGCTGCAGCATTCATCGTTCCCTGGTTTTCGACGTCATCACCCGATGTAGGTTCATGCGTACCAAACACTAAGACGAGAAAATCATTAGAAAATAATGGTTACATCTCTGATGTTGTTCCTTGGTTCGCTAGGGGCAGGTTGTGGGCTCAAAAGTTGTGGTATCCGGATTCGCCCTGCAGGATTGCCGTTGTTTATCCATGGATTCTTCCCGTTGCTTAACTGGTGGCTGCCCTTGGTTCGATATATCGGCAGCGATATTCATGTGCAGGGGCTGCGACCAGCCAGGTCTCCTGCAGAAATACGGAATACTTTTCCGTAGTTTCCTTGCGATAACCACATAAGTTATTCCTTATTATAGAACTAGGCGCCGTACATAAAAAACGTAGGGCTAGAAGACAGCAGTCCCATAACTGATGACATGCGCAGGTGGCAGGTGCCTAGAAAGTGGAACTTAAGCTGTTGGTTTTTATTATTTTGGGCTTCTTTTCACCTGCTATTCCCCAAACTAAAATACGTAAACTGATGCCAGGAATGGAGACATAGGATCTAGTCAGCTTGCAACAGCGAGCGAGCTTGATGGTCCGGGTGATGGCTGGAAAGCTGTGTAACATTGGCAAGGAGAACCCAAAGCTGATCCCGTAGCGCTTCAAGAATTCCTTTTTCTAGGGTTTCACTGATGTTCAATGTTGCTCCCTTGGGGGACAGATGGGGAAGTACTGCTTCCATGGAGAGGAGTTGAATGGTGCTTCCATTTCGGCCTATCTAGCATTATGAGCTAGAGAATGATTGGTATTGACACTTCTGTTGTTACTAGGACTACCCCGTAAGCATGAGGGGGAAATGTAACGCGAGGCCATAGCGCATACGATACAAGCTGCAAGTCCAGTCAAGTATTCACTAGCATCTTCCATGTTGGAGCGGAGGAGGAAGGGAGGAGGAAACAGAGCTGAGGTAGTGATGGCGCTTGGGGCTGTCGATCCATGTCCATTACTGGTTCTGGGCCTTCTATATCTCAACCAGGCTGTTGGTATTCAAGGCCTCGCTTGCATACTTTGCATGGATTCCTGTACCGGAAGTCCACTATCAGGAAATTCCCTTGTGATCCCATGGGTGATACCCGCCTATTCATAAGATTTGATAGGCTGCTGGACCCCCTTAATTCCAACGGCTTTGGGTGGGTTTGGAAGATGGATATACGGGGAAGTGATCCAAGCACCGACCGAGTCCATAGAAATCGAGATGCTTGGAATCATCCATCCATGCGTAGCTGGGCGTTCCTTGAGAAGATCATACTGAAAATATGCGAAGTTAAAACCATGGTATAACAGGGCAGTACAAAGACACCTCTTAGACTTCTCGAAAACGCTGCCACTTAAAGCAAGGTAATGCAGCGTGACAGTGTATTGCAACATTCGAAAAGGTTGCAAGATACGCTTGCTTCGAGTACTCCGTACCACGACGAGTATTTTAGTTACCAGCTAATATGGTATTCTAATGCAATACATCTCCAGTGGTGTGGGGGCCCAAAATTGAAGTCCATCCATACTTCGTTTGCTGGTATTATTTTCCCCGATGGCTGTTGTAATCCTGTGTCTGGTAGCGGAACGCCCCCCTCGGGTACAGGAGCCATTCAATATTCTAGACAAAAGCGATCGGAAACGGCACGGGGAGATGCGCGTCCTCGTGCTCCCTCCAACCAAGGAATATGAGTTCAAATTTCGGGAGAGACCGTGTGGATGCAGATATCCGAAACTCCCTCCTGGACAGATGGAAACTCATCTATCTCATCAGCGATGCACATCTTTTTTTTTTTTTTTTTTTTTTTTTTTTTTTTTTTTTTTTTTCTTATCAAAAAGAACCTAAGCTGGGAAGAGGTAATTGTAAGAGATCAAGCGCCTGAATGATATCCTGTCTCAACGAATGCGAACCCTTATTCTGGCAGGGATTTTGCGGTCTTGACAGCTTCCCCCTTGATATCATAAACTGCAAATGATCTATATCATAGGGTCTTGTGATAGCATTCGTTTCGCATGCGCTCCGTTTTGTATGCAACTCATAGGACATGCCATGTCTCCAGTCTAGCCCAGTTATCAAGATGGGAATGCCGTAGAACTTTGCTGACAGCGCAGGCAAAACCGCTCAAACAGGCGAAGACGATCGTTGAACATGAATACCGGACAAGAGTGCATGATAGGCGATGCACGCGATGTCTAGGCCACCGGAGAGCGCCGGCGTTAAGAGACACGAAGAACCAAAAGAAAAAATAACTAATGGTTAACTATCAGGAAAAGAAAAAAGAGCGCATGGCGGACAAGACAAAATAATGGAGTCCAGTCCAAATGCCAGACCCGCCTTTATTTTCTTTTACTTTCTTTGACACGAATACTTCAAAGTATTTCGAGGGGCAGGAGGCTCTTTTTTACTGCGCTTCGACTTCGCTAGATTTAGGCCAGAAATCATCCCCGTCGACATAATGTATAGTGGAGTTGCTATTGCTGTAGGTACCCGGCGTCTCAATGACCACGCAGCGAGGAGCCGTGGAAGCCCGTACTCCGTGCTGTTGGATTCCCCCCTCTGGCACAGCTCGGGGAAGAGGAACCAGGGAAATCTCAGTCACACAGCACGGCGGCCGGCGTGGAGAACAAGGAGCTGGCTGGGATGGTAACAGCGGGGCTCCTTTGGAGTACTTAATAGGCTGCCGAGCTAGACGCGAACTATTAGCTGCTAGAATAGTCCTACCTCGCCGTAATGTCCATGTTCAGAGAGCTGCACAGCAAATCCCGTCCTTCATGGATATCCTGTCCTTTATGGACAGGCCGTCGGTTTGCCAATAGGCGTTTGGGATAGATATCAAGAAAATAGGGGAGTGGAGGGAGCCGACAAAACGTGAGAGCGCTGCTGTACTCTTGTAACTACATGCATAAAACTTAAAGATGTAGCTATTAGCTGCAAATTGACGCGGTATGGATGCGAAAGGAGACGAATTGACACACCTTTTTGAAAAAAAATAGTAATAGGCGTCGTCGTGGACATGAGGGAGATTACACCCTGTACAAACTAGTTCGAACCGTACGATTCGTCAAGCCTCATTCGTTCTTGGCTGTTTCTGAAGGCGCAACATGGGATGGGGACACGCCGCACTGCAGGCTCCCATGTCCGCCCGGGTTAACTAGCGACGAACCTCAAGCGCATGACAAAGCATGTTGCAGAGATAGACATGCAGAGGATGGAGCTAGGCCCCCTAGGTTGCTTAACCTGCTCGTCACTTGTTGGTCGTTCTGTGGTGGTGCGTGTGAGTGGAGAACATATAGGCGTAGTGTATGTAAGGGAGATCTCACTAAACCCTTTTTTCACTTCATCCTGATCCCTGATCCCTGCTGAGAAGGCGCTTCTTCCCAGTGGTGGAAGATCTTTGCGCGAAGTCTCCGAAAAAAGTCCACTCAGTTGAGCAACTACTAGACCGTGGCAGGAGGCCATATCTAGATGCAAACACCGGAAGGCCTGAAAACCGCCGGCCCCTTTTGACTAGAGAAAAAGAGATTCCTTCTGGGGCGTCTGGGATGGGTCGAATGTCTCGTCGTCACTGATGGACTCGGAAGTCTCGCATTCAATTCGCTCGCCGGGTCAAGGACTCTCTCTCCCTTCGTCAGCGGGTAGGCCTCTGTTTGAATGTAATACCATTCAAAATCCGGTTCATCTTTGTTTCTTTCCTTTCTTTTTTTCTTATTCGCTCGCTCTCTTCGTTGCTTTTTCTTCATCATCATCTCCCTCCCTCCCTACCCCCATCCCTCTCACGCGCGTTCTCTTTGGCTCTTACCCTTTCCGACCAATGGCGCAATGAATCTGCGGCAAAAGCAATTGCACCAGAGGTGTTTTCTTTTGAACTGCCAGTTGATTGGATCAATATTTCAGCAGACAGACAAGTCCTCTGCCCTCCATGCTGGGACAGGAGTTCCGTGTGATATCACTCGCTACCTCCGTACCAACATATGTTATTTTTGCGATTCGGTGGTGAGATAGCCCGGTCCAATCGAATGTGAATCTCTGCAGGTGGCCGATCCATTGTCTTGCAATCCGTCAAGAAAAAAAAAGAGTGATCTTCAGGAAGCAAAGCAAATGGAAGGCCTAATCCCATATTTCCTGTCGGATATTTCACGGCCATGTAGGTACGGAGGAAGAAGAGCGTCTAGGCTTTCCGTTCTGCTTCCCACTAGACTGATCCCATCCTTCTACCTCATGCTTGCTTTATCCCGTCAAAACAAAAAAGAAGGTAGGGCACCGTTCGTTTAGATTGCTTCGAGGAGCCATTGGACAAAATATATACCTGACCTCCCATCGAACCCAGAAGGCCTTTTGACCCGGTCAAGATAACAGAGCTACCAGACCCAGAACCCTCCTCCCCTTCTTGTCCTTTTGACGGGTGAGTAGTATCTTTATTCGTTTCTCTCGCTCATTTCAGGCCTTTATGTCAGTATTATCACAGTTCTATTGTTTTTTGGGTTTTCATTTTTTTGGGTTTTTTATTTTTTTTTTCCTTTCGATGCTGTCATTTGAAGCTTGTTTTCCTGTTTGCCCTGCCCTTGAAATATAGAAAGACGATAAGATATCGAGGACGGGTAGCGAGCCATTGAAACCAGAGAGACCTTGTGTTTTCATTAGCATAAGAACCCTACTTTCAGACCGGGCGCTCTAACTCACCTCTGCTCATCTTCTCCAGCTAGCTAGCTTGCCCGCGTCTTGCTTCTGTTGTAGTGACGTCGAAGTGCTGGGGGGGCACGAGCATCACAAGGCGGAGAGAGAAATATACTGCCGGCGTATATATTTTATATTTCGACGACACCCCCCCCTTTCTCGCTACTTCAACCTCACCTCTCGAGATATCCTGCAGCACGAAGTTGAAATCGCCCGGCTTGCCACTCTGGAGACGCTGCTTTTTGCTTCCTCCTGACCCTCCTCGGCTGTGCAAAGGGGGACAAGATGTTTTGAACTGTATTTTCGTCTCTTTGCCCCGCGACTACTTTTGCGCCGTTTCGCCTTCCACGGCATGGTGAGTGCCCATCTCGCATTTTTTTTTTACACCCCCCACCTAGACCACCAGAGAAGAGTAGTTATATATATATATATATCCTGCTACCTAGTCCATGGTGATATCCAGCCCTGCACTGGTTGCAGTTTGCTCTCTTTACTGCGCCCCCCTTATCCCATGCCCTCGACCGCTATCGGACTTCGAGCTGATATCCGGGCGTTATACAGTAGGCTTCTAGCCTCGCGAGCAAACAGCACCTCTCTATATATACCTGCTCTCAACACGAGAAGCTGATGCTAGAACACCTCGTGCTGTTCCTATGCGCCATCTTTGCAATATATCTGGCCCCCAAGCTCAACCTCAAGCCCCCCCGTTTTAGGAGCGGACCCCATTTGAGTTTCCAAAGCGTGGCCGATAGTTATCTCTGAGCCAAAACCCAAACCGTTGCCCCAGTGGTCAGGATTGCTCAAAGGAGAGCCCCTACTCCCCCCCACCCGTACCTGCGTAAAGCTCCGAGGAACTAGAATCTCTGGTCAAAGGTCTGGCTTGGGAGGCAAAGAACCAACCACATCCTTCGCTTACGTCTGGTTCTTCTGACAAAGTGGACTGTGGACTGTCTTGATCGTCATATCGAACCATTAACCAGAATTAAATCGCAAAGATAAAAACCTTTTCCCGCCTGGTCTCGCTTCTGACGTTCTCAACTCCCCCGTCTTATGACTGTTTCCTCCCCTCCTCTTCTCTTTTTCGCCATCCGTGGTTCAACTCCCTGTCCCATCCACCATATCCGACGCACGGAAGCCTTGACACAACTGCCTAAATACTGGAGAGTTTACGCTGAGCTTGGGAGCTTTTCAAACCGCACGTTAAACGTCAAAAGCTTCCTCCAACTATCTTCGTGATCTGGATTCTTCATTCCTATTAAACCTTTCTTCTTCGACAGATTATCCCGAAGCTCCCCTCGAAACCTCAAAAGGCTGATATGTTGGATGTTCCCTGCCTATACAACCCATTTTCCGTCTGATCTTCATCGGTTCCCTGCCTAAAAGCCTCCTTGAAAGCGACTACGAAGCTCTGTCCACTTTCCAAAGACAAGACAGTTAGCTCGTGACTTCGGTTCCGTATCAAACCTGGGTGTCCCCCTTTTCCCATCCCTGGATATTCTTCTTACAACCACGGGAGTATTTGCCTCAAGGCCAAAAATGGCGATGAGTTCAACTCTTCTGTATCCGCCTACTGCATACGCCGCAGAGGATCCTATGCGACCGCCTATGCCGCAGCCTATGCCCCAGCCCATGTCCCAACCTATGTCGCAACCACTACCGCAGCCTGTACCTCAGCAAGAGCCCGACTCCATCGAAAGGTTTGTTCTCCCCATCCTTCGAAGCAAGAAGCAGGAGATTCTAATGCAATATAGTACACCTAGCTTCTCAGATTATCATCATCTAACCTTCCGTCAACAGCCCGAGCGCGCCCGTGTTGTTGGATCCAAAGACAAGGGTGAGAGACATGCCATAAATGCCACCAGATCTAAATCTAGCTTGGCCATTGCTTTAAAGAGTCTTAAAATTTTCTATTCTAACAGTTTATATCTTATTACAGAGCGTAAACCTATCGATCCACCCCCTATTATCCAGCTTGAAGTGAAAGGCGATTGTGAAGCATCAAAGTATGGATATATTCTCATCTAAGGACACATGTGAAATAAAACATCTAACAATTTTGCAGCAACTACCTTCAAAGTCCTTACTACTTTATGTGCTGCTCATTATATACCGCCGCAGAAGGCAGCGACTCGAGCCCTATAGTACCCGCATGTGCCTTAGCGGGCACTTTGGTATCCTCACTGCATCGTCTAAAGGATATGCAAAACAAAGGTGGGATTCAAATTCCGTCCCTGGCCCAGTTTTTAACTACTTCGCTAATTATTTACTCTGTCGATCTTAGATGGCGGCTTTTTTGTATTCGGCGACCTTTCCGTCAGGGTAGAGGGAGAATTCAGGCTCATGTTTGATTTATTCGAACTCAAAGGGTAGGTTCAAGACTGTCTTCCTACGGCCTACCTCAGCCTTACTTACAAATAAAACAGCGCCAAACGTGACCAAGCCATCCATATCAAACGCATAAGTTCAAACCAATTCAAAGGTGAGGCGATCCTCAGCAAACTGAGTTACAGTACACCATGTCTAATATCCATCTAGTTCTCGCCCCGAAAAACTTTCCCGGCATGGCCGAGTCTACTTATCTATCGAAGTCATTTGCCGACCAGGGAGTCAAGCTCCGAATTCGCAAAGAACCACGAACACTTTTGTAAGATCCAAGATCGACATGCTAACCTGGAAGTTGTTATCTAACAATCATCACAGGTCCACTAAAAGGCATTATAGCCACAGCGATAACTATCAAAGTACCTCACCCATTGAACAGTCTCGCTCTCCAAAACGCCAGGCTATCACACCCCAAAACCATCATCAAAACACTCCAATATATTCAACTCATCCGCTACAGCCTAGCCATGCTGCACAACCAATGCATGCAGGCCATCAAGGTCAAGCGACATCACCCTATGCTGCTGCCCAGCAATTTCCTATGAATAATGGCCTTGTTCCCGCGTCGTGGTACCCCATGAGATGAAGTTATCCTCATGATGGTGTATTAGTTTGCACAATTTTTGGCGTCAGTGGAGGTTATGCATGGTGAGGTCATGATTATGATCAATGTCTTCATGATACATTATACAGGAACTTTTATGCCGAGGATATACCTCGTTGCTCTTATCGTGGTTGGTTGGCGTTTACAGGTGATGAGTTATGCAACTGGTTGGTGAGTTATGCAAGTTTGACGTTCAAAACGTTAGTCAGGCAGAAAAGAAAGCGAAGAAAAAAAAAAAAAAAAAGAAAGAAAAGAAAAAAGGGAAAAAAAAAAAAAGAAAAAAAAGGCAAGATGGTGGTGAGTAGTTAAATGGTCATTTGACAATGGCTGTTTTTCTTTTTACCCGGTTAATTTTGATTATAACCAATTTCCCCTTCCCTATCACTTCCTCAATTTCTCTTCTCCCCTCCTGTCTTATTATAACCTTTTTTCTTCGGATTACTTCACTTCTTTCCATCCCTAACTGCCTTTGACCTGTGCGTCAGATTTCCGCCTATTCCCAACCTCCTTCGGCCGTTCATTTTGAGCTATCTTTCATTATTGCTTCAATCGCTCCGGTCACATTTTGGTCAGGTTTTAGATTTCATCAAACGGGCATACAGATGGAATACACTTTCGCAAGAAAGGAGCTACGTCGGGTTTATTGCCATGCTACTTTGCGTCGGCTTGCTAACCTACTTTCCCCATTGATTTTTTGTTTCAGTCAACCTTTCAGTTTCCTTGCTTTCTCATTCCCCTCGGTTTGACACTATTAACGTCCTTTTGCTGCTTTGGCTTCTTGGTGCTATTCGGTCTCGGGGCATTGAAACGGAGAAAAATGACGGTGATTAACTATGGGCCCGGATCAGGTGTTTTCATACTTTTCATATGCATCAAGGGAGCTGGTTCTTTTTTTGGTTGCCTTATATTGATTTGTTTCTGCAGACATTGCTCTTGTACTGCCATTAGCATTACTTACCTACTATCAATAATACCACAATGGCGATCTAGCCAGCCCGCAAGACTTTAAGCACCAAGTTGAGCAAGTGTATTATGCGGCTGGTGGCTGTAGGCGGCTCTTACCGCGCAGTTTGCTTGTTGCCCTAGACTGCCCCTACTTTTTCCAAAAGAGGAAACAAGAGACCACGACAGTATAAACATCAACCTCACTTCGCGCTTCTCACTTTACTCCTTTTCTTCTCTCTTCCCACACCAAAACAACATCAGCATTTACTCTCCTCATGCTTGGAGATGCTGCCAGACCTTACTCTCTCCCTGTTATTTGTTGCTATCTACGTGGTCAGCCTACTCCTCGTGGACCTTGTAGCTCCTTCGCTCACTAGTGAGGCCGATAACGCGTCCATCGGGCGGCGGTTGATACTACTTGTTTATGTGAGAGCTCCCCTAGAATATACAAGGGCCGATGGAAAGCTAATCTCTTGTGATATTCGTCGTAGCTACATCTCAATCCTTGATCGAGCCATCATGACTACCAGCCTGTGTGATGTGGCCCTGAGAGGCGTTTGGAATGCCAGTACGGAGGGCCATCATTATGTTGACTTGGATATGACACTCCAAGTAAGTACTACTATTAGTGATTACCAGCACACCAGAAGACCTACGAACTACGATCTAACGCGTTAGATAGATGAAGTCAGGGCCTGATAGCGTTCTCCCGGTACTTAAGTTAGACCCGGAGATGGAAGTGGAAATACTACACCAAGGTACCTATGGGCTGAAGCACGAGCCCAGTAATGAGCCCGATTACGGGCTGGGCCTATGGCCACACGATGAGGGCCCAGACGATCAAACGTATAATGGAGGAAAAGCAGAAGAATCGGAAGGCAGTGTCAGTATAACTTGTGAAGCACCTTCTCGGAAGTTGATCACACGAGACATGAGAATATCTCCATCTCCAGTCAAACGGCTTTTTCCACCAAGTCCAGAAACTTGTGGGGGGTATGATGCCGATGACGGCGGTTGCGACTTTGATGACAACGACAGCAGCGGAAGCAGCTCGGGGGTTAGAGGGATTTCCATCGATGGCAACGACGTATTTGACGCGTCAGACCATGAGGATTGCGAGCAGCAAATGCAAGACAGCCCTGGAAATGCGCTGTCCATGACTATCAAAAGAGGCTTACAACCCCGCAGTAGCTTTCCAAAGTTCGACATTGATGCCTTGCAAGACATAGAGCGCATTGACGAAATTCCCAATGACAAGGAAAATGACGTCCCAAAAGGTGAAGTCGGATACGAACGAAAATGCAACCGAGATCATTTAATTGATATTACTCCCAAGCGTGATTCCACAGCACTTCTCATCTCCGCCTGCAGCCCTGACAAAGAGGAGGAGCCTGATACAATCAGCCTTGGACATACCACTCCTCAGTCAAGAGTCCCTAATAAAACCTTTGTCATTCCTAAAAGAACATCAAGGTCGCCTCAGAAAGGCGCTCCAAGCAAAATACCCATCAAACGGATGCATAAAGAAGTATCGTCGGAGTCAGATGAACTAGTACGGGTAGTAAGTGTTGTACGCCCAGAGAATACTCTTAGCCCTGCACAGATGACGCACAAGAGAAATTCACCCCTTTCACAAATGGCTATGATGACCAGAGCAATATTGAACACCAAGCCTTCAGGTATAGAACCAGATTATGAAGCAAAAGATGAGGACATCGATGCAACGAGTGTCGAGGAATCATCCTGTCGTTGGCCTGATATGACAACACTAGAAATGGAAACACCAACAAAGCCTCAATTGTCCAGGAGTCTCCCAAACCAAAGACCTGAAATGCATCACGGCGATGACGAATTCATCTGGCCAGCTGAAGGTCATAGATGCGGAGCCATGCCATCCTTGGGCCAAGATAGCCAGAATGAAGACTCAAGCAACGATCTTTGTCCCGAATCGTCAAAGAACGAAGTGTATCTTACCCCCGAAGAAGCAGCGCACGGGAATTTTGACGTTAATGAATTCTATGTTGACGATGACGAGCCTGCAGGTAGTAATGTCGAGGAAGACTACCCATATGAAGAGGAGAATAATACTATAGGTCTCCCAAGTCCATCAACAGCTTCGCAGCGTAGCTTGAAGTGGCATCGTCCTGGGCAGTTATCGGAGAGAGAAGGCTTAGGCGAACCCCCAGTTTTAGAAGCGTTTGGTGGCATGTTAAGAGTGCGTACGAGCTCTAAGGCTGTACCAGCCAATCTTGGCCTCATTTCAACCATACGAGTTACTTTGACAGGCGATTTGAAACATGATTCGGAAATGTTTAAAGCGTCCCTGCCAGAGGATGATGGCCATATGAGCATTCAATGGGAATTGAGATTGAAGCCTCCTCAAGTTGATGGATGGGCATTGGATTTGTTTGCAATGCTTCCATTTGATGAATGTGACCCGGAATATGACAGTTATGTGGCAGAGCACCAACCTTTGGAAGGCAGGGATGGCCTTAAAGAGAATGAGCACCAGGAGAACCCAGAAGAGGTACATGGATCCGAAATAGAGGTGCGACAGGAGGAAGCTAATGCACGACGTTGTCCATGCTGCTTATATCACTCAAGGCATTCGCCGTTGGTGAATATAGACAGACTTATGGATGTAGCCAATGGGCTTGCTCAAGAATTGAAGGGGGCACTCCGCCATGGGCTGTTCAAGCCATGTGGAAAAGCAATTCGCTTTTTCGGAGATATGCTGCAAAAGTTCTGCGGGGAAGAGGGGCTGATACAGTTTATAGTGAAGTGCGTTAAGTTCACGATACTTGTCCTCCTTGTGTTGTGTGTCACTGGGTTTGAATGTAAAATTGTCGGATGGTCTGCAGATTCATGGGAGATCAATATACGACCAAGATTTCTTCCCCCAATGTCCCAGAAGCCTGCGGTTTGCGGCGGGATGGAGGGTGCAGCTGGAGGACAGGCCGGGCAATCGGTTGATATCGCCGGAAAAGAAGTGGCCGGTGACAGATGGCCGTCGACGGCAGCGTGGGCCGTGCTTCAACCGGACAGTGGGGAAGCAACCAACTATACTATTGGAGGGGCAAACTCCACGGAAAACGGCTCCCTGACGACGGCCGCGGATACGGCATCTACCCGTGCACCATCTGAGGCGCAGCTGGCAGCAGAGGATGGAGATGCACCGGTCAGCAAGCCTGATGCCGGAGCGGATGCGGCAGATGAAGGAACAAATGTCGGCAGTGGCAAGCCGGATAAGGCTAACGACGCAGACAAGGCGAGTCTGAGGGACAGGGTCGACTCGCTTCTTGGCTGGCGAGGGCCGCTGTTTGACTGAGGAGACCCCCCTGAGAGAGACCGACACTGTATCCGGAGGCACTGACGTGGGGAACTGTATCTCTTAGCTTGTATCCTTCTCCTCTAGTCACTCTTGTTATTGTTCTCTGTTATGCTACGCAGTCAATAAATTCTACACCCCCTTTTCCTAACCCGGCTGCCGGCTCCTTTATCTCTTGATGTTGCGATAAAGAAAAAAAAGAATAAAAATAAGAGTAAATAAGGTTCGTTGGGAAAGCTTGGCATATATCACGTGGTATCATCCTCTGGGCAGGCCGAAAAGGGAAAAGCAAGAAAAAGCGACTTCGACTTTCGATCTTTGAACGCTCAACTTTTCGTCTTTCTCCCTGTCATCGTCGTTGCTCGCTGTCGTGCTGCTTATCCCTTCGTCTTCTCTATCGCCCAGGATACGCGCAGTATAGCTCTCTCGACCAGCTGCTCCTCCGTCTCTTCGTTCCCTTTCCTCCTCCCTCGTCTGTGTCCCCCATGCGAGGCTCGCTCTGGAGGTGAGTAATGCGTATCCAATAATAATCCCCACCACCTTCAACACCATCGACTCAACAGCTTCTTCCTCTGCCCCGATATTTGCTTTTCCCTTTGGTCCTGGCATTGGCCACAGAAGCTCCCGTGGCCCTACCAAAAAGCATTACTCCCCGTATATACGCATTCCTTCTTCTCCTTGTCTGCAGCCCAGGAAAAGAAACGAGCGGAGGGGCAGGGCCGTGGTGTCATTATTCAAGACACACCCACGCTCTCCCTCTGCTGTGTATTCCTTTTCTTTTTCTTTATATCGGCTTTAAACTATCTCCACCTTGGCAATTTTATGGGGAAGACGCAGCTCGCTGTACGCCAGACGCACACGGTGTTTGGCTGCTGCTGCCCACGGTCATGGTCGCTCACCTAAACTACTCAATGCCAATGCTCTCCTATTGGAGGGGGAAACATCCGCTGTTTCTAGTCCGCTTCGCCCTTCGTTTCTTTTTCCTGGGCATTTGCTAACCAGCCCTCTGTTATCAGAACCTTACCTGTTTCACAGCGTATTATTCCTTGCCCGACTCCATCGCTTGCTACCCGCCTAGCAGACCTGCCAAGTGCGCCCCGTGATTCCTTTTCTCAACGACAACAGATAAAACCCTTCTCATCGACCCGGCCTGGGCTGAAGATGTCTTCCAGCAACAACTCCAACCCTCACCCAATTCCCAGCATGGCCGCCCAAAATGAGCAGAACACGGCTCCCGGTATGTTCAATCCGCTTCATGTTTCGACTCCCAATCCCTCTCTGGCCCTCCTTTATTAACGTTTCTGATAGACAGCTACCAGCTGGCCATGGCCAAGAATAACATCTGGGCCACAAAGCTAGACGAAGAACAGCCAGATCTCTTCCCAAAGCTCGCCTCAGGACAATCTCCGGAAATATTGTGGATCGGCTGTGCTGACTCCCGTTGCCCCGAGACCACTGTCCTGGGCCTTCAGCCCGGCGACGTCTTCGTCCATCGCAACATTGCCAACGTTGTGCAGTACAACGACATCTCTGCTGCCACCGTCATTGAATTTGCTGTCGTCTACCTCAAGGTCAAGCACATCATTCTCTGTGGCCATACTAGCTGTGGTGGCATCAACGCTGCTTTGGCCAACAAGAAGCTCGGCCTCCTTGATACCTGGCTCATGCCCCTTCGACGACTCCGAGAGCAACATATGGACGTCTTGAAGGATCTTGAGCTCAAGGAAGCTGCCGTCAAGCTCGCCGAGATCAATGTCGAAAATGGACTGCGAGTTCTCCGTGAGAACAGCGCCGTTCTCGACGCCATTGAGGAACGAGGTCTCAAGCTGCACGGTGTCATCTACGATGTTGGCAGCGGAAAACTTAGAGAGCTAGAAATCACCGAGAGCATGGATTCTATCAGCAGACGAATTGCTTCTTTCAAGACGGTCAAGAACGAGGAGTGATACCTCTTCATGAAATGTCATTTTTTGCTTTTTTTACCAGGTTGTCTTGGGGGTATATATGTACGAAGTCTTGGTTGTGATCGGCATGGGTGACTTCGAGGTGTTTTTGTCTTTTTTTTCCCCCATTTATCGATGAGGGTAACTATGACGTGGGGTGTCATATGTCGATATACGATATTTGTTCTTCGTGGCTTATGTTCCACTTTTTTTTTATGACTTAGCCTCCGGTAGCCAATTGCCCGGGTGTTGGATGGTATATAGATAGCACTTTTTGGTCACAGTAGCGGAGTATTCTAGATGCAGTCAGCCTATTGCAAAAGAACTGCGTGATGATTGATATTGGTCAGATAAATTACCGGTTTTTCGTGGTTATAATTCGGCATGTGTAAAAGACTAACTTGGGCCATGCAGTTGCTTTTGCAATTGATTGCACGTGGCCTCATATTTGCAATAGATAAGTCTCGTGGATATTTATGGTATCGTCTCCCATCTCGAGTAAAATAAAACTCAACACTTGATATGTGAATGCTAACACAAATTGTGGAGTTCCACACATCCCGAACCCTAACTATAGGAATAGTCAATGTTATGATATAGCCTCGTTTTAATACCACTGTCTGCCTCCTCCACTGCATGTGGTATTAGATTGTACCACGGTCGACACACAAGCTCGTGCTACTGCCTTATTTGAAAGATGAAGTGAGCCGCAGTAATAATGTATCTACTTCCACTGCAAACTCTCCTTTCTCTTACGGAGTGATTGAGAATGTCGGAAGGGGATAATTGATACTAAGGCAGTTCCAGTTTAATAACTATTCGATGTCAGTGAAAACGATTACTTCAATAAGAAATGGCTAATCTTACAGATACACGAAATAGATATATTGCTGGCATATATAAATATTGAGCAAAGACGGGCATTTTGTGTGGTATTAGAAAAGTGGTAAGTTATCTTCCGTTTCATCTTTGCTGCCTAAATATTTTAGCAGTTAATTATATAGGTCTATAGAACTGGACGGCATTTGATGGGACTAGGCTTAGCAATACTTACAGCTTTCAACGATTTGCTTAAGTAAATTCAATCCTTTTGCAACGACTCCTAACCTACTTCAATTCCGATGCAGGAAGTCCCATGTTGAAGTGCAGGGAATCCACCCGCACTTCTGAAGTAGGTTATGTGCGCTGCATGCTAAATTTTAAGTCCATGCTGCTTCTCGCCCCATTCCTAGTAAGCCAGTGTAAGTGCTAGAAAGTACAGTCGACGTCGAGAAAACATAAGAGTAGACTCACGCCTAGCACCCTCGCCCCTGTAGCTATCACCCCTATTACGGCGTCCTTCAAAACGGTTAATAGCGATTTTACCGGATAGGTTGCATCGTTTAGGTCATACAAGTCCTACCTCGTTGTGGGATAGAGTGATAAGTGCGAATTTGTCGGTGGTCAGATTGCCCTGATGAGCCTTGATTTTATAAACGGCTTGTCAATAGGTGGGTACAAAACGGGAAGGATGTTTTAGGTAGTGGGAAGGATCATTTTTTCAGGTAAACAAACCTTGTTTCTTGAATTCACTCGAAGTGGAAGTCTGTTCGTTGGAACGTGCAACCTTCCGTTGGCAGTCGCTATCTTCTGGGGGCGGGGTGTTGCTACGCTTGAGCGGTGAAGGTTGGACCCGGTTATTGGTTGGTTGTAAACTTGGTGTGTTTTCAGCTTTACCCTTGAGGCACTCGTCCGAGAGTGTTGGAGCCCTTGAGGCAGGACTATCAACCGGTAGTTCAACCGTGCGAGAACGCATTGCTGAAAAGTCGGAGGGCGTGGCACTCCGGGCTCCTGCGGACATCGTGCAGGGAAACAGTGACTGTGAGAGCCTGGAGCTAGATATATTAGTAAAAGCTCGCCTTTTCCGGCATTCCTCATTCATGAGTTCTGTCAATTTTTCGTGCACGGCGACTATTTCACGACGGCGTGAAATTGTCTCTATACGATATTCTTCATCGTAATACCCAGTGAACAGTAACCATAAATGGATATCTTGCTGAGTTTGTTGATCCAGGTTTTGGAATTCTGGTTGGGGTATACAGAGGCTCTGGAGATCATTTGGGAGAGTAGTAGAGGGCGGGGTCTCTTTCCCTCCTTGTACTGAGCTTAAACTAGGCGATATCAGTGGCATAGGCTGGTTATAGGTAGGAGAGGATTTTATCTCTCCGGAAGAATGCTGTTGTAGACTTCCATGCGGTGGAGTGCATGGCGGCTGCGGTGCAGGAGGCTTCTCAGGCAAGGGTATAGCGGGCCTGTTGTGTTCAACGTTCCGAATTGTGGCATCAGAAGCTGAAGCATTATCAGAGTTGTCTTCGATGCCCTTACGATAGCTCTGTTGCGCTGAAGCTGCGCCACGAATCTGAAGGGAACCATTACTGGTCTCATATGGAGGTACGGGGGTAGTATTGTCACCTCTAGAGGTACCAGCATGGTTGGAAACTACCGCAGCCTTTCCTTCGGCTAATAATGCATCGATATCATTTTCAGAAGCTTTATTGTAGTAGGATGGTATGTAGGTGTCACATGAATTCCGCAAGAGTTTTGTGTCTGCTCTAGCTGGTGTGCCTTGGTGTGCCTTCATTGTTGCTATAGTGATGTAGATAACAGTGAGCCTAAGCAATTAGTAGATGGTTGACACGCCCTGAGGCTTGGAATTGCGTTTTCATCAATTGGTATAGATGTCGTCAAAGTGAAGGCGCGTCTGTAAAGCTGGTTACAAATTGTAGCAATGGGGTTTTCTAGTGGGATACCAGGCTTGCTCGAATTATTTGACAGGCTGACAAATACGCGCTATTGGTATCTTATTCGATACCTTCGGGTATTGTATCTGTCACTGTTCCAAGTGACTCTGCTGTGAGTCGAGTTCTCGACCTTGGATCACAGCCAGGAGCCTAAGAGGGTATTGGGAACGAAAAGGCCTGACGCGCCGTTATTCGCTTTTCCGGTATAACAGGTATCATGCCAGTGTATAAACAAATCTATTGAGGCATATTAGAGGAAGAAAAAAAGCTGCCTCCTTCTCTTCTCTGTTCTAGTCTTCGGCGTCATCTTCTTGGTCGTCTTGATGTTTTCGTCGCCTGCGCGAAATTGATATCACATGACTTCAGGAGTTCCGATCTGATTGGTCATTTTCTTGAGACTGCTATGGACTGCACCTGCATAGATTCTAACAGAGATATGATCATGGGATATTGAAAATGCGAGGACTTCACGATGGAGCTCATATTCATGCTTTATAGCCTTTTAAAGTCCAATCACACCTCTCACTGCAAGAATCATACTATGGGCATTTTGTCGATCCGCGATGAAGAGCCGCGTTTAACTACGCACGTCAAGAATGGAAATTTATCGTGTCTATACCCATAACAAAGGAAGTCTCGCTCCAGTCACCAATAAAGGGCTTCAGCTTTTCAAGTTGACTATCTGTGAATGTGGACCGAGAAGTCAGGCTGCGGGTGGGGACCATAAAATGGGATACCTTTACTCTAACCTTTACTCACAGCTTCAACTAAGTGCTTCAGATGGGTGGCATTATACATCGCTAGATTTTTAGCAGATGGCACAACCAGTTGTCCAATATCTCGAATAACCCTGCTGTCGTTACCGCATTGGGACTTCTCGCAATTTTTTTCGAATAAATCGTCTCGAGATAATGGGTTTATGCTAAGCAGTGTTTTGGATGAAAAGATATCAAACCGCTGGGCAAAAAGGGGAGACCCTTAAATGACTGCAGAGAGAGTCATTATACCATCGACAGAAGACTACTTGCATTTATAACCCCACGGCTCACCTTCTTCATAAAGCTTCCTTTTGTATCAAGAATTGTCCGACATCGAGGATTTCCGTATGGAGCCCTCTTTTCCTTTCTTGGCTTGCCTTTACTTTGCTCTTTACAGTGGGAGAAGACGTCAGCGTGTTCCTTCAAAGCAGGGAGACCACCCTGATATTCTGGTGAAAATAACTCTTTGACCAATATCCTCTCTGGATCCAATTACGCGTTGGATTAATATTGCTCCCAAGGTTTAGGGGTTTAGATTGTTCTGGTTACTACTAAGTTTGCTTCGGATAAAAGATAACATACCCCCTTTCCAGGTATATTGTTGGTTAGTGAGGAATACGGATGCTCATGACATAGATGTTGTAAACGGATGCTTCCGCGAACAGGTGATTGTGGAGGCTATGTGGTATCTCAGGGTTGCTTTGCTATTGATGGTTGAAGTAGGCCAGCGGAAATAACAGCCCACTTGATAGAGGTCACAGTTGGATGGCTACCTCGGCCCTTCCTTTCCCATTTTCGGACGTTGCCTCCGCTCAACGGCCAAGCTTTTGGTTTCTGGGACTCGTGAACATGTGGAGGGGAAGAGGAAGAAGAGCCAGAGTACAACGATGGCTTACAGATCAAGCGCTCACGCGCTCAATCTGTCTAGTTTATAACTAGTTTCATGAACTAGACTTGCTACTAGTTCGGGCTACCAAATCGAAGGCACTTACTGATTGGTGAATATATACGTCATTCTCACTAGTATTGACTATGTTAAATATCATTCTCTATCTATACAACAGGCCCGATTTATATAGTTAATACGCGCATAGATAGAGAAAACTTTGCTATCCAGCTCACGATTCCCTTCGTTTGGGTGTTGTGATCCATGGGAATAGACGGGCGGATCCTGCGGCTACACCGATCCGATGAGCCGAGGTTCATTTCGTGGAAACCTGCGGAAAGTCTAAAAATTATGTGCAGAAATTGTGCATCCATAACTAACATAAACTTTAAGTCAGGAGACTCGACGGGCGACGGGATGGACGAGGAGTGAGATATCAAAAAAAAGAGGCTTGCTGATGAGACGCTATGCTATATACATCAAAGTGACAAAGGGGGGAGGGTATCATATATATTTATATAAACAGAGCTAGGCTGGGTTTTATATACTACCTTGCCTTGGGGCCTTCTTTGCCCTGACAGCGCCAAGTAACGTGCCTAGCTTCCGCCATCCCTTCTTCTCCCGACTTCCAGCGGAAGAAGTAGTGGATTGGTCTGGAGTTGAAGCCCGGTCTCGTCCGGGAGAAGCGGTGCCGCGGACAGGGCTGGATTGTCTGCTGTTATGCCTGGGTGTCTGACCTTGTGAGGAGTGAAGATTGCTGTGATGAAGAGGATCATTCATCTCGTCGGGTGTTTCAAGGTCGGTCAGATCATGGATTGTTTGAACGGGTCGGTGGGGGTGGCTTTGAGGAGAAGATTCCTGGTTTGCGGAGCAAAGCATGCTGCATGACCTTGTATGTGTTGGTGTAGAGGGACCGCTGCCTTTACTGACGCCATCGTCAGAACAGCTTCGACGAGGGGACGGTTTCTGTATGGAAGACGATCGAGTATGGGGAGCTGTTGCACGTCGGCCCTTTTGGCGGATGCGAGATGTTAATGATGTTCGGGTATTAGTGCGGTTACTATTGCTGCGAGTAGGGGGGTCATCCGGTTGTGTTTCTCCAACGCCAGCGTTTGGAGGGCGCTCTGCGGCTACGACTGAGGATGGTGGGAGCTGACCGACGCTCAGGCCGTTGCTGGAAGAAGATTCAATATTACTTGTAACAAGTGGGTTCCCAGCCCAGCCTTCCTGAAACGCTACCCAGATCCCAGTAATCGTGATAAGCTGTCGGATCTTATCGTCGATTACAACCGGGCTCTGTCTCGTCGCGGTTTCGGCTGGAGCGGACTCTGGGCGTTGGTTTGTGTTGCGGTCGGCGTAAACAGATGAAAGTGACTCCTGGTCAAGTACTTCAATTCCAGTCCGACACAGCCAGCCTATAATCGGATGACGACGAGTCTGTGGATCGATAATGCTGAATGTAAGTCGTTTCCCTCCCTCTGGGCCTGGTGACTGTCGACCGGCCCCTTGAACCGAGGCACTGCGATTTCTCTTCCCACGAACAACCCAGCGCACGCATTTCTTAATTCCATGTTCATCCGTGGCAGTAAACTCGTAGCTACCATTAGGTAGAGATTCCGATATCCAGTATAGGCCATCGGCAAAGCAGATTTCTGCGGTTGGCTTCGATTTTGAATCATCCTTGCGAATTTGGGATATGGTTGCAATGGGTTCACGGTTCTCATTTGCTGAATCACCCTCAGGGCGCTGTTCCTCGTCACCAGCTCCAGATGGCCCGTAGGTATCACTTGGTAGTACTATTAGGTCGGATGTGCAAACTCGATCCCGTGCTGCAAAGGGACCGGATATTTTTCGTTGAGCACGCCCTTTGAAGAGCGAAGATGGAACAACATCGAGGACGGAGATGGGACGAGAAGTGTTTGAGACTTGTTGGAGTTGTAATAGTAGCCTGGGACGGATGCGTAGTCTTTTATGTCGAGTAGTTGGTGGAGGATGTGCGAAACGTAGTATAGTCTTAGACCGATGGACATGCTTCTTTGATGCGCCGTCAACAGAGCCATCTACGATCCCACATGCATCTGGACTATCCGAGCCTGATTCTATGTGCGCGACGGTTTCTTCCATGGCTGTGGGCTCTTGGAATATCACAGATCCTGATGGTACGATGCTCCGGTAAGTGTTGGTATTTTGGGCCATGGGTGTCTGGCCCTCGGATTTCGAGGTAGAGGACGGGGCAGAAGCCCCCTGCTTCGTCAGGGAGGCAAACCCGAGAGATAGAATCGATCTTGCAGACGGGAAGAAACTAGAAGAAGCTCCCTGCTGTGTCTCTGGAGAGGCCGAGTATTCGTGCCGATGCACGGCCGCAGCATCAGCGGTAATCCCCAGGTTGAGCTGCATATCTTGACGGCGAGAAGTATACGATCCTTCTGCAGCGCCTTTGTCCGACTGTCTCGTCTGTTTAGGGACACCCAGGATCCAAGTTCAAGCTGTGTCCGATGTTCTTGCTCTGCGTGCGAATATTCCCATTGGGCTTCTTTTCCTAGGAAGGTATAAGATCGCGTGTTGTTGTTTGCGAGATGTTGACCATAACCAACGAACGCTCTGCCAGCAGCGACAAGCTCGATGACCCGATGTCCGCCTGGATCACAGAGTAGAGCTAGAAGAAGAGATATATTCCAGGCTTGGTTTCCCTGCTATTGCATTTTTCTGTTGGTCACAGTAACTGCTCCCTATTCATAATTCCACATATATATTTCCGGCGACGTCGTGCATGTACACTCCGCTAACGGATGATTCAAAGCAGATCAACCCAGCCTCTTAGCTTCCGAAGCTATCAAGTTTAGTAGCTGGAGAATCACTTATATATATCAAAGGGCGTTCCTGTTTCAGAATGTCCACATGGGAACGGAGGTTTGTACCCGTCGCGAACCCGTCTTTGTACAACGCCCTCACCCCCCACGGCGAAACCAGGCGAGGTCTTGGTCTTATATAGTTAACTTATGTGATTAGTGAGGCCCCTGGTTCGGGATGATCAGTTCACCCTTCGAGAAAAAAGGGGAGGGGTCAGACGGAGGCAACAATGTTTTAAGACGAATGGAAATAGGGGAGCAAAGGAGGGCTGCATTGATCCCACCTTGACCCAAGGACAGGTCTCTATATAAGAAAAAGGCTGAAACATACATTACAGGCCTCACGGCCCGGTGCATCCATCCCTCGAATCCACCGGGGTCAACGACTTTGTTCCATCTCTCGGACAGGATGCAACATCTCCTACAGTGCCGTGCTCCGATCAGCCTCATAACTGGGAACTTATGCAGAAGATATACGAGATATGGCCCCTTTGAGTTCGTCCGGTGGCACTGCGTGATTCTCGCCTGAGGCCTGATGAGACATGAGACTCTCTGTACTCCGTCTCTGCACGTTAACCACGGATCAAAGCTTGCTTTTTGTCCAAGCAAAAACTCTTATTTCGTTCTCTCCCTTTTTTTTTTTTAACATTTAAGCCAATCATGAAGGCCCCGCCTCATCCCTGAGAGAGTTCCTCGGGTCTTGGTCGTTGCTGATCCTGAAAAACAGGCTGGACAGGCTGGCGGCCATGTGGACTGTCCGTTCGGATCCCTTAACACGCGACGTTCCGTCCAGTTGTACGGAGTACTCCATAGAGAATGACGGATTGTCATCGTTGTCGTCGTTGTCGTTGCTGCTGCTGCTTATTATATATAACTCACGTATATATAAGACATGAGTGGAACGACATCTCCACGGCTGGATGCATACTTCTGCAGACCCAGTGTCCAGCAGTCATTTTTTGGCCTGAGAAAAATCTCTCCGTCGAGTTAGCACGCAATCCACTCGATAAAATAATTCCATAACCTCGCAGGACCTAGAACTGGAAGCTCGAACGCCAAAAATTACGCTTTCATAGGTGGACTGCAAGATGTTCTCGGCGTTGCAATTACTTTCTCTTCTGCTCCACTGCGTCACTGGGTCGAGGAACTCGCCAAAGGTTGTCGGAGCCATTTGATCCAAATCCTCCGTTCGACAGCTTATCGGGGATCGGGCACACGACTTAGCCCGAAACAAGATGGTCTGTGTGAGCAGGCGGACGTCCGTCAAGACGATGCGGCAGGCAGAGAAAAGAAGATGAGACCTACGCGGTGCGGTGTGGTTGACTGTCATCGCAGGGGATCCTCGCTCTCGAGACTGCTGGCTGCCAGGGTCTTAAAGACGGTGTGCACACTGTAGCCGCAGGATCCGCCCGTCTGCTCTGCTCCCATCATACACACACTGGGACGCAAGTGTGGGTTCCAACAAGAAGCTCCGTTAGAGCCGGATAGCAAGCTCTCCGTGCATACGGGCGTAATTAACTGCACAAATCGGGCCCATGGCTTGTGCAGAGAGGACGGATTTTACTTCTTCGAGACGTTCCGCTCTTTCAACTGTTCCCTGCAACTATCTCTCAATAAAACAGCCACGCTCGCGGGGCTAGCTGTATCTAGTAACCGTTGCGCCTGCTCCATAATAGTGAAGAAATGGATCCGTCTTTGCTCGTTATCCTGAAGGTATTTAGAGTATTTAGAGTAAGGAGTACGGAATAAGGGGGAGGTAACTAAGTAATAATAATAAAAGGCGATATTGAAATTAACCAACCAATGCCACTGAAGATACAAGAAAAGGACCAATCAGAACTCGTGAAAATCAAAATATTAATCTGGGACTTGCAGTTTACGTCGAGCAAAGTATCAAAAACACCAACATCGACGGCTCAAGCCTGCTCGATAATCCACAGGTAGTTACATCAACCGAACTATCTGGCTGGGTATCGAGTACAACAGGCATAGTCCTCATCCCTTCTATGCAAATATAGAAAACTGCGATGCCCACATCTCGGAAGATGGCGAGCGCCGTCGACCGCATTGGCATGCTTGACCAGCCAATCTACACTTTGACGAAATGCTTCTGCCTGTGGAAGGCCGTCTTATTGCTTATTGTCCTCGCTAGCCCAGGGCCGGGATACGACACGTCAACGGCTTTGCTTCTCTCGTCCGACGGAGAAGGTCCCGGTAATCCGGGAACCGGCAGCATGGCATGGCTAATATCGCACATTGGTCTCCGGCTAGCGAGATGGGACTCTATCTACTTCTTGAAGATCGCACAGAGGGGATATTTGTTCGAGCAAGAATGGGCGTTTGGATATGGATATACAAAGTTTCTATCATTCCTTCTTCCTGGTAAGTCGGAGTTATGGACATGTTTAAAACGTGGGCCTGTTGGTACTGATTGAATACGTAGAATCGCTAAGGAGCCTGCAGAACCTTGCTGTGACTGGAGTGCTTCTTTCGAATCTCTGCCATTATCTATCAGTCTTGGTGCTCTACAGGCTCTCCCAAGCTACATTTAACAGTAGCAGGAAGAATTACAATGTAGTCCCATTTTTGGCAGCCGCACTGCATATCGTGACTCCTGCCGGAGCATTCATATCTGCACCCAACGGAGAAGCTGTATTTTCGTTTCTCAATTTCTTCGGTTACTATGTCTTTATTACGGCACTCAATGATGAGCGTCAAGGCAGTTATTTTCTGAGAGACCTGAAGTTCCTCTCTGCTGGCGCATTTTTTGCTGCTGCCACCACTGTTCGAAGCAATGGTTTGCTCAGTGGCCTGCTATTTGTCTATGATGCAGTGTCTGGACTGCATCAAATAATTATCCATGGCCCGTCGTGGCATATTATACGGCGTCTGTCTACGGTATGTGCTGGTGGCAGCCTGATTCTGATAGGAATTGTTGGGCCGCAATATGTTGCATATAAGGACTTCTGCCTGGCTGAGAACCCGCGTCCATGGTGCAATCGTCTATTTCCAAGTATCTATGCATGGGTTCAATCATATTACTGGTAAGTTGTCCCTTGCTCAACCTGACACTCTGTGCGCGCGTCTTTATGCATATTCGGGAGTTGGACTGCTAACCGTTATCCCTTCAGGAACGTGGGCTTTTTAAGGTATTGGACCTTCTCGAATATTCCGCTGCTCTGTATAGCAGCTCCTATGATAACTATACTTGTTTATTCAGGTTTACAAGTATGGGCAACCCTCCTGCCGATGCTCCCTACTAAGGAAGATGGTACGGCCGGATACAGTGTGAAATACCAGGCCAGGCTTGCTCTTCCTCAAGTGGTGCTCGCTACTTTAGCAGTGACTCACTATCACATCCAGATTGTGAACCGGATATCATCAGGCTACCCATTGTGGTACTGGTTCCTGGCATCGAGCCTGGTGACAGAGAATAGCAGTAAATCCTCTTTGACGCCACCCTTGATCAGCTCTCACGTAATCACGCGTGTGATCGTGATGTATGCGCTGATCCAGGGCTGTCTGTTCGCCTCCTTTCTTCCTCCGGCTTGAGCAGCCCAGGCAACCAGAGCTGACGAACGCTTTTTCCGAACCCCGGATGGAGCCATGTAACTACCTAACCTTTACCTAGTTATCCCTCTTGTAGCGGCGTAGATTACTTCTGCCTGGCCACCTCGCCAGGCCGACTGTCCATATAACTCACTTCTTCTTCTTCTCCCTCCCTCTGCCCCCCTTAATTCTACTCTTATATACTCCGTACTTCCCCCCTATTCTCTCAGTTTGATATCTGTTGAGCCTCCTCCGCTTAAGATAGTTATTATGTCATCTTGTCTTGGCGCCTCCAACAACAAAAAAGCTTCCAAAAGTTGTTTTCGCTGCGACCTTTAGAGCTTTAACGAACTACAAAACATCGCCACAAGGTCGATTTTGTGAGGCGGATGAGCTTCGCACCTCCTAAAGCTGATAGCTTCGTTTTGCAGGCTGCATCTGCTGCTTGACGCTGCTGCCGTGGACGAACCATAACCATTGTCCTTGCTGGGTTTGTTGTCACCAACAAGTTGCACACGACCCTTGGTAACTAACAAGTTACTCCGTACCTGACTCGGCACCAGAAGCAGTACATGCCAAATGCTCACGGAGGCTGCAATTTAATTGAAGCTATCAAACTGTGAATAATCGAGCAACCCGGTTAGGGGAGTGAGTAAGAATTCCTTTATAAACCCTTTCCTGGAAATCTCATAGCTCTAGAATGACTTATTTTGATGGATCCTGGGTTTCTGACGCGGCTTTACAATTTAGCACCCTCACCACCGATACCCTCTCTAATACGTTCTACATGCTCGATAGACACGCCCTTGGAAAATGAATACCGATCGATTCCCGGACGTGTTGACGGCTAGCTTGGCTGTCGTTGGTAATGAGTTCTCACGGGCCACCTCTCCCGGTGGAGAATCAGCACAGCTTAACGGCGCCGTTCCAGAAGATGACCGCTCCAAAAAGGCTCGTAGCCGGCCACGAACATATCCATACTTCGAACACTCCCCGTACGAGCTAGAGGATGATACGTTACGGCAGAATAACTTTGAGGAGATCCTCAAGCACCTCTACGTGGCCATCGAGTCTGGAGACTTCAACTCCGGGGCGGTCCACTGGACTCGAGAACTTCGAGGTTGGCTATCTCTGAAGTTCGATCCAACAAGAGAACAGCGGACAAAGCTAGTGAAGCTTTACTACGAGCTTGCCCTTGCTCCCGGTATCGAGCCGGCTGTTGCAGAACGCTTTTCTAGCATGTTCATGGTGCTTACCAAGTAAGTACCAACCCTACCTATCCGACTAGCTATAACCTCTGCTTACACTTTTTGATTTTTAAGGAGAAAACATTACCTTCGGCCGACCAAGGACTTGATTCTTGACTGGAAACCGCTGTACAGAGAGTTGAAAGTGTTCGTGCTTCCTTCAGAGGCGGGACTCGTACACTCAATGAGCAACAAACGCAATATCAAGACTTTGATAAAACTTTGTTCCTTTGCACAGTTCTATTTTGACCCCCTTGAGCTTCCCAACATGCTTCAAGAGTTTCTCCCCTATTTCACAACCTCATTTACCGAAGGAGCCTTTATTGTAGTAGGGCTCATGAACTTGTTCGTTTCCACAGCACCAGCGCCTCCAGAAAGGCTCGATTTACTCCCACAACACTACCTCCCAACATATTTCCACCTTTGGTCCCTGGTAAACCGCTCTAGGACATTTGATATGAGTTTCCTAGATATTCTATCTCGATTAGCTCGCGATTCACTCCCTGCTAAACATATTCCATTTTCTGAATTCGGAATTTTCACTGAGGAACAAACTTCCCTTATTTTCACTGCTATTCTGAGGCTGCTTGAAATTCCAGTCGGACAGGCAACGTCTTCCTACAGCGAGGTAGTTGACGTGTCTGCTGGATTGGCCATAATGCTTGATCGGGATTCAAGAAACCATCCAGTCACACATGACATTGCTAGATGGACTGTCATGTCTCTCTCTCCAGCCTGTGCAGAGTCCAAAGACTCGCTACTTAGCCGGTTAGAGGGCCTGATACAAGCTGTGGAAACATTTTTCCACCCTTCAAATTCAGGATCATGGACAAGGACCCTCTCAGAGCTGGTTAACTACCTTGCAGACTTTTTTGTCATGCGTTGGAACCGGGAACGAAACGGGGAAATGGAAGTTCCCCCAGAGAGACGGTTGAATGATGCAGTTAAACGCCGATTTGTATTATGCCTGCGAGATGTGATATTCATGGGTATCTATGCTAAAAGTGGAACGGCCATGAACTTCTCTCTCTCGACCCTTCAATCCTTGGCATACCTAGAGCCAAACCTCATTCTACCGGGAGCTTTGCAACGAATCTACCCATCTATGCAAGGCCTAGTAGAGGTCCACAGAACTGCGTCCTCTCTCCGTTCCTTGCAGGTCTTGTCAAGAATCATGGTGCGGACAAAAGGGTTCCGCTGCCATATTACCACCTTGCTAGGTTTGGCTTTACCTGGAATTGACGCAAATGATTTGGGCAAATCACTGCATTCCCTTGCATTTATCCAGTCTGTGTGTTATAATATACCCTTTGAGGACCTCACGAAGGGCCGTGATGATGTTAATGGGAACATGCTTGCCGTGGAATGGGTTACTGGAGAGTTAGAACGCATGGAAGAGCAAGGTGCCTCTGTTGAAATGAACTACGACACCGAGCTCTCTGACGAAGATGAAGAAAAGATATTACGTTCTTCCACCACGGAATTTAGCGAGTTTCTCATCTCGTTCCTTGGCCGTGTTTTCACGCTGCTAGAGAACTTGCCTGATGCAGCGCGAGTACGGAGCGGTTCCCCTGAAGAGAACGTCCTCAACACCTTGCCCGCCACTTTCCTGCCTCTTCTCTCCACCCTTTCTCCAGAGTTATATGACATAGCTCTGAATAAAATCGTGAACTTTGTTTCTGATCGGGTTATTCACCAAGCACGAGATGCAATGGCTTTCATTTGCAATTCTCTTTGCAAGGTCAACCCGGAAAAAGCACTAAAGCGCTTCATTCCTTTACTCATTCGAAATATCCGCACCGAAATTGATGAAAATGGTGCAGCATCTACAAGAACAACAGGAACTGATGTTTTGCCCCGTGATCGGGGGCTGGTATGGAACATCAGTATGCTGAGCATGTGTGTAGTCCATGTCGGGGAAGCCATTTTGAAATATAAACAAGACCTCCTCGACATCGCACTGTACATGCAGCGAAAGTGCAAGGGTATCCCTACCATTCATATTTCGAACTTTATTCACCATCTTCTCCTGAACCTTACCATGACTACCATTGTGGACTATAGTATGTACGAACCACATCTATACCCTAAAGGCATTCAGGTTGAGCAATGGGGCCAGAAACAAGATCTAAGCAATCTTAGCGTCAATTGGCATGTTCCACAACGAGAAGAAATAGAGTTCGCTGTTGAACTATTTACATCTCAGGTGGAAGCCGCATTGTCTTCCTTAACATCCCTGATAAGTGACACACCAAGCATCAAGCGTGATGGCAGTGGCAAAGATTGGTCAGATGAAGTGACGAGGAATATAGTGCTACTCAGGCTAATCATAGCTGGAGTATCGGCATTATTTGATAATAGGGCAGCTTCGAAATGCCGTGAAAGCGAGGTTCCTGCCCAGGGTGGTGCATACGTTTCCCGAGATGATAATATGGCCACCAAGGGTGAAGAGGCAGCTGATGACACCGACTCCTCCTTGGACATTTCTGAGGAATCTGCTATCCGGCCTTCTTATCAGTATCCAGCTGGATATCTTTTAACAGAGGATGACCCTCTCTACACTGCCATTCACGAAATTAGGGAACGAATTGGCCATGTTCTACATAATGTTCACAGATTCTTAGTTGATAAGCAAGAGGATGATGTAGCCTGCTTCTCCTCACTATACACTGCTTATCGATGCTGGTTCATCGACGTTGGTATTGAGCGGTCTGCTCACCTGCTGGACCGTGTTTCAAAACTATACGGCGCTGATATTCACCCGTACAAAATGAGCGGCATAAGGAAGGATTACCCTCGCCCATTACTTGTACGACGGGCATATGTGTATCATCTGCAACGGCTGCGTCACAATGCAGCTCCTAGACCCCGGTCAAAGCTGGATACTGTCCTTCTACTTGACTTAGCCGAGTCTAGTGTATCGATATACACTGATATTAGACGAAATGCCCAGTCAGCTTCGGAATCAGCACTTCGCTCTATCTGGGGCTCACGAGTTCTTCTGATTCGACCACTGATCAAGGCCTACCAGATGGCTCTGAAAGCCAATGAAATCCCCCGTATTCAGGGTGCGATTTATTCTTTAATGTATAGCAGTTTGGCCAAGCCAGTGGGCCGTCACTGGAAGTATACCCCTGCTCTCATAAGGGCATTCCTTGACACCACCGCTGTCGACAAACCATCCATCCAAAAGCTGTGCAGTGGTTCGCTCTTCCAAATAGTGGAGTACGGACATACGACAAATAGGATGGCTATTCTTGACCAAGATATCATCCGAGCGATTGTCCCCACTGATGAAATTATGGCGTCCCAGATTGAAGCAAAACGGAAATCCCTTGAGAAGAAGTGGCATTCTGTTGAGAAGAGAAAGCTTGAAATGGCAGAAGAACTCGTTGAGTTGGCCAAAGCATCGCACTGGAAGAAGACAATTCGAACGTCTGCAATTGCCTTTACCTTGGGGCTACGTT